GGAGGTAGGGGGAGGAGGTGGCGTGGAGAGGGATTGTTTTCAAAAGAACTGTTTTTTTACTTTTGTCTATACGATTTATAGCGAAAGTGTTTTAATCGTGCGAAAAATTCGACGTTTTACACCTCCCTGTGTCGGAAAACTTAATTTAGCAATGGTGTCTGTATGTCTATCTTTATATGAACACAATAAGTTGAGTACTTTTTTTTAAAGCTATGTTGATGAAATTTCAGATGAAAGTATTTAATAAATTTGTAGTTTCCTTTGAAGTGTTGAGGGATTTCCGGTAAACGGAAGTGCTACTTCCTCTACTTCATTTTTGTTTTCAAAAAGCTAATAACTTCAGTACGTTTTAAGCAGTTAAACGAATTTTCACATATTACGGATTACATTGTATGCGCAGGTTGTTATAAACATTTAAACGATTGAAGTGGAAGTACTACTCGACTCTATTTTCGTGGAAACGGGCCATTTATCTTGTTTCAGATAATTTCGTTTGCTAAATAAAATGATAAGAATCTAAAGCTAGATTCTAGATCTTAGAGACAATTACATTTTTTATTACTCGCCTTTCTTTGTGTTTAATATAATATATTTATATTTAGTTTATTTATAAATATGTATTAACCACAAATTTTAAAATAATTCTTTGAAAAGGGTTTTGCTCTAATGAGTTCTAGTCTATAATTAGGATTATGTGGCTGAGCATAAACCTAAACAAACTTTATATGCCGTGTTTAAACAAATAGGTGAACGCATCTACCCTATAGACAGCAAGATCCGAAAAGGTACAGTTTTGTAACTTTGTTCCATAAAATTCTTAATACAATATTTGAGTCTACTCAAAGGTTACAAAATAAATTACAGGATCAAGCTTATTTACACCTAACGCGAACTACAGACTAATATCCGATCAGGCATTCACTTTTTAGAACACTAGTGTGTTACATTAAAAAAAAGTTAGCGACGTTAAAACCCGCTCTACCAACTTTGTAGCTTTGTACAGATGGTGGGGGTGGGGGGGGGGGGCGCTTTTTCGCCAACAAAATCGCAAGGATTTGTACTGGACTGGTGAATAGATAACTTTATATATATATATATATATATATATATATATATATATATATATATATATATATATATATATATATATATATATATATATATATATATATATATATATATATATATATACATTTTAAAGACTGGTTTTGATAATTGTAATTTAAATTAATACATCTACTCAATGTTGATCGATCGCACTAAATATTGTAGTTTAATATCTAATGCAGTGTGACATTTGTAAACTCCAAAGGACGATTAAGGTGCGCCGGATTGTTTTGAAAAATTTTGGACAAAGACAATGTTGTGGGGCAAAGAGTTCATGTGTAACAGGTGGCTGTGAATAACGGGCAGTGTGATGTAGATGTGGATGTGCATGAAGTGTAATATGATGCTGATGACGGGCAGTGTGGTGTAGATGTGCATGAAGTGTAATATGATGCTGATGACGAGCAGTGTGGTGTAGATGTGGATGTGCATGAAGTGTAATATGATGCTGATGACGGGCAGTGTGGTGTAGATGTGGATGTGCATAAAGTGTAATATGATGCTGATGACGGGCAGTGTGGTGTAGATGTGGATGTGCTTTAAGTGTAATATGATGCTGATGACGGGCAGTGTGGTGTAGATGTGGATGTGCTTTAAGTGTAATATGATGCTGATGACGGGCAGTTTGGTGTAGATGTGGATGTGCATGAAGTGTAATATGATGCTGATGACGGGCAGTGTGGTGTAGATGTGGACGTGCATAAAGTGTAATATGATGCTGATGACGGGCAGTGTGGTGTAGATGTGGACGTGCAAAAAGTGTAATATGATGCTGATGACGGGCAGTGTGGTGTAGATGTGGATGTGCATAAAGTGTAATATGATGCTGATGACGGGCAGTCTGGTGTAGATGTAGGTGTGCACGAAGTGTAATTTGCTGCAGATGAGGCGCAGTGTCGCAGTGATTTGAGTGAAGTGCTCTGTGCTGTTGATGTGGACGGCCAGTATTGTGAAGTGGATTTTGATGGTGTATAAAGCAGTTTAGACTCATGAGTGTAGATTGTGTGGTGGGTGTGTGCAAAAATAAAAATTAATAAACACTAGAATATAGATAAATGTCCCGTTGAGGGAGACATACAACGGGTGTTATGTTGATAGTCTTGCTTTTTCTCTAAACCGAAACCAAAACAACCCACTAAATTTCAAATTTAATTGGAAACGAAAAGTGTCAATCAGAACGGAAGTTTATCCATAATCGGCATTTTAACCGGATCCGGAAATTTAACTTGAAATGAAACACTTAATAACCCATCCTTAATCCTGATACTAATACTTACTATAGATAATACTTTTCCAGTATTTGTTTCTATATCTACATTTATTTCTAAAATTATAATACTAACTTAGGCGTTTAATTTTTGTGCCTATATCATCAATTACGTCATTATTATTGTGTGTAGTTGCCGGAATTCTATTCTTAATTCTATTTTTTTAATCAACCATCGATGACGTCATTCTATTTTTTGCATAGACGCTTAATGTAGATACTACCACTTTATCTTGTAACCTTGATCTATACGCAGTTACTGCACATTGATACTAAATATAGTTGTATTCATACCCCTAAACCTTGCACCTAAGCTTAACCATGACCAAAAAACGCATTCAGAGTTTCTTTCAGGAAACTCTTCGGAGTGGAGTGTGGGGGGGGGGGAGCTGAGTCACCCGAAGAAATTCTACCGCTTCCTTGAATGAAATAGAATGTGTATATACTTTTACTAGAGTCTGCCCCCATCGGCGGAAAATTTAGTCCGCCTCCTACCCCAGAATATTTTTATTCAGTGCCCCACCCCCTACCCGGGGAGAAAAATGTCTGAAAGTAACACGGGTCGCAAAAAATAGATATTCGTAATCGTTTTATGAATTTGACGAGCATTTCATTAAAATATTCTTATAATTAAGATAAAGTGATACAACTCGGTTTAAAGATTTTTAAAAGAATCTATGTTTGGCTGGGGAGGGAAGTGGGTGGGTTCTGTATAAAACTTAAACCGTGGTAAGTAATGAGACGGGGAGGAAAAGGGAATGTTTTGGTTTTTGGTCCAATTCAAAGTCTATTGACGTCCTTTTTATAGGGCGCTATAGGATATATTGTACAGATAAATAACCATAGACATTTCAGGAATGCAGCTCAGGGTCCATAAATAGCCCTAATAACTTTAACTTTGCGGTTCAATATCTCCGAAATTATTAAACCTAGTTTGACCACGAACCGTGAGCTTTATACGTATAAATTTAATCTATTCTTCTACAAGGTTTCGTCGTTCCAGTGTGAAGAATACCCCACTCCATTTAAAAAGATTGTAGGACAAAAAAGTCACAGAAAAAAATGACATGTCACAGAAAAAAGTCACAGGAAATGAGTCACACTAAAAAAGTCACAAATATATATTTGCTTAAAACCTGTTAATAATTTTATGTATTAAACATTCTGAAAGTGCAAAGGAAATTAGATTAATTAAATATAATGTATTTAATATGACTTGCTGCCCTCAACTCTTTGTAACAATTGGTCAACCAACTTTACTGCCCTTTTTTATCACGCTCATCACATAACAAAGCACAATATCAATAAAATACTTTAAAAAAACTTAAAAAAAAAACCACGTTTTTCTTGTGGACTAAAAAGTAGAAAATAACTATTTACATACATTTGATGACGTTCACCATAAAATTTCCCGACCCATCTGCCCGACCCACGTTTTTTGTCATCAAATGTATGTAAATAGTTATTTTCTACTTTTTAGTCCACAAGAAAAACGTGGTTTTTTAAAAAGTTTTTTTTAAGTATTTTATTTTCTCCTTTTTAGTCCGTTGCTACACATGAAAAACGTGGTTTTTAAAAAAAGTTTTTTATATAGTTTATTTTCTACTTTATCCAATGACTTGATTAAGTATGACTTGACTAAGTGTTTATAAATACACGGACTAAAAATCTTGAGCGACCAGGATTCGAACCTGGGTTGTCGCGGCCACAACGCGAAGTACTAACCACTATACGATCACGGCCAGCGCGCTCACATCGATTGGGGCCGAAGTAACTGTGTCAATAGGCCTTCAGTCTTGTCGGTATCTTTAGAAATCATGTCCTCAATTTTATGGTCCTTAGGGCGTAATTAAATTAAGCTAATTACGGTCTCTAATTGCTAGTTTTTATGATTGCATCTGAAATTGTTAGGCGAAAGTAGCCTGCATTCCAAATTTCAGATCTATAGAGCAATCAGAAGTGGGCTAATTTTCGATGTCAATTTTAACAACAAACAAACACACGCGAAGCTGAGTTAATAAAAACGTGTTAAAATAGAAACTCGACACGGTACAAAGTAGGTTTTCGTTTGACCTACTTTTTTTTTACCGTCGTCATGGTTATGATGGCTGCCGAAAACGACGATATCGTGATTTCGTTTTTTAAACAATGTTTGATGGTCATTTTATAAATATATAACAATAATCGTTATTTTTTCGTATTATTCAACGATACCGATCTAATTGTAACAATGGACGATAAGTGTTTGATGCAAGATTGCCATTTTTTTGTCTAATCGCTGAGAATATCGAGCAGAACATAATATATTATATAAGTTAGCAAGATGTGAATTGCTTAATTTAATATTCTAATGAACGTACTCAAAAAATATGATCAATTATAGAAAATTATATATTACGTCCTACCAAAATAATTTCATTAATTTTTTAAAAGCATGCAGGATACAAAAAATAACTTGACCGAGACAATAGCTAACTAAGCCCGCCCATTTTGCACGCCGCGTATTGGAATGGAAAGAAATCTAGCAGACGACACATTTCTGCTGAATCGCGGCGAACATTCATCAATCGCGTCACAAAAACATACTTTAAAACCTTACCTACGGTATCACTGAGTTTCAGTCTTAATCATCGTAGCCATAAAAAAATAAACGCGTTTTTTTTCACAAATCATTTTCTAGGCTACCGATTAAGTTTTATAAAAAAAAAAATTGGTATCAAATTAAAGGTAAGTAAATGTAGTTTTTTTGCCTTTGACATTTTCCCCGTTCACCTTACCAAAAAGGTGATCCGCCTACCCCACCTCCACACCCCCTAATTGGCACATCGACGCAGAGGGTAAAATATTCGATTAAATCGGAGACTTCGTCAACGGTTGAAATAATACAGAAATAAAACTTATTCAATTTAAAAGGTTATTCAATTGGGGATGAGGGGGGGGGGGGGAACATATGGCCAGAATATAGCTACATTACTAAAAATTATCACACAAAAAACTATTAGACCTACAGATGTCCAATTTGGTAATGGTATAGCTTACATGTTGCATTATATTGAAAATATAGTGTCATAATTTTGTGTTATGAATAAAGATTTTTTTATTTAATTTTTAACAATGTAAACCATCCGCAATACATAAAATGACCCCAAGTGTAGGCTAAAATTTTGAGAAACCAGCAGAAGATAACCCTGAAAAATGTTTTTTTTTTGTTATTTTGTTAACATGAGTAACATGGGAGGATATATGTATTTCATCATCCTCAGCAAGCAAGTGTTCCATTATTAAAGATAGCTGCTGCCATTACGAAAGAAGTCTCCTAATATTACGGAATGATTTCTTTTTCCTTTTGGAATCACTTCCCTATCATCTCTTTAAGTTATTCGTTCTGGCTCGGGTGTAGCTAACTAGACAATTTGTTAGCATCTATTTCTTGAAATTGTCTTCTCCAGAATGATTTTATAGCTTCTATGACTTCAGTTTGTGTATGCCTACTAGCTTTGGTGTTTTTACTTAATTTAAGTCCATCCATAACAAAATGACTAATTCTGATCCCTCCACGCCTAAGCTTTGCATCGCAATTGCCTTTTAGCTGATTATATTATTTTCAATTAAATTACCTACATATATCTAAGGTTGCTAGGAGCAAGCAGACTTATTAATACAGTCTGTATTATTACAGTTATAATTGCACTGGCTCGTTCCTTTCTTTCATATCGAAACAACATTTACAGGAAAACAACAATGAAACATGAGTGCAATGAAATAGTTTCATGAGTATCGCTGGCTATATTACTATTTTATTAATGCTGAGAATTTTATAGGTGATTAACTTGATTTAGATCTAGATCTATTTCCTTTACAAACTTCTTCAAATTCAGAATCCCCTCAAAAACTTTATTTCCTATGTATCCTTGTTTATAGTAGAGTCTGAATCAGTGTATAATATTTTTGTTGTTTTGACTTGGTGGGTGTATCCACCTGGTGACCAAATGTAAAGAAACTTTTTAATGGTTTTAAAATTGTTAGAATCTTTTATCTAGCTTAGCCTACTCTGTTGTTTCTATACTATTTTCGGCCAAAACTAGTATTGTGAAAAAAAGGTGACTCATTAAATTTTAGTAATTATTTCACATTTTTAGGAGGATTTATGTTTTGAAAGTTACAAAAAATTTTCAAAGTTTTATTAATGTGCCTGTTTTTATTAAAACTTTTCATTCTGACGGACTACCCCTACCGTCTAATAACTAAAAAAAACTACGGCGTGCAAAATGGGCGGGCTTAGTTAGCTATTGTCTCGATTAAGTTATTTTTTATATTCTGCATGCTTTTAAAAAATTGATAAAATTATTATTTTGGTAGGACGTAATCAAAGCGGGCTGCCACCTTGATAGGAATGTGTGTCTTTATTGCTATTTCATTTTGTTTGATCTAGTTTCGTACACCTAACATTGTTGGAATGTCTCATGTTTAGCAAGCTCACCTACACTGTCCATCGAAAAGATTTCTTTAATCTTCGCATACTATATTAATAATCATAATTTTAAAATGTTTAGTGCAATATGACAAATTTATACGGCAAACATTTCTTACAAAAATCACCCAATACACCATTAAAATTTAGGTGTGAGATATTTTTTCTGGGATATTTTGTCCGTGAGATCATTTGTCCTTAAGATCATTTGTCCTGAGATCATTTGTCCTGAGATCATTTGCCCGTAAGATATTTTGTCTGTGATATTTTGTCTGAGATCATTTGTCCAGATATATTTTGTCCTGGTATATTTTGTCAGTTAGATCATTTGTCCGTGAGATCAGTTGTCCGTGAGATCATTTGTCCTGAGATTATATGTCCTGAGATCAATGCGCGCACTGGCCGGGAAGTACTGACCAAATTCCGAAGCGCTTAAACTTGACAGCGTATTTTGTACATTGGCCGGCCAATGCGCGCAATGGCCGGTATGTCCTGGCCAATGTTCTATCTAGACTAAGTTGTGATCGCGTTTTCATTATTCTGGGTGCGGTTTCATTGTCAGTAACGTTTGATATGAAAACTATGTTTTTAGACCGTTTGACTACAGCACTACATGGAAAATCAAACAATAGCTTTATTCTCAGCAAAAACAAATACATTGCTATTATAGAGGACGTTAAACAGGCTAAAGCAAAGCAGACAAAACAAACTGTTGACTATCGTCGACTAAACAAATATGATGTTATTGTAGTTGACGGTAAAGAAAAACTTATTGTACCACTAACAGAAGACAATGGTGCTGTTTTGTACTACAAGCACTCAGAAGAGTTGTTCGACTTCATCAATGAAACTCACTTGAAAATCGGACATGGATGTCGCACATGGATGAAAAAAGAGCTGAAGAGAAAGTACAAAAATATCACCAAAGAAATCATTACTATGTATATTCGGTTGTGCAAGCCTTGTCAGACAAAACTGTCTAATCCCAAGAAAGGTTTTGTTTCCAAACCTTTGATATTGAAAGAATTTAACTCAAGATGCCAAGTTGATCTTATTGATATGCAAAGTAACCCAGACGGCAAATACAGGTTTATACTCAGTTACCAGGATCATTTAACCAAGTTCATATTATTGCGAACTTTGGAAACCAAAAGAGCAAAAGAAGTTGCTTACCTGCTCTAGATATCTTCACGATTATTGGTGCCCCAAGTGTGCTTCAATCAGATAATGGAAGAGAATTTGTGAATCAAGTTATTTCTGAACTAAAGAACATGTGGCCTGAACTTAAACTAGTTCACGGAAAACCAAGGCATGGCCAAAGCCAAGGTTCAGTAGAACGTACCAACCAAGATGTTCAAAACATGATGATGACATGGATGCAAACAAATGAATCAGCTCATTAGGCTGAGAGTCTCAAATTCATTCAATTTATGAAAAATCTTTCTTTTCTTCAAGGAATCCAACAATCGCCATACGAAGCCTTGTTTGGATGCAAAGCAAAAGTGGGACTTAGCTCTTCAAATCTACCAAGAGAGGCTCTCGATAATTTAGTTACTGAGGAAGAACTTGAAAACATTGAACAAGAAATGGAGGTTGCCATAAATGCAACGACTTCCTCAGCTTACACATCTGCTGCCGTGGCGGAACGTCCAGACCATTTGTGTGACAATAATGTGGCAAACAGATTCTGTATAGTTTGTGAAAAACATTGTAGTGCAGCTCATTCTTGTGGATCCTGTGGCAACGATGTACATGCTATGTGTGGAATACCCAATGAAGCAGACGAAGGGTACGGAGGAAATATTACCTGCAGATTAAGTCACAACAAACAAGACATCATAGAACACAGGTCAGCAGCTCATACTAGCTTGCAAACTCAAGGTGCTAAGATGCTTAAAACATCAAATACAAAATTTAAAGATGCAGAAGTGGGTGACAATGTACGCATCCGTGTTCCAGATTTTGACAGAGGTCGCGGCGATCACCAAAGCGTGATTGCAGTTGTCATGAGCGTCGAGGGCGGTTTCTACAAATTAGGAACGGAACATGGTGTTCTAAAACAACTGTATGCTAGAAGTGAGTTTTTAATTCTTCACGAAAAACTGCTCTTATTGTCGTCAGTTGGCACTGAGGAAAAATCACTACGAACCATCGCATCTTCACAATCATTGACTGGGGGCCAAGGCTACACTCGCACAACAAATCGCTGCAAGTGTAAAAATAACAAGCTACTATGTAATTCTAAATGCCATAAAAGTTCAACTTGTTGTAACAAATTATAATATTGATTGATTGAGACTATAGTACAATAAATTTTTTGAATGTTTCTGTCATTTACTATTATTAATAATCAATAAAAACTTAATTTCATGATCCTCACGGCATAAAAAAAAACAAAATCTGCTCATGATCTTCGGACTTTGGCCGGTCGTCCCTAGCCAGATGATCTTCTAATTAAGACTTTGGCCGGTCCACTAAAGGCCGAAATCAAGCAAAGTTTCGGATTTTGACCGGTCAATTGGAGGCGATATTGGCCAATCCGCGCATTGGCCGACTTCGGGCTTTGACCGTAACATATATATATATATATATATATATATATATATATATATATATATATATATATATATATATATATATATATATATATATATATGGGGGGGGCGCCAATTGAAAGTTCACCCCGGGTGCCAGGAGGGGTCGCTACGTCTTTGGCCGCCAGCCAACATTGAGCGACCATTGAGGGGATCTCCACTACACCTGATATATGATGGTAGATGATGTGAAATCTTTGATCTCCACTACACCTGATATATGATGGTAGATGATGTGAAATCTTTGATCTCCACTACACCTGATATATGATGGTAGATGATATGAAATCTTTGATCTCCACTTCACCTGAAATATGATGGTAGATGATGTGAAATCTTTGATCTCCACTACACCTGATATATGATGGTAGATGATGTGAAATCTTTGATCTCCACTACACCTGATATATGATGGTAGATGATATGAAATCTTTGATCTCCACTTCACCTGAAATATGATAGTAGATGCAGTGGCGGAACTAGAAAAAAAGGGCCACCCCGCAAAAATTTTTTTTTAGGCCCCCCTATATATATATATATATATATATATATATATATATATATATATATATATATATATATATATATATATATATATATATATATATACAAGCACAAAATACGAACATAGGATACTCATTGTAGGCCTGTTCGGGTTTTAATAAAAAAATGTTTTAATTAAAACAAATTACAACATGTCATGTGTGTAAGTGCATTAGTGTGTTCTGTGAAAATCGGTTTTATTTTATCTCTGCTATAAGACCTCGTAACCTCTAGTCGGTCAAAAGAATATAAACCATGAAAGCTTTGTATAAGTAATGGTGTCTCGTGTTATGTTTATTTTTATGGTTTTTTTTTTGTTTTTATATTATTAATTTTAATTACATTTCCTTTTTATACAGTTTCATTCTTCAAGTACTTTATAAAAAATAAATAATTCAGAGAAATAATTGCTTTTTAATTTGTTTAGTACAAATCTATTAAAAAGAGATTATGAGCACACTTATTTGACTATTTAAAAAAGGGAAATTACTCATGGAAGTGATTCGAACGTTTGCTTATCTTTGATCAGTTTGATTGTAGGAGAAAGAGGCTTTCACAGTGGTTTAAAAACAAAGGGAAGAAAAATATAAGAGAGAGCGTGGGGTGGTGTCTATAGAATAAAGATAATCCAACCGCAGCTACGGTAATCTTTTTTACAAAACAACCATCAAGTCAAAAATGCACGAAAATTAATTATTTTTTTTTTACAATAAAAAATTGATTATGGTCGGCTGTGGGCCCCTAAATGGCGTGGGCCACCCCGCATTGCGGGGTCTGGCGGCACTGTAGTTCCGCCCCTGAGTAGATGATGTGAAATCTTTGATCTCCACTACACCTGATATATGATGGTAGATGATATGAAATCTTTGATCTCCAATTCACCTGATATATGATGGTAGATGATATGAAATCTTTGATCTCCACTTCACCTGATATATGATGGTAGATGATATGAAATCTTTGATCTCCACCAGCTGTGCTAGATACATCTGTCGCAGTGCGTCGTGATCTACACTATCAATTGCTCGTGCAACCGTGTTCTACTTCCTTTTGAATGGATTTAGCTCAACTCGATTCGTCATCGTTTGGCAGAGACGGTACTTCTGTGTAACCGATTAGACGTCCAGCGAGTATATCGGGTCTGTCAACGTCCATTTATTCTAATTAAGTTCATGGCTACAGACGTAAAGAGTTCATCGAGTGCGCACCATCTGACAACATCTGTATTGGGATTTTGTAGAGGTATCGCTAATATTTCAGTGTTACTCCATCACTTACTTCGTAAGGGCGGTTTGGGTAGGCGGATTCTTGAACTTCCCTGTCTAAGTTATACCTAAATTGTCCGGTGGGGGTTTGTGTATCTTTAGGTAAGGGAAATACCAGGAAGAGGGCGTTATTGTTAAAATATAAAGGGGGTCTAAAATCACAAATTTTTGTGGACGTCATCAATGGATAAACCCATTACATGCAACTGGCTTGGTGGGGGCCTTTCGAGATAACCATAAATGTGACAGATGTAGGCTACGAAGTAACTATAAATAATAAGAACCGTATGCTTATTTTTCATGTGAATATTTTAAGTATTTGAAGTACGGCTAGAGCTGTCGACCGTAACACCTACAGTAAATTGCGATATGATTAACAACACCGAGGATTGTGACCACAACGAAAATTCATACCGTGTCATCTGGACAAGAGAGTTATATGGATGTAAAATTAAGAAAGATGCCTGGTGACATTAAAACTAGAATTTCACATCTTTTGCTGGATTTCTGTGACGTATTGTCTGCCGTTCTAGGTAAAGCAACTGCAATCAATCTAACGTCAATGCGACCAATAAAGCTACAACCTTACAACATACCATTACACTATAGAGAACGGGTACAAGCCGAAATCAAAGATTTATTGGAATCCGTTATAATTGAACCGTCAGACACACATATGCTGTGTCTATCGTTTTGGTGAAGAAGAAAAATGACGAGATCAGGATGTGTGTTGACTATAAGCAGCTGAACCTATGCCAAACCAGGAGTAACTTTATTAAATTAGCACAGGCACATTTTTTTTTAAAGTCCGATTTATCTGAAAGTTACTGGCAGATTCCAATTAAAGAATTAGTTAAGAAATCGTCTGCCTTTGTGGCATCTTTTTGGTCTGCATCATTGGAATTTTATGAGCTTTGGTCTTATTAATGCCCCAGCTACTTTAATAGATTAATGAGACGGGTTTGGCAGATAACAATGATACAGTGGCTTATTTTGATGATATTTGTTTATTCTCAAAGAACTGAGAGGAGCATATCACTGTTTCAGGCACTTTTCACAGCTTTAAAAAACAATGGTTTAACAGCGAGACACAGCAAAGTTGAAATTTTGCATGAGAGAAATTCAATTCTTGGATCACATGATTTTGTACAAAACTGTAAAACCATGTTCTAGGGATAAAATTTCTAAATCCCTGAAGACGGTACGCAGCTTGATAAGGCTCTGCAATTACTATAGGAAACTTTGCCTCACTTTTAAACCTACACTTAACTTCCACAATTAGAAAGGATAGCTTTAATTCCAGATTTGTGTACATTGTTCAATGTAATGAGTTCAATGAAAACTTTATTTCAGATCGAAATTGTTTGAAAATGTCAGTTCCATCACCTCTCGTCTTGGCCAGTGTGCTCATCTTCTTACTGGCCTTCAACGTGTGCGGTGTTTTTGCTCAAGATCGTACGTGTTCCTATCATGACAAACCACACTCCCGTGGTTTGTGTGGCTCAAAACTCGCGGACACTGTCCAGCTTCTCTGTGAAAGCCGATCTAAAAGAGACGCTGAGAAAGGTATATGTATTGTTGTCTTTATAGTATAAGGGAGATAACTGTCTTCTTGCTTTGTTAAAGGAACGGAAGTACCGGTCTTGTTCATGTATATTTAATTAAGAAAACGGGTAATTTTTTTTTCTTTAACAAAAAAAAAAATAAAAACTGACAATATAATTTGTTATGACGGCTTGCATCTCGCTCGTTTCAGACTGAACTAAAACTATTGTTATGCAAATATTCGTTTTTTAAATACTTAATAGGTTTTACGACACACAACTAAAAAAATATTACAAAGGTATTACTTCTGGTGTCTCAGTTTACATATAATTCGTGCTGCTTTAAATATTTTACCTTTTTACTTTCTCGATTACAGAGTAAAGAGGAAGTTTGTAATCGTACGCAAAAATCACATGACATTTTGACAGTTTTCATCGTTTTACACCTCGTTACTTCATCATATATGGAATTTAGGGGACTTATTTTAATCGGGCAAAAATAATAAATACATATTTATCAAAATGTCGGTGTTCTATGCGTAATCGAGTGGGAAAAAGGGCTTTGCAATTCTGTCCGCATGTCTGTGTGTGTGTGTGTGTTTGTATGTTTGACTGTGAACACGATAACTTGAGTACCGTTACAGCTAGGTTGATAAAAATTTTTATATAAGTATCATATCAAATTTGTAATTCTGTATCGACTTTTCAGCAATTTCTGAAAGTGGAACTTAGTCTACTTTTAGTTTTTCAAAAGCCTATAGCTTGAGTACTGCTTCAAATAGATAAACGAAATTTCACAAGTCAGTAAGAGATTTAATTCTCCGCCTTCTGTCAAATTTTAAGGAATTTTCTTCGACCGGGAGTAGTAGGTACCGCTATTTCCAATTTAAAAAAAAAACGCTTAAGAATTTATAAAGTACTAATAATATTCCGGACTATTATACACTCCTTTTTTTCTACGAGATTCTATTCTATTTTTAAAAGTTTAAGTAATTAACATTGAATCAAAATGTTTGTCTATTTCACAAGTTGTCATCCCCCGTAGTGTTATATAAGAAAAGTTGAGAAAGTTTAGGGGAGATCACTCCCGGTTTATTAATTAGAGAATCATCCCTACCGCTGTTTAGCTGTAATAAAAATAAAATTATCTCAATTCTAATCCTATAAGCAAAATTCAATGTTTCTGGCGAACACAGGTGGTATTCATAAATTAACTTACCACGAGTTCCTATAACAACAAAATGTTGGTAAAGAATATTTACCTTAAAACTACCATTTTCGAATGCGTCTTAAAATGAAAAAAATCATTAAAGAAATTCAACTTACAAAAATGTAATTTAAAAATAGAATAGTTCGATGTCTTAATATCTTGATACCACGACGACCTCGTCCCACAGTCAAAGTAAATTATCTCCACCCTCATTCAGAATGTGACTACACAGGACCCCCTCCCTATTCCACCACACTCAAATTAAACACACACTGTTACGCTGCTTAGTGCGAGGTTTGAGTCACTTGATCCGATTCGGTACCATTTTAATTCATCTCCACTACCATGAAGAGAGGTTACAACCTTAAGAACCTATAACGCTATCTCCCATTCAGACGAATAGATGACGCTCAGAGATAAGACGAACTTAATAACTTCTTGTCCAATTCTTTATTCTTGTATCTACTTATATATCTCTAGAATCTATCTCCCAACTTGAGTCATACCAGTCAGCATACGTCCTCTCACACCGACGATCAAGATAAGACTAACTGACACATAAAATCATAGCAACACAGTCTCTACACAAATACGTCACCACCTTTCAATCGAGTCATCATTCTAATGTGTTCAATATACTCTTCGCACTAACATGCACTCAGTGCTAATATCTATCTGAAACATACATCATAACTCACACATAGATTGATATTTAATAAAATGTATATGTGTGTAGTCTCTACTATAAACAACTATTGACCAGCTTGTGTCGAGTCACTATTGGCGACTGCAGGACTTTTCTTATTCCATCCAGCATTAATGGGTACCTGAACCTTCTAGTCACAGCGTCCCGAGGACTTTTCTTAGTCCATCTAGCATTAATGGGTACCTGAACTGTGTGGTGACACCGTCCCCAGGACTTTTCTTAGTCCATCCAGCATTAATGGGTACCTGAACCGTGTGGTCACAGCGTCCCCAGGACTTTTCTTAGTCCATCCAGCATTAATGGGTACCTGAACCTTCTAGTCACAGCGTCCCCAGGACTTTTCTTAGTCCACGCAGCATTAATGGGTACCTGAACCGTGTGGTCACAGCGTCCCCAGGACTTTTCTTAGTCCATCCACCATTAATGGGTACCTGAACCTTGTAGTCACACCGTCCCCAGGACTTTTCTTAGTCCATCCAGCATTAATGGGTACCTGAACCTTGTGGTCACAGCGTCCCCAGGACTTTTCTTAGTCCATCCAGCATTAATGGGTACCTGAACCGTGTGGTCACAGCGTCCCCAGGACTTTTCTTAGTCCACGCAGCATTAATGGGTACCTGAACCGTGTGGTCACAGCGTCCCCAGGACTTTTCTTAGTCCATCCAGCATTAATGGGTACCTGAACCTTGTGGTCACAGCGTCCCCAGGACTTTTCTTAATCCATCCAGCATTAATGGGTACCTGAACCTTGTAGTCACAGCGTCCCCAGGACTTTTCTTAGTCCATCCACCATTAATGGGTGCCTGAAGTACCTGATTAGAAGTAATGGCGGTTGGGCATAGTGCTGACCACACCATAGCTTCTTGCGCCGTGCTTGAAGAAATATTGCCCGTCAGGTTCTAACTATCAAAGATAAAATTAACGTTTCAATTTGTTTGTATTATTATCAGAAGGAAATGATAGGTTTGATGTGATGGCCTTGACCAAGAAGAGCGCCCTGGCCTTCCTGGGCAAGAGACAAAATACGGGCATTGTGTGTGAGTGCTGCTACAACCAGTGTTCAAACGACGAAATATTGGCCTATTGTTAAATCATCGACAACTAACTAGCCAACTAAATTTGTTAGTCATAAAATAAAGTTTTACATAAGCATAAACTATTCAGAGTGTCGTTTGTCATTGCTAACAAATATATATGATTATTTTTATATGCTAGGCTTTGTTTGTTTTTTTTTTGACACTATAACATGTTTGTTAAATTACACCCCATATTTTCCAAAATATCTCAGTTGTAAGTTTTTAGAAAAGAAATCGATTGTTGAACTTTTGAGAAATTAAAACTCGTGAAAATTTTAAATTCGCCTTTCTTTGTGTTTAATATAATATATTTATATTTAGTTTATTTATAAATATGTATTAACCACAAATTTTAAAATAATTCTTTGAAAAGGGTTTTGCTCTAATGAGTTCTAGTCTATAATTAGGATTATTAGACTGAGCTTAAACCTAAATAAACACCTTATATGCCGTGTTTAAACAAATAGGTGAACGCATCTACCCTGTAGACAGCCAGATCCAAAAAGGTACAGTTTTGTAACTTTGTTCCATAAAATTCTTAATACAATATTTGAGTCTACTTAAAGGTTACAAAATAAATTACTGGAACAAGCTAATTTACAACTAACGCGAACTACAGACTTATGTTCGGTCAGGCTTACACTTTTAGAACACTAGGCAATCATTCGATAAAAGATTCTTAAAAAGCTAACGCAATTGAAGGAAATAACTTTTGTGAAGAAGTGAATCGAAGAGAAATCATAGGCGAAGATGGGGGGGGGGGGGGGGGAGAGGAGTGCGGTGCGTCAGAAGGGGTTGAAAAAAAATTAAGAGCTCACTGTAATGATATGCTGCGGGTCGGCTCGTTAAAAATAATACATCTACTCAATGTTGGACCGATCGCACTAAATATTTTAGTTTAATATCTAATGCAGTGTAACATTTGTAAACTTCAAAGGACGATTAATGTGCGCCGGATTGTTTTGAAAATTTTTGGACAAAGACAATGTTGTGGGGCAAAGAGTTCACGTGTAACAGGTGGCTGTGAATAACGGGAGTTGTTATGAAAATGTGGATGTGCATGAAGTGTAATATGATGCTGATGACGGGCAGTGTGGTGTAGATGTGGATGTGCATAAAGTGTAATATGATGCTGATGACGGGCAGTGTGGTGTAGATGTGGATGTGCATAAAGTGTAATATGATGCTGATGACGGGCAGTCTGGTGTAGATGTAGGTGTGCACGAAGTGTAATTTGATGCTGATGAGGCGCAGTGTCGCAGTGATTTGAGTGAAGTGCTCTGTGCTGTTGATGTGGACGGCCAGTATTGTGAAGTGGATTTTAATGGTGTATAAAGCAGTTTAGACTCATGAGTGTAGATTGTGTGGTGGGTGTGTGCAAAAATAAAAATTAATAAACACTAGAATATAGATAAATGTCCCGTTGAGGGAGACATACAACGGGTGTTATGTTGATAGTCTTGCTTTTTCTCTAAACCGAAACCAAAACAACCCGCTAAATTTTAAATTTAACTGGAAACGAAAAGTGTCAATCAAAACGGAAGTTTATCCATAATCGGCATTTTAACCGGATCCGGAAATTTAACTTGAAATGAAACACTTAATAACCCATCCTTAATCCTGATACTAACACTTACTATAAATAATACCTTTCCAGTATTTTTTTTTTCTATATCTACATTTATTTCTAAAATTATAATACTAAATTAGGCGTTTAATTTTTGTCTCTATATTATCAATCACGTCATTATTATTGTTTGTAGTTTTCTGCATTCTATTCTTAATTCTATTGTTTTAATCAACCATCGATGACGTCATTCTATTTTTTCCATAGACGCTTAATGTAGATACTACCACCTTATCTTGTAACCTTGATCTATACGCAGTTACTGCAAATCGATACGAAATATAGTTGTAGTCATACCCCTAAACCTTGCACCTAAGCTTAACCATGACCAAAGAGTTCCTTCAGGAAATTCTTGGGATTGGGGTGTGTGTGTGGGGGGGGGGGGGGGAGCTGAGACACCCGAAGAACGTCTACCGCTTCCTTGAACAAAATAGAATTTGTATATACTTTTACTTGAGTCCGCCCCCATCGGCGAAAACTTTGTCTGCCCTCCTACCCCAGAATATATTTTTTCAGTGCCCCACCCCCTTCCCGGGGAGAAAAATGTCTGAAAGAAACACGGGTCGCAAAGAATAGATATTCATAATAGTTTTATGAATTTGACGAACATTTCATTATAATCCTAATATAGAAAAGCCCCTGTGCGCACTTCCAGCCGATCGAACACTATTTTCTATGAAAGACTCAATGAAATTATCAATGACAGAGTCAATGATAACTACCGCTCTCCTGTATTTTTCTCTCGAGAAACTCAATGATAAAGCGTTAGTAGTTATAAAGAGAGAGAGAGAGAGAGAGTTTATCAAAACGGAAATAATTCAACTCGATTAATTAATAAAGCGTTAAACGTAATTATTAATTCTTAATTTCTCAGCGATTGATACAATTGTTTAGGGACAGTTAAACTATTTTTAAAAAATATAGATCCTCGATCTTCATTTATAATTTATTAATTAAAATAAGATTTTTAAAAAATAATTAAAACAGGTCTTTGTCAGTGGCGGAACTAGAAATCAAAGGCTCCCCCGCAAAGAAAAAACTAGGGCCCCCTCTATATATATATATATATATATATATATATATATATATATATATATATATATTATATATGTATATATTATATATATATATTATATATATATATTATATATATATATATTATATATATTATATATTATATATATATTATATATTATATATATATTATATATATATATATATATATATATATATATATATATATATATATATATATATATATATATATATATATATATATATATATATATATATATATATATATATATATATATATATATATCCTAACTGAGTAATTTAGACTACTTCATTGCAATATATAACCATTCTGAGAGAACAAACCAGAAGAAATTTAGTCCAAACTCATTTTGAGATAGCAAAAATATCATAAACGAGAAAAATGGCCCGTTGAGGAAGGATACAACGGGCGCTAGGCTGATAGTGCTGTCTCTTTTCTCTAAACTTAAACCCCCCCCCCCCCCACACCCCCCCACCCCCACACCCCCCCCCCCCCTTCAAAAAAAAACATACCTACCGTCCCATTTAACGAAATATAATTATATACTTTTTCCAGTGTCCGCCCCCTCCCCGAAAATTCTACCCCCGCCCCCGAAAATTTCAAGTACCCCCACCCCTCTCCGGGGAGGAAAAAGTCTGAAAGAAACACTGGTGTTGCGCTTAGCCACTACCCGAAGAATTGCATTAAAGAAATTGCAAGAAAACCACTTTTTAGATTAGACACATTAATTAGGCGGTAATTTTATTATAGAGTATCGATGAAGAAATTTCTTTTGAGTTGGGGAGGGGGGGGGGGGGGCTCAGACGTTCTTACGCGGGGGGTGGGGCTTCGCCCCTACCCGAAGAATTGTATGCAAGAAACTCTTCACGCAAACCATTTAGATTAGACAAAATTTCCTTTTTATTCAATGTTTACTCGAGAATCAATGACGTCACATTACTGTGTGCACTCTCCGGCTTGAGATTATTTTGTACTCTATGCTAAATGTGGCGACGTCATACTTCGTTTTTCGAATTACTATGCATGTTTTTAATTTCCTTGTGTTTTCTCTAGAGCGTTCTTGTCAGATAGATAGATACACAGACAGAGAGAACAATAGTATTAATATGCTGGTCAAAAATATATAAGGACGTTAGCTTGATTCGTGAATGGTTTCTCGCGTTATGTTTTTTTTTTCATTTTTGGCATTTATAATATCAATTTTGAAAACATTGATTTTTATGGCTATACCATTGTTTAGTACGTTTTATTTAAATAACAATTCAGAGAACCAATTGCTTTTTAATATACATAGTACAAAACTATTTAAATGAGCTTCGTGGGCATCCCTATTTTAAAGAAGGGCAGTAAGTCATGGAAGTAGTGTGAATGTTTACCTACCTTTCAAACTATACCTCTTGTAGATTTAAAAATATTTTTCTACGCAACAATCTCTGCTATAGTAGACCTGTTATTTTTTTTTTTTTTTTTTTTACAAAACCACTTTCAAGATGCATGAAAAACATAATTTTTGAAAAAAAAACCCATTGTTTTTTGGTCTGAACTGGGCCCCTAAACGTCCTGGGCCCCCCCGCATTGCGGGGTCTGGCGGTATGGTAGTTCCGCCCCTGGTCTTTGTACTATATTATAAAAAAAAAACAGCTAATGAATATAATAAATAATTTTGACTATTTTTCATTCTAAACCTATCGAATATCTTTTTTTTAAAATGCAAGGTAATCTTTTATAGAACCTACATGATTAACTTTTCTTCTAATAATAAAAATCTCTAACTAAAAACTATTATTCCTACAAATATTAGAGTAGTCTTCCTTGACAGTTTCTATTCGAATGTATTTTGTGTTAATTTTCGTTATGAAATACAGTTGACTTTTTAAATTAATTATATAAGAAAACAATCTATCTCTGTGTACATTTATTTTAAAAAATATTATTACAATAATTAGAATAGGTGCTTCTGGTTAAATAGCAATTATTCTCATTGTAAATCTTTGGCTATCGAGTTTCATGGGTTTTTAAATTTAAGATCATGAACACATTGGCTTGACGAAAATGATTATAACTTTCTTTTCATATGCCTAGGTCATCTGCCCCATTTACAGTCAGGTTTCAACGCATTATCTGAAATAGGTATGTAGTTCAGGTGAAAATAAGCTTTGTCCAGTAGTTTATTTCGAACAGACTCAAATATTGTATTAAGAATTTTATAGAACAAAGTTACAAAACTGTACCTTTTCGGATCAGGCTGTCTACATGGTAGATACCTTCACGTATGTGTATAAACACGGCATATGAAGTGTTTGTTTAGGTTTATGCTCAGCCACATTATCCTAATTATAGATTAGAACTCATAAGAGTGAAACACTTTTCAGAGGATTATTTTAAAATTTATGGTAAAACATACATATAAATAAACTAAATATAAATATTATTAAACACAAAGAAAGGAGTGTTAAAATGTTCACGAGTTTTAATTTCTCAAAACTTCAACAATCGATTTATTTCCTAAAAACATACAACTGAGATATTTTGGACAATATAGGGCATAATTTAACAAGCATATTATAGTGGGGAAAAAAAACCAAGCCTAGCATATAAAAATAATCATTTTAATTTATTAGCAATGACAAACGACAATCTTAAAAGTTTATGGGGGTTTTCTTTTTAAATTATTTTATGACTAAAAATTTAGTTGGCTAGTTTGCTGCCACATCTTCTAGTGTGTCGATGACTTAACAGTAGGCCATTATTTCGTTGATTGAACACTGGTTATAGCAGCACTCACACACAATGTTGGCCGTACTTTGTCTCTTGCCCAGGTAGGTCAAGGCGCTCTTCTTGGTCAAGGTCATGACGTCAAACTTATCATCTCCCTCTGATGATGATACAGACACATTGAAACGTTAATTTTATCTTTGATAGTTAGAACTTAACGGTTCAGGTACCCATTAATGGTGGATGGACTAAGAAAAGTCCTGGGGACGCTGTGACTACAAGGTTCAGGTACCCATTAATGCTGGATGGACTAAGAAAAGTCCTGGGGACACTGTGACTACAAGGTTCAGGTACCCATTAATGCTGGATGGACTAAGAAAAGTCCTGGGGACGCTGTGACTAGAAGGTTCAGGTACCCATTAATGCTGGGTGGACTAAGAAAAGTCCTGGGGACGCTGTGACTAGAAGGTTCAGGTACCCATTAATGCTGGATGGACTAAGAAAAGTCCTGGGGACGCTGTGACTAGAAGGTTCAGGTACCCATTAATGCTGGATGGACTAAGAAAAGTCCTGGGGACGCTGTGACTAGAAGGTTCAGGTACCCATTAATGCTGGATGGACTTAGAAAAGTCCTGGGGACGCTGTGACCACACAGTTCAGGTACCCATTAATGCTGGATGGACTAAGAAAAGTCCTGGGGACGCTGTGACTAGAAGGTTCAGGTACCCATTAATGCTGGATGGACTAAGAAAAGTCCTGGGGACGCTGTGACCACAAGGTTCAGGTACCCATTAATGCTGGATGGACTAAGAAAAGTCCTGGGGACGCTGTGACCACACAGTTCAGGTACCCATTAGAGCTGGATGGATTAAGAAAAGTCCTGGGGACGCTGTGACCACAAGGTTCAGGTACCCATTAATGCTGGATGGACTTAGAAAAGTCCTGGGGACGCTGTGACCACAAGGTTCAGGTACCCATTAATGCTGGATGGACTAAGAAAAGTCCTGGGGACGCTGTGGCCACAAGGTTCAGGTACCCATTAATGCTGCGTGGACTAAGAAAAGTCCTGGGGACGCTGTGACTAGAAGGTTCAGGTACCCATTAATGCTGCGTGGACTAAGAAAAGTCCTGGGGACGCTGTGACCACACAGTTCAGGTACCCATTAGAGCTGGATGGATTAAGAAAAGTCCTGGGGACGCTGTGACTAGAAGGTTCAGGTACCCATTAATGCTGGATGGACTTAGAAAAGTCCTGGGGACGCTGTGACGCTGTGGCTACAAGGTTCAGGTACCCATTAATGCTGGATGGACTAAGAAAAGTCCTGGGGACGCTGTTGACCACACAGTTCAGGTACCCATTAATGCTGGATGGACTAAGAAAAGTCCTGGGGACGCTGTGACTAGAAGGTTCAGGTACCCATTAATGCTGGATGGACTAAGAAAAGTCCTGGGGACGCTGTGACTAGAAGGTTCAGGTACCCATTAACGCTGGATGGACTAAGAAAAGTCCTGGGGACGCTGTGACCACAAGGTTCAGGTACCCATTAATGCTGGATGGACTAAGAAAAGTCCTGGGGACGCTGTGACCACACAGTTCAGGTACCCATTAATGCTGGATGGACTAAGAAAAGTCCTGGGGACGCTGTGACCACACAGTTCAGGTACCCATTAATGCTGGATGGACTTAGAAAAGTCCTGGGGACGCTGTGACCACACAGTTCAGGTACCCATTAATGCTGGATGGACTAAGAAAAGTCCTGGGGACGCTGTGACTAGAAGGTTCAGGTACCCATTAACGCTGGATGGACTAAGAAAAGTCCTGGGGACGCTGTGACCACAAGGTTCAGGTACCCATTAATGCTGGATGGACTAAGAAAAGTCCTGGGGACGCTGTGACCACACAGTTCAGGTACCCATTAATGCTGGATGGACTAAGAAAAGTCCTGGGGACGCTGTGACCACACAGTTCAGGTACCCATTAATGCTGGATGGACTTAGAAAAGTCCTGGGGACGCTGTGACCACACAGTTCAGGTACCCATTAATGCTGGATGGACTAAGAAAAGTCCTGGGGACGCTGTGACTAGAAGGTTCAGGTACCCATTAATGGTGGATGGACTAAGAAAAGTCCTGGGGACGCTGTGACTAGAAGGTTCAGGTACCCATTAACGCTGGATGGACTAAGAAAAGTCCTGGGGACGCTGTGACCACAAGGTTCAGGTACCCATTAATGCTGGATGGACTAAGAAAAGTCCTGGGGACGCTGTGACCACACAGTTCAGGTACCCATTAATGCTGGATGGACTAAGAAAAGTCCTGGGGACGCTGTGACCACACAGTTCAGGTACCCATTAATGCTGGATGGACTTAGAAAAGTCCTGGGGACGCTGTGACCACACAGTTCAGGTACCCATTAATGCTGGATGGACTAAGAAAAGTCCTGGGGACGCTGTGACTAGAAGGTTCAGGTACCCATTAATGGTGGATGGACTAAGAAAAGTCCTGGGGACGCTGTGACCACAAGGTTCAGGTACCCATTAATGCTGGATGGACTAAGAAAAGTCCTGGGGACGCTGTGACCACAAGGTTCAGGTACCCATTAATGCTGGATGGACTAAGAAAAGTCCTGGGGACGCTGTGACTACAAGGTTCAGGTACCCCATTAATGCTGGATGGACTAAGAAAAGTCCTGGGGACGCTGTGACCACAAGGTTCAGGTACCCATTAATGCTGGATGGACTAAGAAAAGTCCTGGGGACGCTGTGACTAGAAGGTTCAGGTACCCATTAATGCTGGATGGAGTAAAAAAAATCCTGCAGACGCCAAGAGTGACTCGACACAAGCTGGTCAATAGTTGTTTATAGAAGAGACTATACACACATACATTTTATTAAATATCGATCTATGTTTGTGTTTTACTTTGAGTGTGGAGATAATTTACTTTGACTGTAGGTCGAGGTCGTCGTATTGTCAAGACATTAAGACATCGAACTAATCTATTTTTAAATTATTTTTTTTTAAAGTTGAATTTCTGTAATATCATTTTAAGACGCATTTGAAAATGGTAGTTTTAAGGTAAATATTCTTTACCAACATTTTGTTGTCAATGGGAAATAATTCATGTAATATTATAGACTGATTTTTAAAATTTGCCTTATCGTGACTTCTTTATTATAGGAATTTGTGGAAAGATAATTTATGAATACCACCTGTGTGCGCCAGAATCATTTAATTTTGCTTTTAGGATTAGAATTGAGATAATTTTATTTTTATTTGCTAAACAGCGGTAGACATGATTCTCTTATTAATAAACCGGGAGTGATCTCCCCTAAACTTTCTCGAATATTCTTTTATAACACTACGGAGGATGGCAACTCGGGAAATAGACAAAGTTTTTAACCCATTTTAATTACTTAAACTTTTTGAAAATAGAATAGAATCTCGTAGAAAAAAGGAGTGTATAATAGTGAGGAACATTATTATAAATTCTTAAGCGTTTTTTTACAAATTGGAAATAGCGGAAATTACTACTTTCGATCAACAAAAATTACTCAAAATTTGAAAGAAGGCGGAGAAATAGATCTTTTACTGACGTGTGAAATTTCATTGATCTATCTCAAACAGTACTCAAAATATAAGCTTTTGAAAAACTAAAAGTAGAATAAGTTCCACTTCCGTTTTTTTGGAAATCGCTGAAAAGTTGTTACAAAACTATAAATTGGATTATAACACTTAAATTTTTTCATCAACCTTAAGTTATCGTGTTCACAGACACACACACACACACACATACTTACATACATTCATACAAGTAGTTGTAGTTCTTTCTGAGACGCACGAGATGCAAACCGTCAGAACAAATTAAATTGTCTTTTTTTTCGATTTTTTGTTTTGTTAAAGAAACAAAAAAGTTACCCGGTTTCTTAAGTAAATCAACATGAACAAGACCGGTACATCCGCTCCTTCAATAAATCCAGAAGACAGTTATCTCCCTTATACTATAAAATATACAATACATATACCTTTCTCAGCGTCTCTTTTAGACCGCTGTCCACGGTAGTCACAGAGAAGCTGGACAGTGTCCGCGAGTTTTGAGCCACACAGACCACGGGGGTGTGGTCTGTCATGATAGGAACACGTACGATCTTGAGCAAGAACACCGCACACGTTGAAGGCCAGTAAGAAGATGAGCACGCTAGCCAAGACGAGAGGTGATGGAACTGACATTTTCAAACAATTTCGATCTGAAATAAAGTTTTCATTGAACTTATTACATTGAACAATGTACACAAATCTGGAATTAAACCTACCCTTCCTAGCTGAAGAAGTCAAGTGTAGGTGTAAAAGTGAGGCAAAGTTTCCTATAATATTTGCAGAGCCCTAGCAAGCTGCGTACCTCCTTCAGGGATTTAGGAATATTTATCTCAAGAATATGGTTTTGAGTTTTACAGTTTGGTGCAAAATCACGTGATCTAAGAATTGAATTTCTCTCATGCTTTTTCAACCTTACTGTTTATCTCTGTTAAACCATTTTTTTAAAGCTGTGAAAAGCGCCTGCAAACCAGTGATGTGCTCCTCCCAGTTCTTTGAGAATAAACAAATATCATCAAAATAAGCCACTGTATTATTGTTATCTGCCAAAACCCGTCTCATTAATCTATTAAATTATCTGGGGCATTAATAAGACCAAAGCTCATAAAATAAAATTCCAATGATGCTGACCAAAATGATGTTACAAAGGCAGTCAATTTCTTAACTAATTCTTTAATTGGAATCTGCCAGTAACTTTCAGATAAATCGAACTTTGAAAAAAAAATGTGCCTGTGCTATTTTAATAAACAGTTACTCCTGGTTTGGCATAGGTTCAGCTGTTTATAGTCAACACACATCCTGATCTCGTCATTTTTCTTCTTGAATAAAACGATAGGTGCAGCATACGGGGAGTACGACGATTCAAATATTCCCGATTCCAATAAATCTTTGATTTCGGCTTGTACCTGTACTCTATAATGTAAGGGTATATTATAGGGTTGTAGCTTTATTGGTCGCATTGACGTTAGATTGATTGCATGTTCCATAGCAGTTGCTTTACCTAGAACGGCAGACAATACGTCACAGAAATCCAGCAAAAGATGTGAAATTCTAGTTTTAATGTCACCAGGCATTTGTCCTAATTTTACATCCCTATAACTCTCTTGTCCAGATGACACTGCATGAATCTCGTTGTGATCACAATCCTCGGTGTTGTTAATCATATCGCAATTTACTGTAGGTGTCACGGTCGACAGTTCTAGCTCATCTGGCCGTACTTCAAATAAGCTTAAAATATTCAGATGAAAAATAAGCATACGGTTCTTATTATTTATAGTTACTTCGTAGCCTACATCTGTCACTTTTCTGGTTGTATCGAAAGGCCCCCGCCAAGCCAGTTCAAATGAACTAACATCATCTACATGCTATTAAAATTTTGCTGTGAGATATTTTGTCTGAGATATTTTGTCTGAGATCATTTGTCCATGATATCATTTGTCCTGATATATTTTGTCCTGGTATCTTTTGTCAGTGAGATAATTTGTCCTTGAGATCATTTGTCCTTGAGATCATTTGTCCTGAAATCATTTGTCCTGAGATCATTTGTCCGTGAGATATTTTGTCTGAGATCATTTGTCCTGAGACCATTAGTCCTGTCACCTTTGCCTGCTGCTCCACTTATGGCTTTTATAAATATAAATTCACCAGAAACTAATGTCCAAAAACCTTTCTGCGAGGTAACAAAACAGGCCATAGCTGAGTAATCGCCACTAATAATGCTTTGTTTGCATGCACACTACTATAAACTTGGCCATGCGATGACCGCTGTCGGGAGGGGGGGGGGGGGGGGCAGTAGACTTTCTTCGGAGGGGGGGGGGGCGGACACTGTTAAAAGTATATATTTTCTATATAAATTTCATTTTGTTCGGGGGAGGGGGGGGGAGGGGCGGTAAAAATGTTATCTTTTTTTTGTCTGAGATCATTTGTCCTGTCACCATATATATATATATATATATATATATATATATATATATATATATATATATATATATATATATGTTCAGTTAAATTAAAAAAAAAAAACAACTCACAAGCTAACGGTAACAATGAAAACTTACCAAACAACAAACTAGTACTGAAAGAAGTAGCGACTTGGGTGTTAGAACTCGTGATGGTACAAAGAGATTTACCCGTTCTTTTATACTCGCCGTTAGCATGCAGGTGCTTCTTAGGAGAAGACCCGGCCTATGCCCGTGGGCGGTCAGAGGAAGACCCAACTTACACCCACGGGCGGAAGTTACACCGCATCTCTGGCTTCGTTATCAAACAAAACTTCAACAACAAGAAACTCTACCCACGCCAGTTTCCGGTTGGTTTCCGTCCCCGTCTTCAGTGAAATGTTGTTTTATAAAATTTTGTATTTATTATTTTAAAAAATTGATAAGAATTGTTTCAAGAGTATTGTTGTTTTATAAAACGTTTGTATTTATAATGAAAAAAATTGAAAAGTTTGTTGCAAGTAAATTGATATTTTAAAACTTCTGTATCTATCATATATAAAGTTCATAAAAAAAGTGTATCGTTGTTTTATAAAACCATTGTATTTATAATGAAATAAACCGGGAGTGATCTCCCCTAAACTTTCTTGAATATTCTTCCATAACCCTACTGGGGATGGCAACTCGAGATAAAGACAATATTTTAAATTCATTTTTAATTACTTAAATTTTTAAAAATAGAATAGCATCTCATAGAAAAAAAGAATTGCGCACCAAGTAAACGCCAAACAATGTGTATAACAATGCGGAACATTATTAGTACTTTTTAAATTCTCATGTATTTTTTGAGAAATCGTAAATTACTTCTTCCGGTCAACGGAAATTACTCAAAATTTGATAGAAGGCAGAGAATTAAATATTTACTTATGTGTGAAATTTCATTTATCTATCTGAAACAGTATTCAAGTTATAGATTTTTGAAAAAATTTAAAGTAGAATAATTCCTACTTCCGGTTATCGGAAATTGCTGAAAAATTTATACAGAACTACTAATTCGATTAATACTTATACATGAAATATCATTAGCCTAGCTACAACGGTACTAAAGTTATCGTGTTCACAGACACATAGACACACACACACACAAACACACACAAGTAAAAATGGAAAACTTTGTTTCAAGTGAATTGTTGTTTAAAAAACTTCTGTATTTATAATTAAAAATTGATGAAAATTGTTTCCAGTTTTTTATTGTTTTATAAAACGTTTGTATTATTATTTTAATAAACCGGGAGTGATCTCCCCTAAACTTTCTCGAAAATCCTTATATAACAACTCGGGATATAGACAATAGTTTTAATCAATTTTTAATTACTTAAACTTTTTATAATAGAATAGAATCTCTTAGAAAAAAGAATTGCACACCAAGTGAACTCCAAACTAAATGTGCGTAATAGTGCGGGATATTATTAGTAGTTTATACATTTACATGCGCTTTTTTTAGAAATCGGAAAAAGCCTAAAATTCTTTTATTTTACTGACTGCCCACCTATTAAGAAGGAATTCTCACAAAATTCCATTATTTTACCGATAGCCCACCTGTAAAGATTCACACCTGTCACCAGGCCGCCAGAACCCGTATACGTTCACAACCGTCGGAGACACTTCCGTCAGCGTATCGACTTTCAGAAAAAGAGAAAAAATCTTTCATCAATCCAATCCAGTCATTTATTTTCTCCGCGGAACTGTTTGGCTGGAAAATAATGTCAACACGCTTAAGTGACATTTATAAGGAAATCCAATCAATCTATACTAATAGTTTCGCTGTCTGTGTGAGTATCTATCTGTGTATCTATCTATCTGACAAGAACGCGATAGAGAAAACACAAGCAAATTAAAAACATTGAATTTAAAAGCCAATTTTGTCTAATTTTAAAAGTGATTTGCGTGAAGAGTTTCTTTCATACAATTCTTCGGGTAGGGGCGAAGCCCATCCCCCGCGTAAGAACGTCTAAGCCGCCCCCCCCCCCCCCAACTCAAAAGAAATGTCATCATCGATACTTTATAATAAAATTACCGCCTAATTCATGCAGTAGCGTACGCAAAGAGGGGGGGGGGGGAGCCGCTCCCCCTCTGGCCATTTTTAGCAGAGTGGCGCTTTTTTGGAAACTTTTTAAACTCAAAGTTTTAAACATTGATATTTGTTAAATAAAAAACGTTTTAATAACAAGCTTTTATTACTAATGCACTAAAAAGTAGAAAATAAATTATACACTACTATTTAAATTACTATATAGAAAAGCGTGGGTCACTTTAGTACTTTAGTACCTATTGGATACCTTTACTAATATTTGAGAAGAGACCCACGCTTTTCTTTATAGTAATTTAAATAGTAGTGTATAATTTATTTTCTACTTTTTAGTGCATTAGTAATAAAAGCTTGTTATTAAAACGTCTATTGAACGTGATGGCGCAGCTATTAAACCTGATGGCGCAGCTATTGAACGTGATGACGCGTGTGGTGTGGTTGGATAGACATGCCTATTGATTCGGTCCAAATTTTAATTAATTAATAAAAAATTAATTAGGCATCCAATTAAGTCAAATTTAGTTTCAGATTGCATTGTCTTCATGTATATATATGTATATATATATATATATATGTATATATATATATATATATATATATATATATATATATATATATATATATATATATATATATATATATATATATATATATATATATTTATATAAATATATTTCTTTCAGACTTTTTTCTCGGGTGGGAGGCACTTGAAATATATATATATATATATATATATATATATATATATATATATATATATATATATTTCAAGTGCCTCCCACCCGAGAAAAAAGTCTGAAAGAAACACTGTCGGGGACCGACAACCCACTCGAGGTCCAAGTTTGTTCTCAAATTGTTCGTCACGTAGGCCTACTTCATTCTACATAAAGTTTGTATATTGTTCCAAAGTTTGAAAGTTACTTGGATGCAAAAGTTTTAATATTAGGAAAATCTTCCTTGGGCAAATACTTATAAAACCCACCCGCCCTTTAACAAGTCTTTAATGAGGTCATTTACTGGGTAACTGGCCGCGTTTACTTCAATGGTATTTGCACTCATTGCTACATTTTCCGTTTGTTTTGAATTTTTCTCAGCTACCTCCAACAATTTTTTTTTCCGTTGACAAAAGGATCTCCAAGAGTCCGAGGGCCGGATGAAAGGACCTCGCGGGCCGCATCCGGCCCGCGTGTCGTAGTTTGGAGACCCCTGGTTTAGAGTGATACATTTTTGTTTTGTTTTGTCGGCCTACATTGTGTTTTTTTTTTAAATTTCTGCAGAGTGCTACTTTCAATTTATTTTCATCATAGCGAAGCAATAACATACAGCTTATATATATATATATATATATATATATATATATATATATATATATATATATATATATATATATATATATATATATATATATATATATATATATATATATATATGTATATATATATATGTATATATATATATATATATATATATATATATATATATATATATATATATATATATATATATATATATATATGTATATATATATATATATATATATATATATATATATATATATATATATATATATATATATATATATATATATATGTATATATATAAACAGTCGTTCAATATATAAAATGTTACGAATTCGGCGCCTTTTTTACTGTTTTCGCTCCCCCTACCCCGAAAACCTGGATACGCCTCTGAATTCATGTGTCTAATCTAAAAAGTGGTTTGCTTGCAGAGTTTCTTTCATGCATCTCTTCGGATAATTTAATCGCCTCTGCAAAAATTCAGGTGCCAACCCCCAGAAAAATTTCTAAAAGAAAGACTGTCTGCGAGAGTGAGGTTTATCGGCCAAAAGTAGGAAACGATGTAACGAGTTTAAATTATAGAAGTAGGCTCTACCTTCAGTTTGTATGATCTACAAATACGACCAGTGTTTCTTTCAGACTTTTTCCTCCCCGGCGAGGGGTGGGGGAACTTGAAATTTTCTAATCTAAACAGTCTATTGCGTGCATAGTTTCTTTCATGCATCTCTTCCGGTAGGGGCGAAGCCCCTCCCAGGCTCTACCTTTAGTTTGTATGATCAACAAATGCTACCAGTGTTTCTTTCAGACGTTTTCCTCCCCGGAGAGGGGTGGGGGAGCTTGAAATTTTCGGGGGCGGGGTGGAATTTTCTGTGAGGGGACGGACTTGAAAAAGTATTTAATTATATATCGTTGAAAGGGACGGTAGAGGTGCTTTGGTGTGTGTGTGTGTGGAGGGGGGGGGGGGGGGCTGTGCGGAACCCCTTCCTTCCAAGAAGTTGCCTGAAGGAAACTCTAAATGCGACTTTTGTCATGACTGAGATTAGGTGCATGGTTTAGAGGTATGGCTACAACATTATTAAATATATTTAGTATATTTAGTATAAATGCGCGATAGCTACGTGTAGATCAAGTTTAAATGCGATAGAAATGACGATTCTGGATAAAAATCTGTTATCAATGTCATTTTTTTATTCCGGTTAAATTTAATTAAGGTGGTGATTTTAGTTTTGGTTTTAGTTTAGAGAATAGAGACAGCACTATCAACCTAGTGCCCGATGTATCCTTCCTCAACGGGACATTTTTCTCGTGTTATATATTCTAATAGCGACCACTACACTATATCAGTGATGATTTAAACTTGGGTGGGGCCCATAGATGAACGTTTCAGGGACACTGCGATAATTATGTCACTAGGTGTAGAACAATTTTTGAAGTATAATATATATTTTTAAGTTAGATGTAGAGGGTGGTTGGTAAGCTAGAGTAATGATAATTTGTCATTTTAGTGATAATACAAACATTGAACTATCTTTCATATTGATTATGAATATATTGTTTATATATATATATATACAATCCCCCGACACTTAATTCTGGACATTTAATCCTCGACATGTAAACCCTTACTCTTTTAATTCTGAGACACGTAAACCCCAGACACTCAATCTTTTTCAAGCATTATTTAATGCTTCTGTCGAAACATTGACTTAAAATACATCATCCTTCAACCCCCCCCCCACACACACACACACTTTTAATCCTGTATCGAGCAATGTGCGATGCCTCTAATCCTGTTCTTCTTAAACCCAACAGCTTCAAATGCGCATTCAACAAACCCTTCTGTATAGAAAACATTAAATTGAATATGGGTTGTTTTTTTCTTATTTAAAATATAGGTATATATTTTTCTGTTACACAAAATGAACCTTGCATATGACGGGATGGTTTGATCAGCACCATGTCCAGATTCCTTTATTTTCCCTAACGTGATGCGGGAATTAAATACTCTGGAAATGTATGTATTAAAAAGTATTAAAAAATTAAAGCTCCCCTTTCAGACAATGAGTCCATGGCATATAAAGTACATTTGTTTCTAAACCTCGGCATATGAAGGGATGGTATAGTCAGCACTATGCCCAAACGCATTTACTTTCCCCAATATGAGTCAGGTACCCATCAGAGCTGGGTGAACTCAGGAATGTCCCAAAAGTCACGAGTCTGGACCTAGATCCGATCGGTGTGCCATTCAACATGCCCTACTGGGCATTTTATTTTTAGATCCAATAGAGTAAAACATTTATCTTGCCAAATATGGCATTGAGTGCCTTTAGTACTAGTGGTAAACGAAAAATATCATATAATATATGTATTTTGGAATAACACGTCGTGAAAAAGAATTGAATTTTAATTTGTTCAAAACAGGTAGAATAAATTAAACTATTCTTACAAGATCAGACAAATCTATGATTGTAATATCAATTGATAACAACAAGGCTTTGTTCTCAAATAATGTTCTTCGCGTATTTCATTATTGAAAATGTTCATTCACACAGCATGTTCGAAAATTTGAAAGGTACTTTGATGCAAAAGTTTTAATGTTAGGAAAGTTTTCCATGGGTAAAAACGTATGTAAACCCATCCGCCCTTCTTTCTTTGAATGTCTCTAAGGAAGTCATTTTCTTGCAATTCAATGACCCCCAGCTGCAGTTCATCTTTACAACTGGCCACATTTGCTTCAAATGGGCTTTGAAACAGTCTCACCTCTTCTGCCTTTGAATCCAAGTCAGAAAACCGCTACTGAAACTGCAGCTGGAGGTCTTTAATGATCTCCTATGTAAATGACGTGGGGAACTCAGTGGTTTCTTCAGCCGTAAAGACCTTGCACTGCTGAAAGTGTGTCAAGTTGTTGTACTTGTTCCAAAAACATGACGAGTTTCTATCTAAATTGGCAGGTCGCGATTTGTTTTTTTCTCTCTATATACGGTATATAAGAAATAAAAGTCAATTGCGGGTCGACACTGTTTATCCGATCGCAATCAAACTTTGGGGAGTTTATGAGAACACTGCAGGGAAGGGTCCTGCAAAAAAAAATCTTTTCTTTCATTTCGCAAGGGGGACGCCACTTGAGGGTGCGATGTTTCTCTATATACTGCATATAAAAAATAGAAGTCGAATGCGATCTGACACCGTTCATTCCAGTGCTATAAAACTTTGGGGAGTTGATTACAACACTACAGGGGATTTTTCTGTAAAACAATCTTTTTTTTTAATTTCGCAAGGGGGGTTCCCCGGAACTGTGCGATTCTTCTCTATGTACTGTAGGCCTATATTTAAAAACTGAAAGTCAGATGCGGTTCGACACTTTTCATCCGAGCGCTAAAAACTTTAAAGGAATTGATGAGAATACTCCCAGCAAGGTTTCTGTTAACAAAATAATTAAGATCTGATATGAGCGGCGCCCGGGAGGGTGCGATTTTCGTCAATACACAATTTGGCGTCCAGATTTCCAGAGCGGCTTTGTTAGCACTTGGCATCCGTTAATCGTGCGTCCTGCATAGTGGGTAAGGGGTCCTACTATATTCAGCGTTAAAACTTCAACAGGAGCAACCGCAGGAGCCCCGTAGATTGCAAGATCCGAAGCACCCCGGGTTACCCTGCGAGCACAATGGCGCCTCTACGGTAGTGTAATCGGGGACTCCCGAGAGCGCACCTCTACGTCCCTGACACATGGGCGGTCAGCGAAGAGTTTTCTACCTCATTATTTCGGTGAGTGATTAACGTACACTCAAGGTAAATAACTCAGTTTTAGAAAACAAGGTTACGCGTCTAAGAACATAGGGTTGGTTGGTAACGCATTAATGAAACCCTTCTTATATATTTCGTCAGAATTTCTTCTATCTCCACGGCAACGCACGGGGACGGATACGCTAGTAATTTATAAAAGATTCTAATAGAAGCCATGTTTGTTGTGAGAATAAGTAAATAAAGTATTTGGAAAGAAACTCTGCATGCAGATCACTTTTAAGATTGTACTATACTTCCCTGTGAAAGTTTTTATTTTTTGTGAAATTAAAGTATTTGTTCTGAACTTTTGTAATTAAAGGAAGGATGCTTCTTCAAATGAATATATCAAAAATTAATTATTGTCTGAATAAAGTTGTGTATAACATTTTTGAAAAAAGAACATTATTCTGTAGGCCCTACATAAATAAGTATGTCACTGTTCTACACATAGTACAGAAGCTCTAATCTAGCGGAACACAAACAAACAAACAAACATATACACAAAACATTTTCTTTTTATTAGTATATAGATTAAAAATAATAAAGTACAACACAAGCAAAAAAAAGGCAAAAGTCTTTTATTAAATTTTATTCAATCAAAGAGCATGGAAATCGATTTTAATCAGAGCGTAATCTATATATTCAACAAACTTTAAACAAGTATCAATTTTTAATCAAATCGTGTATATATATATATATAATTTTGTATGTAAAACTTTCTAGCTTCGTATATTCAACATATTTTACGCATTAGGTAAGGACATTATTTTTCAAAAAATTAGAAATTACTTGTTAGAATTTGTATGAGACTATGGAACGTTTCAGTTTTTTCTGAAAATGTTTTAGAATGCTGGTTGTCTAAAGATAGCCATAAAGTTTTCAGGTCAACTAGGAAGTATGTATCTTTATCAGATCAGTGCTCTAGCAGTATGCCAGCATTTCGCTTTGTGAACACCGGTTATAGCAGCACTCACACACAATGTTGGCGGTGTACTCTCTCTTGCCCAGGTAGGTCAGGGCGCTCTTCTTGGTCAAGGTCATCACATCAAACTTGTCATCCCCGTCTAAACAAAATGGAGACAAAAAAATTAAATCAATTACATTTTACATGACGTTTCTTTATGTAAACAAAAGTTAAGTTTTACAAATCCACTTTAAAAAGAACAAATAATAATTTGATCAAGTGCTTGCTTCAAATATTGCAAAACCTGGTCAAATATCGGAAAACAAGCAGTTTAAATAAACAGGTAGTGATCTCCCCTAAACTTTCTCGAATATTCTTATATAACTTGAAATATAGAAATGATTTTTAATTACTTAAACTTTTAAAAATAGAATAGAATCTCATAGAAAAAATAATTGCGCACCAATCGAACGCCAAAACAGAATGTGCATTATAGTGCCAATATTATTAGTACTTTATAAATTTACATGCGTTTTTTGATAAATCGAAAATAGCGTAAATTAGTATTTCCGGTCAATGGAAATTACTCAAAATTTAACACCAGGTAGAGAATTAGATCTTTTACTTACATGTGAAATTTCATTTATCTATCTGAAATAGTACTCAAGTTATAGGCTTTTGAAAAATTCAAAGTAGAAAAACTACCACTTCCGGTTATCGGAGATCGCTCAAAAGTTGATCAGGATCTACGATTTTGATAAAATACTTATATATGAAATTTCATCATCCTAGCAGTAACGGTACTCAAGTTATCGTGTTTACACACAGACAGACAGACACACAGACACACAGACATACGGACAAGATTGCAAAATTATGTTTTTCCGTATCAGTGAGGTGTAAAACGTCGAGATTTGTAAAAATCTCGATTTTTTTTTTGCACGATTACAAGACTTTCTCTATACGTGAAAGTAAAAATTAAAAATACTTTTTGTCTGATTTTCAGTTGTATATGTCTATTTTTAAGAAAAGCAATTTCATAAAACCATTATGGAATAACAAAATGTACAAATATCTAATATAGAATTAGTGTCCTTAATCCAATGGCATCGTTGATAGCCCGTTGATCTACCTTAATAGCTTTGTTACATCGAGTTACATACAAGCGGACGAACGTCGACAATGATTACATTAGCTGCATTACGCCACATAAACTCACCAATTCCACATGCACTCCCGACTACCTTTAAACAAAGCAACTACCTGATCACTCAAATAACATATATCGTTAAAATTATTGTTTGTTAGTATTTCTCTTTTTACAAGCTTTTATTTAACTCACGTCCTCTGTCGTCAGTCGTCAGTTTGTCATCAGTCTAAATCGAAACGCCCGAGCGAAATTGCAGGCACTTCTACCTGACAGATACGGGTCGTAGTTGGTAAGTGGGTAAAACATGAAGACAAAGCAACATGACATTAAATTTGATATAATTGATTGCCTATTTAATTTTTTATGAATTAATTAAAATTTTATCCAAATTAGTAGGCTGTCTCATCAAACTATTCCGCGCTATAAGACATGCGTAATCACATTCAATAGCGCGTCATCACGTTTAATAGGTTCGGAATGATTTTTAGTCATGCAACTCTAGTGTAAATAAAACATGTAAAGTACTAAAAAAGTTTCATAAAAAACGTTTTAATAATAAGCTTTTATGTAAAAATGCACTAAAAATTAGAAAATAAATTATACACTACTATTTAAATAACTATAAAGAAAAGCGTTTTTTATGAATTTTAAAAAAATTTATCCGTTTTCTAATTCCTTAAATGTTGTAGTAGAGGTCCTCTAAATATAAGAAAGTAAGAGTACGAAGTTTTAACGCATTTTCTATCTCAATGTAACCGCCTTTAGTCAGTAACATTTAATCAGTAAGCATTTATAAGCAACACATTAATTTCAACAAAGCAGGAAAATTTTGTTAAGCCTGTCAGTTTCGATAAAGCTGGAGTGATCTCCCTTAAACTTTTTCAAATATTCTTAGATAACACTAATGGGGATGGCAAATCCAGTGCAGACGTGGTATAGACATTTTTAAAAATTGAAATACTTAAAAAAATGTAAATAGAAAAGAATGTCGTAGAAAAAAAAAGAATTGCGCACTTTATGCACAGCAAATAATCTGTGTATAATAAAACGGAACATTAGTACTTTATAAAGAAAGAATCAAGTTAAAAATAAATTAATATGCTTTTAAAAAAATAATTGGAATAGGGTAATGTACTACTTTCGGTCAACGGAAATTACTCACAATTTGTCAGAAAAAAAGAAAATTAAATCTTTTACTTATATGTGAAATTTCGTCTATCTATCAGAAACCTTACTCAAGTTATAAGATTTTGAAAAACTTGTCAGTCCATGTTGTTTACAAATAGTGATACTTTCAAAACAATTTTTTTTAAAGTGATCCACTAATAATTGCAGTTAAGAAAATTGTTGTTTTTAAAAGCCTAATAACTCTTCTTTGTGATTATTTCTCTTTACACGCCATATTGTATTTTTAATACAGCATCCAGCTCTTTTATTAAATTTAGTATCTTATTACAACCATAGTATATTACATTCAAAAGCTGTTTTTTATTAATTTTATATTTTATGTAACATTCCAACAGAAGATTTAAATATTAGTCCGAGTGTTGTATATACAATAACATTTCGTAGTAACAATTTAATAAAAATTGCATTGCTATTTTTGATATCTTAAGTTAAGTGTTCAAATTTAGTTTTCAATATTTAAAGAAAAATAAGAAATTTCTTAGGGAAATATCCTCACTATAACGACGTAAACTTATCTGCCGCGATACAATAATGTAGTCTCGTAAAAAAAATATTTAAGGAAGTTCAATAAACTGTCAAAATAAATTATTATAGTTGTTAAAATGAATTAGAAATTTCAAGAAAAAAAAATTAGGTAGGTATTGGCCGTCTCACTGAACTAAAAGCTCAACGAGCTATCGTCATTTCATCATAAAAAAATCATAAGATAGCTGTTTCCTTTTCATCATAAAGACGAGACAGTTTCTCCTTTCCTTGAAAACATATCAATAAGACAGTTACCTTTCTCCGCGTCTCTTTTAGACCGCAGTCCGCGGCTTTCACATAGAAGCTGGACAGTGTTCGCAAGATTAGAGCCACACAGACCACGGGGATGTGGTCTGTCATGATAGGAACACGGACGATCTTGAGCAAGAACACCGCACACGTTGAAGGCCAGTAAGAAGATGAGCACGCTAGCCAAGACAACAGGTGAAGGAACTGACATTTTCACAGTTTTGTTCTGAAATAAAATGCATTGTACATTTTTTTAAAAGCGGGAGTGATCTCCCCTAAACTTTCTCGAATATTCCCATATAACAGTATGGGGAATGTAACTCTGGATATGGGCATGATTTTTAATCAATTTTCAATTACTTAAACTTTAAAAAATACAATAGAATTTGGTAGAACAAATAATTGCGCATCAGTCAAACAGAAAACAATGTGTATACTAGTGCGGAATATTAACACTTTATAAATAAATATGCGTTTTTTTCTGAGAGATCGGAAATAGCGGAAAGTACTATGTACTCAAACATGTTAGCAGCCAGAGAATTAGATCTTTTATTTATATGTGAAATTTCGTTTATTTATCTTAAACAGTACTCAAAATTATAGACTTTTGAAAAATCAAAAGTAGAATAAGTTCCACTTCCGGTTACTGTATATTGCTCACAAGTCGTTACAGAACTAAAAATTGGATGTAATACTTATATAAGAAATTTACCTAACGGTACTCAAGTTGTCGTGTTCAAAGACACACATACACACACACGGACATAATTGCAAAGCCCAGTTTTTCCGACTCGATTACGCGTAAAACGCCGACATTTGGATAAATCAGGATTTGAATTTTCGCCCGGAGGTATATGATGCAATACTGATTAGTAAAACGGTGAAAACTGTAAAAATTTCCTGTGACTTTTTAGCCACGATTACAATATTTCCTCTACACTCTTTGTGCGGGCAAGTAAAAACAAAACAAGTTCTAATTCTTTTTTTTAAATAAGTTTTTACATTCATTTCATTTTTTTAAGGTTGTTATTTAAAAAAATTCTTAAAATAAAATAAATAAATAAATAACATACAAATGCTGAAATAGAAAACTCAAGATAGTAGTTTAGTCGAAGTGACTATTGAACCTTTTAGTAATGTGCACGCTCTTTTATACTCATCGTCTGGACGCATCAGCTTTTTTGGGAAACGTCAACTTCTGTCTGGGGCGGATGTTACACCACTTGTCTGCCTTCTTTAAGAAACAAAACGTCATGAATATGACACAGCAACCGTTTCCGTTGAGTGAGTATTTATGTGTGTATGTGTTTGCGTGTTGAATAAAAAAATCGGTTTAACAATAAGTTAGCAAATGTGAGTGAAAATACGCAAGTATTCCAAGATAGGGAATTAATTGTTAACTGGTGTGGATTTTGAAAAATAATGTATACACGCTTAGCTTTTATATCATGTGGCTCTCTCGGTATTATACACAACTGAAGTTTGGTTATCCGCAGAAACATGGAACAAATAAAGGAGTCCAAATCCATCAGGAAACGGAAATAGGACTAGATCTATATGGCACATGCAATTAAAACAGATGAAAAATGACTTTTCAAACAGGTCTTGTGTAGTCGACAGAATTTATAAAACAAAACAAAGAACATTGCAAACTTACATTCGACAGGTGAATAAAATAGCTTGTAATTTAAACGTTAAAGCGATCACATAACTAATAGCAATACTCGTATGTAGCAAAAATAAATGTATTATTATTTGTATGAGCAAATTTGGAGGCCCCTAACAATGATGCTTGTATGAATGATTGCGAGCGAGATCTAATTCACAGTGTAGATCATGTGACTGACATTTGTATTCTATTTTTTGGTACCACCTCTCTACACGATCTAACGCGACTTGACAAAAAGTCATTCAATCGCTGTCTATTTTTTTGGTACCACCTCTCTACACGATCTAACGCGACTTGACAAAAAGTCATTCAATCGCTGTCTATTTTTTTGGTACCACCTCTCTACACGATCTAACGCGACTTGACGTAAAGTCATTCAATCGCTGTCTATTTTTTGGTACCACCTCTCTACACGATCTATCGCGACTTGGCGAAAAGTCATTCAATCGCTGTCTATTTTTTGGTACCACCTCTCTACACGATCTAACGCGACTTGACGTAAAGTCATTCAATCGCTGTCTATTTTTTGGTACCACCTCTCTACACGATCTATCGCGACTTGGCGAAAAGTCATTCAATCGCTGTCTATTTTTTGGTACCACCTCTCTACACGATCTAACGCGACTTGACGAAAAGTCATTCAATAGCTGTCTATTTTTAAAAGGGCCAATCGTAGGCCCAAAAATCATTTGTTCGCATTTAGCTGATGTTTGTTGGGAGTTTTTACAAGCTTTTATTTAACTTGCTTCCTCTGCGCATTCATCGGACCCTTCTTAATAGTCCTATCGTCCACACAGACAAAATCCGATCGTGAAATATGAGTTGGGTGTGTTTCTTGATCTCCGCCGAAGCCCTGAGACTGACTTACCAAACCTCTGGTGTTCGTTTGAACCCAGGTTAAGAACCACTGTCTTAAACTTTTCTGGTTTTCTTCTGTTTATTCATTTCTGCTTCCTAGCTTCGGTAGTCAACTCACATGATTTTTGTGGAGATCGATCCCTGATAATACTTCCTTCCCATCTCTATTTCAAACTATTTCCTTCAGGACATTTCTTTGTCTCCCCCTCGACCTCTATACCAGTGGACTTTACACCAGCACCTGCTTAGTGGTGTTATTTTCTGTCTTTCCGATATTGTGCCCTAACCACCATCTTTTCTTTGCTATTATTTCATTATCCACTCTCTGTAATCACCTAGCTCTGTACTATACAGTAAAAGATACTTCACATTTAGCTAAAGACCCAGATTGAATGTTTTTTACAATGCATTTGAATTCCACATTGGTTTAGAAAGTTAAAAAAAACATTTCATCGCTGCTGATTCTAATCTGAACGTCATGCCACTGTCATGCTGCTTCAACCAGTTCAATTAGTTATGTATTTGTTGTTGACTATGTGGGATAACGCAGCGCACATCCACGAAATCCAAGAGCTCGCAAATGTTTCTGGTGGATTCCAGTTTGTTTTTCTAGCTTGTTTCATTATACAATCAATAGTTAACGAACTATCCATGTCGTATTCCAGTATGTAGGCTACAATACATGTTTCTGATTTTTAAAAATGCTATTGTGAATCACTTATATGAAATTATTCTAACACATATAATCCAACTATGTAACATATCACAACAGAGACTGGTCCAAAGATCAGTGGCGTCGCGAGGCTGGGGCGGGGAGGCGGACCGCACCGGGTGACACCATTTTAGGTGATGACACCATGAAGAAAAAAAATTAAAATATATAAAAGAAATATGCTTTCTGTCAGTTTAATGAATGCTTAATTAGAGTTAATCCACATGTATTAATAGTTGGCTATAGATAAAAATATTTATTTTAAACTCTGTGCACTTTAAAACTATCACCCGGGGGAGAGAGTAACACAGATTGCAAAATTTTACAGAGGATATATATTTTAAAAATTGATAGTCAATTTAAGAGCGGGAAAGGGTGACACAAAAATCTAATAATTTACGCTGAAAACAATGCTTTTTACAAATGAATTAAAAGGAGGATTAATATAATTTGCACACAAATTGAGGCAATTAGGCAAACTGGAAGACCTTAATATAAACATTGTTTTGCAATTTTGTCCATATGTCTCTCAGTGTGTGTATGTATGTGTGTCTGTAAACACGATAACTTGAGTATCGTTACAGCTAGGTTGATGAAATTTCATATATAAGTAATAATATCAAATTTGTAATTCGGTATCAACTTTTCAGTTATTACCGATAACCGAAAGTGATATATATATATATATATATATATATATATATATATATATATATATATATATATATATATATATATATATACTAAAACTCAAGTTTTTTTACATGTTTGAATATTTATTTTTTGTTTGTTTTTTTCTTTGTCTGATTGACTATTGTAAATGGTTCTACTCTATGTGGAGAACTGTAAAATAGTATGTAGGTAGAAAACAAGTTTTGTTTTCAGACAGACTTTTAATCACACATTTATTTAAAGACGTTAATTAATTTATTGATTTATTCATAGGTAGATTAACCACATTAATTTTAAAGTTTTAGAACAATGGCTTAACTTTGACTGAATAGTGACGTTTAATAACTCTTTTTTTCTTCTTTTTTTTTAATTTGTTATTGGGGAGAATTTGCATTCTGTGTAGAGCTGTAAAATAGGATTTTAGGTGGTAAACATTGTTCTTTCTTAAACACACTATTAATTACAAACTAATTTAAAGCCGTTAATTAATTTATTGATATATTCATTGGTAGATTAACCACATTAATTATAAAAATTTAGAACAATGACTTTAGTATTTTCTTTTTACAACAATGTTAACAATTATCTTTTCTTAAGGCCTATATGTGAATGATAAGGTTGACTATCAGGACCTCGCGGGGCACAGGGCAGGTGAAGTAGAGTTCACCTGTTTCTATGTTCTCAGCATATGAAGGGATAGTGCGGTCAGAGCCATGCTCGGCCAGAATCGTTTTTTTTTTTTTAAATACAAACATGTCTGCGACTTGGCGGAGCACTGGGCAGGTGAAGTAGAGTTTAGTAGAGTTTTTAAAATATAAAAAACGTCTTTTTGAATGTTGGGTCTAGTTATTTTGGGATGATAAGTGCTGGCAGACGTGATGCCATTTATGGATGACCCCCGAAACCCACAGTTATCTAAATAGATAACGGGTAGTCTAGTCTAGTATATATATATATATATATATATATATATATATATATATATATATATATATATATATATATATATATATATATATATATATATATATATTGACGACCATTTAACCAGTAAAAACAAAAATCGGTTGACAGTAAAAATAAAACTTTAGGCCCTTTTTTCTTCATGCAACTTTTATCTCAGTGATTTATGTAATTTATTGTTTTGTAAAATATTTACTAAAAATAATAAATTGCAACACAAGCAGAAAATGGGCCTTATTCTTTTATTAAATTTCATTACGTCAACAGGTACAAGAATCGATTTTAATCAGAAATTAAACTAAAAATTCAACAAATTTTAAAGAAATATGGATTTTCAATAAAAGTATTATATATATATATATATATATATATATATATATATATATATATATATATATATATATATATATATATATATATATATATATTTATATATATTTATATATATATATGAATATATATATATATATATATATATATATATATATATATATATATATATATATATATATATATATATATATATATATATATATATATATATATATATATATATATATAATATATATACATATATATTCATATATATATATATATATATATATATATATATATATATATATATATATATATATATGTATATATTATGTGTGTGTGTATAATATATATTTGCTTTACGGCTTTGTATTTTTAACACACTTTACACGTTAGGCAAGGACATTATTTTTCAGTTTAAAAGTAACTTGTTAGAACTGATAAGCGACTAATAAACAGTTGAGTTTTTTTGTGTTGTTTTTTGTTTTTTTGTTTTGTAAATGTTTTAGAATGCTGGTTATCAAAAGGTAGCCATAAAGTTTTCAGGTCAAATAGCTAGCATGTAGCTTCATCAGATCAGTGCTCTAGCAGTATGCTAGCAGTTCGCTCATTGAACACCGGTTATAGCAGCACTCACACACAATGTTGGCGGTGTACTCTCTCTTGCCCAGGTAGGTCAGGGCGCTCTTCTTGGTCAAGGTCATTACATCAAACTTGTCATCTCCGTCTAAAAACATTTGTAGGGGGGGGGGGGGGAAATCAATTACATTTTACATGATCTTTTCTTTCAGTCAAAAATAAAAATAAATAAATATATTTTTAAAAAGCAAATGACCTTCTATTTTAAAAAAAAAATTTTTAAAGAATAAGTAGTAGTTTTATCTAGTACTTGCGTCAAATGTTGCGTATGGTCTGGTCAAATAATTCAAATATCGGTAAAGATTAGTTTTAAAAAAACATTAATTCAATCACAAACGTTTTTGGCATTAGGCTGAGATGTTCCAGATTGTTAGGTCAGATGCTAAGAATGAAAGAATTCACATTGGCTGCATAACAAGAAACAAAGGGGGAAGCCGAATGAAACATGGAGTTAATGAAGAAAGAATTAAAGCTGGGCGACCCAATTTTTGAGACAGGACGAAAATATCACAAAATAAGCCGATAAGCGTGAGAGATGCTAATGATGATAATGATTCTGCTGGTGATGATGAAGATGATAATGATGATGATATTTAAGATGCAGCTGTTTAAATAACAAGGCCTCTTTTTTTAGTATTTGTATAGTGTCTTTAGAACCCAACCCCCATTTAGAAAGGTGAATAAAATTTGTAAAATAAACCTTTATAAATCTTTTTAGTGTGTTTTATTTTCAATAAATTTCTTTGTGTGCGATTGTGTGTATAAGTGGCTAATGAGCTTGCATAATACTTGTAGTTTATTATTTTACTATCTGCAAAGCCCTTCTCCAAAAATTGGAAAAAAATTTTTTTAGATACTTTTTTAAATAGATTTTTTGATGTCTAGGTCAGTTTCTTAGAAAAACAATTTAAAAAAAAACATATTGGAATAAATAAATTAATAAAAACCTAATCTAGAATGAGTATTCTTGACCAAATAACACCCTTGATAGCTACCTTAATAGCTTTGTTACGTCGAGTTACATACAAACGGAGGAACGTCGCCAATTATTACATTAGCTGCATAATGCTACATAAACCAACCACTCACCAAGTTCACTCCTTCGCACATTAACTCCAGATTACACTTTTTAACATTGCAACCAACCTAATAAGCATACGAGTTAAACCATCAAACAAAAATGCTGACTTCCTTTCCCTCCCCTGGTTAGAAACAACCCAAATTGTTCTTTTAAAGACTGGTGTTACAATTTTAAAACTGTATTTTGCAATAAAAATATAATATAGTAGTAGTTTTTATCAATATTCTAAATAGAACGAGTTTAGGGAATTACTTTGCCCAATATATTTAACCGTATAAGACCTTAGGTTAAAACTGTTTGTATTTTTCTTTCTTGAAAGTTCTCGTTTGTGGTTTGTGCTAAATAACCCCTTTAATTATTTATGGAATAGTAGTGTTAAAATAACATTGTAACGCCCTATTGGAAATTTCTCAGATAATGCGCATCAATCGCAATAACGAAATCCGTTGTTTATTCTCCCTGATGTTTTTGCAGTGTTTACATAATCTGCTACCAATCAAAAAAATAATTGTTTGTCATTGTTAATTAAATTTTACATCTATTTGAAAATAATTGAGCATATTTTTAGCGCAATTTCCATACTGGGGGATTGCGATTATTAACTCGTCATTTCTGGATGGATGGATGGATGGATGGATGTGTGTCCGCAGCTTTATGTCGTCTTTAAGTCTTATCTCCTCCTCAACAAAGCAATATCGAGGATTAGTTCCAAAGCAAATATGTTAAGCAAGTTCCGAGGATGAACATAGGCCAAAAAATTTCCCGGAATTCCTTCCTGGATCTCCCGGAAAAGCCAAAAAACCTCGAAAAAATGCAGTTTTTGGCCCATATCTCGGCAACCAGACCACTTAGCGACTTGAAACATTTACCAATCGATTTCTGCCATAATTTAGTACAATATTGCCGAAGAAAGTTTTCAAAAATATCCTTTCGTTCGGTCACAAATTTTTTTTTAAAATTACATAAACACCTACAAACCGATAGTTCTTCTAGCTTGAACGCACCCCAGCATTATACGTCTTTGTGATCACTATCTATTTTTAGATAACATAAGGAAATTGCGCTTAAATAGTCACTAGACTTTTTATTAACTTGTTTTTTTTAAAAGGAATTTTTTTTAACCAAATGTTCTCTTCGTTTATTTTTGTGTGTAGCCAAAGAACGGGGAAATTAAAAGTTTGAATTCCTAACCCAGCTGTGTCCCTTTGAGTGGTAAAAAGTTCAATTTTAACCCCTTACTGGCCATTGGGGTGACTTTTTGGGGGAGAATCTGGTATTTTCCTAGGTGCCTACAGCAACAGAGCTATTTCTTTACCGAATATCAAGTTTGTGTCGTAGTTACAAGTGGTCGATCTAATTCAAACTTTTTAGAAAATATATAGTTTATATCAGGCCGCGGTAAGTCGAGGTCAGTTTCCGGTCACTACTCGATTATTGAGATGGCCCTAATTTTCCCGTTTACATGAGAGTGAACAGCAAACTTTGTCTAGAACAATTTCCCTTCAACTAACCTGCAAGCATCCAATCTAATAGGTGCGAGGAACGAACAAACAAACAACCCCCACTTTGCTTTAGTAGATATTAGATAGATATAACATTCCGATTGAAAATTTAAATATTATACTGATTGTTGTATGCAGGAAGGTTTCATTGTTACGCAGGGGCGTAGCGAGAGGGGGGGGGGGGGGCGGGGGTGCGGACCGCACCGGGTGACACCATTTTGGGGGGTGACACCAAGGCAAAAAATAGCAAAATATATAGAGAAAAACTTGAGCGGGGGGTGCAAATCGAAAGTTTGAGGGTAGGGGGGTGCAAATCGAAAACTTGAGGGGGGGGGGGGGCAAATCGAAAGTTTGAGTGGGGGGTGCAAATCGAAAATTTGAAAGTTTGTCCCCGGGAAGGGGCGCTGCGCCTCTGGGGGGGGGGGGGGGTGACACCATTAAGTGCCGCACCGGGTGACACCCGACCTCGCACCCGACCTCGCTACGCCACTGTTATTACGAATTATCTAAAATTACCTTGCTCTTTTAATTTCTTTAGTTAAGCGATTTAATGAATTGTTAATATTTAAAGCGAGCTAAAACATCTTCATTCAGAAAAACTAATCGCAATCATATCCACTGACTTACAGCGTTTGTTAAACGGCTACTATTATGTAGCAGCAACACGTATGTCTCGTATACCAAATAAACAATGAGTTAAGTCAACGGTTTAAAACGTTTCTGATAATTGTTAAAATAAGTTAGCAATTTTAAGGTAGCACAAGGTAGGTAATACCACCCGTATTACTCAACTAAAGTTTCAACTAGCTATCTCCCTTTCATTAAAAAAAAATTCCAACAAGATAGTTATCTCCCTTTCACTATAAAATAAACAAGACAGTTACCTTTCTCCGCGTCTCTTTTCGACCGCAGTCCACGGCTTTCACAGAGAAGCTGGACAGTGTCCGCAAGCCTTGAGCCACACAGACCACGGGGATGTGGTCTGTCATGATAGGAGCACGTACGATCTTGAGCAAGAACACCGCACACGTTGAAGGCCAGTAAGAAGATGAGCACGCTAGCCAAGACAAGAGGTGATGGAACTGACATTTTCAAACTATTTCGATCTGAAATAAGTTGCATTGAACATTTTTAACAAAAGTTTTAACTATCAAAAATTTTTTAATTTTTACATTATTTTAACTTTCAAAAGTTGCAATTTAAAAAAAATTAAATTTTTAAAAATGTAAAAATTAGAAATAAAACACCAATGGAGAAAATAAAAACTTACGAAAGTAGCTACAGTAGAGTCGACTTGACTGTTGAGTCTCGTAGTAAATGTGAGAGATGTTCATGTTCTTTTATACTCACCTTCTGCACGCTGTGCTTTTTCGGGGAAACCTCGACTCTTCTCAGGGGCGGATGTTGCACCTCTTGTCTGGCTTCGTTTTAAAACAAAACGTCATGAATAAGACATGCATCCACGCCTGTTTCCGGTTTAATCCCATCACCTCCTACACGTGACCATGGTTTTATAAAAACGTTGTATGCCCCACACCTCATTGAACTTTGGCCGCACGTAACTGTAACTTTACATACATTTTATCTTGTGACTAAATACCTGCATCCTCTACCCCAATAAACTTTACCTACGCATAGTTTTAATTGAAAGATACATTTTCTCTTGTAGATTTAAAGTAGACTATGTACCTAAAGAATATCAAAACGCAGTTAGTATGTAAATTCATTAGTGTAGCGAGGTCGAATGTCACCCGTGAGTGTATATATGTCCCGTAAGAATATATATATATATATATATATATATATATATATATATATATATATATATATATATATATATATATATAATACACTTGTAAGAATGTGTAAACGCATGTGTATATGTATTCATTTTTTTTTCTGGATGGATTTAATTAATTTTTATCCCCCCCCCCCTCGTCACCCCACGGTGATTGCTTTAAACTGTGCTCATATAATACTAACGATTTGTATCTATATTCGGTTGTATATACAGCTGGATGTTGCATGTTTTCTCTATCATCAGCAGGTTTACGCCATGGTGTCACCCCCCCCCCCCCCCCCCTCACCACCAGTGTCTCTTAAAAGACTGTTTAATTCACTCTAATTAATCATTTAATTAAGTGAAATTATCATTTTTCTGTACATATTTTGCTATTGGTGTCACCATCTAAATGGTGTCACCCGGTGCTGTCCGCACCCCTCCCCCTCTCCCCCCTTCGCTACGCCACGGTATAAATTAGTGTCCCAAATCTGACTGAAATCAACTGGCTTTAGAGAGAATGGATCATACTTAAGACAATAAAACTAAAAGATGTAGAGTTGCTTTTGTTGATTTCTAAATCTAAAACTACACAAAAATGTATAAGCAAAATTTTATAGTATAAACTAATACCAGCAACTATAAACTAGCCTCAATATAAAATAAATTTCTGCCTAAAAAATTGTATTTTAATTATTTTACCTTTACAATTACAGGTTTTATAATGAGTTGGCAATGTGATTTAGCCGAGTCAAAGATTTATTACATAGAAAATACTTCCGTATAAGCTCTTTTAAAAACTGCGTTCCATGCTGGTGGTTATTGAGAGCACAATTTAGTCAAAGAAACTTTCCCTACTGTTTATTTTAGAGAATTATTTTGTTGCAGATGTAAAGGAATTTTTCAAATCCATAATTGCAGTGGCGTAGCTAGAATTGTCTCATGGGGGGGGACGGGACGGTTACATTTTTTCCAGCGTTATATATATATATATATATATATATATATATATATATATATATATATATATATATATATATATATATATATATTTATATATATATATATATATATATATATATATATATATATATATATATATATATATATATACATATAAGCTGTTTTCATTGCTTCGCTATGATGTAAAATAAATTGAAAGTAGTAATCTGAAGAGAAAACACACAATTTAGGCCACCAAAAAAAAATTACAAAAATTAAAAAACACAATATACACGTTATACAACAAAAACAATAAACGCAACACAATCTGTTTTGTAATCTTTGTAAAAGAAAACAGTTTTGACATTAATAACAGTTTTGACATTAATTTCCTAGAATATTAAAAGACAAGCGAACTAAGGGAAATAATCACTCTCTTAATATAAATATGTATATTTCTACAAATTTAATTGTAAATTTCAAAACAGATCAATAATTACTGTAGTATATAATATAGTAGCTTAACACTATTTGTTTTTACCAAAATATGTTGTCTGCAATCAGAATTAAACATATTGTCATCATAAATGCTAAATATTACAGCATAATCAAAGTTTTTGAAATCAGAGTTGGTATAACCCATATTCTGCTAGCGTCCCACTTATGGGACGCTTGTAAAAAAAATTGCTAAAATTTATTAAAAACTAGTTAAAACACAAATTATGTTTCATTGTATTTGAAAATGGCTAGACTATTGAATTTGTGTGTGTTTTGTGAAAAAAATTAATTTAGAAAAATGTTATAGCGCCGGATTTGCAGGACTTGTCAAAATGGTGGAAAAAAGAAAACATGCGCACAGGAAAATGCATATCTTCTAAAATATTAACATTTTAAGTGCAAAATACATTTGAAACTTGTAGAAGTACCATATTTCTATCTGATAAAAATTTAAGAGTCACAATTTTTTTTAACTACTTCGTTATATCAAGTGTACAACAAGCGTCCCATAAGTGGGACGCTAGCAACGAATGGCCCCATGTAGATTGTTACACAAACGTCACATTTATTGGACACTAGCAAGAAACACAGATGCAAATATTTATGTTAAATGGTTATTTATGGTGAAACAATTGTTAAGTTTGTTAACTGTTGACTTTGGGGTGTTAAGTAGTATTTATAGATATTAAATCATGACCTTGAGCTATATTTTCTTATATATTATTGTATTAAAAAATTGCAAATATTGAAAATATACATTTTATTTTTAAGTTTTCAGAATTACACTTACTGAAGTATTTAATACCATTGAATACAAACTAATTTAGCATTGCTGTAAATTTACTAGCGCGTGATATTAAAATTATAAAAAACCAGAATAATAACAATGGCCACGATTTAGGTGAAATGATTCAGTCACGGGGATTGGTTAACTCTCATCATATAAGAGAGCTTAAGCTACATATAGCAGAAGTGTGAATTAGCCGTGTACAGTTGTCATGCCCCAAAAATATTCCCCTCCAAAGGTTCCCGATCCAGTTTTACTATGTATACATTTTACGGAGATTCCTGGTGTTAGATTGGGAGCTGTTTGCATAGTGAGGTGCATACATGGATGTGAGCCATGAACACTCAATACAGGCCCCCAGAGACGGATCAGTGACCTAGTAATAAGATGTCTGATGTCCTAATGTACGCCTGTGAGGGGGGGGGATAGCGAGGGTAACAAAAGAGAAGTTGGCTGGATGACATCTGAGACTGGACAGGATCATCTTTTGCAAATTCACTGAGGGCAGAGTTTCTTTCAGGCATCATTTGGGAGGAGGGGGGGGGTTCTGCCCCCAAAAGAAAATGGAATTTATATACAAAACATACTTTAACCAATGTCAACCATTCCCCTGAAATTTAAGTCTCCACCCCTGAAAATTTCAAGTACGCCCTCCAAAAAATCAATTATTTATATTTAATTATATTACAGTTTTGATGAATAATAACAATATTTGTGATCATGTGTGTATAATTAGATGTACTAGTCACAGCTTTACTTATTTCCAAGTGTTGTTCACTTTGATGGATGCTAGATTGAAAGAAAACTAGACTTTTGAACATAATTTCTGCATTTTGGACCATGGTATGGCTAACCCAATTGATCATTACCAGTATTTTTAGCTGTCCTAAACAATGTAATCATTGGTCTAACAATACAAAATCAGTATACAGCTTAATTTTCGCGTGATTAGCCATATTTCGTGATAAAATATTTTATTTTTCAATAAATGTACATGGGGCCGTTCGTTGCTAGCGTCCCATTTATGGGACGTTTTTTAAAAAATCGATATTTAAAAAAGTATTGATTTTAAAAAAAAATCCATAGTCATCCCTTCATTCAGTGCCCAAAACCTAAACCATATCAAAAAATTATAAAAATTTGAGACCTTGGGATAATATGGGATAAAGTTAAGCTTCTGGATTATAAAGCACAACTAAATCTAAAAGGTAGAACATTCTGAATAGTAGCCTAGATATTACTTAAATTTGGTCTTGCAGTTCAGATCATTCATTTTTTAATTAGCTACCGTTTGTTTGTGTTCTTTAAATATCATTTTTTAACTTAATGATAAGGTATGGCTTAGATAAATGTATTGTGTGAGAGAGTGAACTACGGAGTGAGCAAGTGTGTGGGAGAGCGAGGGCCAAGAACTGCTCAGTCAATCAGCTGTCATCGATCGGTTCAAGGCAGGAGATATCGATCGGGAACCACGTGACGCGCCTCGCGCGCCGTCAGTCCCTACCCACGCAGCATAAATTGAAATATTTTATTCCTGGGTAGCCGTTCTTCTACACGACATTCATCTAAACGGAACGCCTTTTATTAGCCGCGTTGAATTAGTGAATAAGAGCAAATCGGAACAACAGGACAAAAAATTAATTTTACCCTTATTATATTTTCAGTGAATTGATAATATTTAGCAGCGATTGCATGACGCATAGATTTAAAAATCACTCTCTTATGGCTTTTAACAAACCGAATGACAAACTAGCCTATAAATAGAACTTCGATAAACCGAACGCATGGGATGAGCATCGTCTATGACGTCACGAATGTTCCATTTATTATGATTCTGGCCAAGATGGCGCCGAGCCCCAAGAACGACTGTGAGATTTTATTCCAGAGGAAGACCCAGCCATTGTGTGTGTAAAAGAAGTCGGTTGGACCCACAGACTGAAACATGACCTGCACTGTCTCTTGATTCCAATTCTCGTCTCCCTGCTGGTATTTTGTGCCAGAGTTACGGCCACCATGATGAAACTTCACCGCCCTTTGTGTTCGGATGTAACGTTAAGGTATGTCCACAGCGTCGATTCACTTTGTTTTCATGTCTTCATCATACAGGTTTTAGTTCGGGTAGTCGTATACACTGGACATTTATTCTTACCATTCTCGTGTCAGGCCTGTGTGGTCTTTAACTAAATCAACAAAACCTGTATTGACCTGTACAGTGACGCAGAGTATGATAATCATGTAAACAGTTGGGTCGATGTTTTCTTTGGGCTATTTACTGCTGGTCAATGCTAATCATATCAACACAATGTTTTATATTTCATTTTATGAGCATATACAGATGTAGTATGTTGTTTCCAATAGATTTGTTATATTGATGTCAATTTATCGAACGATAGGTGCCTTTTAAATATCATTTTTGACAAATATTTACCACCAATTTAAGTCGATCGATAATAAATCAGCATTGATCCGACTGTATGTGTATGTGTATGTGTATGTGTATGTGTATGTGTATGTGTATGTGTATGTGTATGTGTATGTGTATGTGTATGTGTATGTGTATGTGTATGTGTATGTGTATGTGTATGTGTATGTGTATGTGTATGTGTATGTGTATGTGTATGTGTATGTGTATGTGTATGTGTATGTGTATGTGTATGTGTGTGTGTGTGTGTGTGTGTATGTGTATGTGTATGTGTATGTGTATGTGTATGTGTATGTGTATGTGTATGTGTATGTGTATGTGTATGTGTATGTGTATGTGTATGTGTATGTGTATGTGTATGTGTATGTGTATGTGTATGTGTATGTGTATGTGTATGTGTATGTGTATGTGTATGTGTATGTGTATGTGTATGTGTATGTGTATGTGTATGTGTATGTGTATGTGTATGTGTATGTGTATGTGTATGTGTATGTGTATGTGTATGTGTATGTGTATGTGTATGTGTATGTGTATGTGTATGTGTATGTGTATGTGTATGTGTATGTGTATGTGTATGTGTATGTGTATGTGTATGTGTGTATGTGTGTGTGTATGTGTAATAGGGGCTTCGTATGGGTATGAGTGTGTGTCAAAATGCAGGTATAGTTGTAGGTGTAGGTGTAGGTGTAGGTGTAGGTGTAGGTGTAGGTGTAGGTGTAGGTGTAGGTGTAGGTGTAGGTGTAGGTGTAGGTGTAGGTGTAGGTGTAGGTGTAGGTGTAGGCGTAGGCGTAGGCGTAGGCGTAGGCCAGTGGTAGTCGTAGGTGTAGGTGTAGGTGTAGGTGTAGGTGAGGTGTTGGTGTAGGTGTAGGTGTAGGTGTAGGCGTAGGCGTAGGCGTAGGCGTAGGCGTAGGTGTATGTGTATGTGTAGGTGTAGGTGAGGTGTTTGTGTAGGTGTAGGTGTAGGTGTAGGTGTAGATGTAGATGTAGGTGTAGGTGTAGGTGTAGGTGTAGGTGTAGGTGTAGGTGTAGGTGTAGGTGTAGGTGTAGGTGTAGGTGTAGGTGTAGGTGTAGGTGTAGGTGTGGGTGTAGGTGTAGGTGTAGGTGTAGGTGTAGGTGTTGGTGTAGGTGTTGGTGTTGGTGTAGGTGTAAATTATGTATTGGTGTAGAAACAACGTACAATCTTTTGTTTTACACACGTTCCTGTTTGAGTGTTATAAAAAAGGCTGTCTTACTGTTCATAGACCTACAAAGCTTTTGGTCAGGTATAATTTAACTACCAGTAGGACACAATCTTGACCAGAGTTTCTTCCATGCATATCTTCTGATGGGGGAGGGGGAGGGGGGAAGAAAGTCTACCATCCCCGAACAAAATTGGACTCATATAGAAAACATACTTTTACGAGTGTCCGCCCCCCCCCCCTAAAAATTTAGTCTCTCCCCCCCCCCCCCCCCCCCCCCCGAAAATATCAAGTTTCCCCTCCCCCGGAGACAAAAGTCTGAATGAAACACTGACATTGACTTATTAAATAAAACTAGACAAGCGTCGGTAAAGTCAACAAATTTCAAATTCTTTTCAGACTTGTCGTGGACATTTCGCCCGACTACGACGAAGATGACGAGCAAGACGAAACGGCGAATGAAGCAAACGATAACCCAACAGAGAGTGTGGACAACGACAACCAACGCAAGACCGAGTTCCCTGCCAACAAAAATCTCAACTTCGCCAGAACAAACAATAACCGATTCCTGGAGGAGAACAGTGAGACCAGCCTCGACTTCAACCAGAACCGACATCAACACAGCCGGGCACGGCCCCACAACCACAGCTGCAGCTGGTACTCACGACAAAACACCTCCGATAAAACAGCTAAAGACATCTACAACCACGAACACGTATTCAGCGGGGAAGCCAAGGGGGACAACTTCCAAACGGTTCATCTTGATTCAGAGTTCAAACGTTGCGTGGAAGAAGAGGGCAACGATTTTAAAGAAGCCTCGATCTGCCAGCAGTACGACAACATCTGGGAGGAGCCGAGCATCAACTACCAGGACATCAACAACCAAAACAAGGCGCGGTTACGTCAGTATTCGGACGCGGATTTATCCAGCTGCCTGGAGGACACGCCGTGGTGTGAGAGCAGCAGACGACGGGCACACAAGTCTTCAGACGATGACAACAGCGAGAGCACGCTGTACGGCGGGGCAGACGGCGACTTGCCGTCCAAGAGACGCTGTGTGGAAGATGCCCGGTCGCTGGGCAGCGAGGAGAGGGCAGAGACTGGGGACGAGGAGTCCCTGGACGACAGTCTGGACAACATCGAGGACGTCGTGCTGCCAGAGGCACCGGAAGAGCTGCCGGTGGACTGCGACGAAGATGTGGATGTCTTTGAGAAACAGGTGAGCGATCGGTCAGTCATGATACCCCTCCAGACACCCGCACACGAACACACGAACAAACACGGATTTGAATTGAATTCTGTGTTTTGTTAACTATGCCATATGTTTAGTAAATCTAGCTCATAGAGATGTTTTTTTTCTGTTCATATTTCGAAAGTGAATATATGAATTCGCAGAATTCAGAATTTACAGCAAACAAAAAAATCCTCTAAAAATGTTCCATATACACTACTAGCATGCCGTTGGATTATGCGACTAATAGGGCTGGTAAGTAGGTCACCAACCAGTTCTATGGCTCATGCAGGTTTTATCGAGCCGTATAACTGGTTGGTGACCTACTTACCAGCCCTATTATACTTTGCTTAGAGCTATCAATGCTTGAACCGACAGGTTTATTTAACGTGTTTACATGTGTAGGCATATAAGATCGATATCAGACTAGAACGTGAGCTCCGTCATCCCCCCTCCCCACCTTTACACCCCACCTTTCCACCCCCGCTGGCTTGTTGTCGTGTAAGGACTACTTTACTCACTCGGTACAACTAGAAAAAAGAATGTTAACACTAGAAATATAAAGATCTGCTTATGTAACATCAGCCGTGGTACAACTAGAATAAACCGGGAGTGATCTCCCCTAAACTTTCTCGAATATTCTAATTCACTACGGGGGATGGCAACTCGGGATATAGACTTTAGACATGATTTTTAATCCATTTTAAATACTCAATTTTTTTAAAATAGAATATAATCTGGTAGAAAAAGAAATGCACACCTAGAGAACGCTAAATAAAGATGTGCATAATAGTGCGCAATATTATTAGTACTTGATAAATTTACATGCGTTTCTTGAGAAATCGGAAATAGCATAAATAAGTACTTCCGGTCAACGGAAATTACCCAAAATTTGAAAGAAGGTAGAGAATTAAATCTTTTACTTACATATCAAGTTTCATTTATCTATCTGAAATAGTACTCAAGTTATAGGCTTTTGAAAAATTCAAAGTAGAAAAAGTACCACTTCCGGTTATCGGAAATCGCTCAAAAGTTAATACGGATCTACGATTTTGATAAAATACTTATATATGAAATTTCATCAACCTAGCTGTAACGGTACTCAAGTTATCGTGTTTACACACACACACACACACACAGACACACACACAGACACACAGACATACGGACAAGATTGCAAAATTATGTTTTTCCGTATCAGTGAGGTGTAAAACGTCGAGATTTGTAAAAATCTCTATTTTTTTTTTGCACGATTACAATACTTTCTCTATAGGCTACTTCGTATATACGAGAAAGTAAAAAAGAACTTAACCACTAGAAATATAAAGATCTGCTCGTGTAATACCAGCCGTAGCTTCTGATTGCTTGCTGGTTAACCAATCATCCCCTCTGCTTACCTCAGTCCTTCTCACCTATCCCCCACCACCTTACACCCAGTGAATTCCCCATGGAGGCATTGTTCAGGCTCTATTGAGTCATAGTCTACTACAAGATTGATTGATAATTAAGTTGTAGTTAATATAAGTTCTATTGAAAAGTTACGAGAGACAGGTGTTTCTAATAACGTTGACCATTTAACACGATAGACAGCTGTTTCTAATAACGTTGACTATTTAACACGAAAGACAGCTGTTTCTAATAACGTTGACCATTTAACTGTTAAATAGTCAACGTTATTAGAAACAGCTGTCTATCGTGTTCAATTTTAACAAGATAGACAGATGTTTCTAATAACGTTGACTATTTCACACTGCGAACAATGATTTGTCTGTGTTGTACAGATGGACCAGTCTTTGATCACGTCCTTCTATGGCGAGATCAGCAACGACGAGCTAGGGAGGAGCATGATACAGTCAATACATGGTAAGTCCTCTCACACTTCGGTCACGTGTCTCAGGTGCTATGCATGCATGTTGGCATGCATTATGTTACAATTAGGTCATGGGTGTAGCGAGGAGGGGAGGGGGTAAGGACCCATTTAGGGGGGGGGGGGGGGTGACACCAAGGCAAAAAATAGCAAAATATATAGAGAAAAATGAAAATTCCACTTAATTAAGTGATTAATTCGAGTGTTAAATAGTGTTTTAAGAGGTGCAAATCGAAAGTTTGGGGGGGGGGTGCAAATCGAAAGTTTGAGTGGTGTGTGCAAAACGAAAGTTTGAGGGGGGGGGTACAAATCGAAAATTGAAAGTTTGTCCCCGGCAAGGGTCGCTACGCCTCTGAGGTGTGACACCGCAACAGATGACACCCGACCTCGCTACGCCACTGAATTAGGTAAATGTAGTGAGTTTATAGACCCTTATTAAATTATAATGTACACACTTTAAATATTGTGTGTACAACCTTCATACACACTCGTATACACTTAAACATGCATTGTGTCACTCTTCGGAAACAGGATTTTATTAGGTACATAGCATAAACGAACTCAAACAATGTACGCAGTATATACATAACACATGCTTTGTACACACTGCATACACACACATCTGATCTGTACACAGGTAACTGTGTTATACAAACCTTGTACAATTATGTTTACATTGATTCGTTACATTATAAACAACCTATAATGTCATTTATCATTAGCACACTGCCGAAGAGGTATGTTACTGAGATCTTGTTCATTATTTTTTTTTAATTTGCTGTTTTAATGTTCACTTTCATGTTGCTCCTTTTTTAAAACATTAAAATTTCAAGTGTGTTTATTTTTGCTAATCCACTAATTAAAAATCCTTGGAACCTGCTTAAACACAACTTTAAAATGAATGCTTTGAACTAAATGTTTTTATGCCTATTTTTACAATTAATTGAGTGTTGATTTTTTTTTCTGCCAAAGCAAATCAAAATTCTGATGACAGAATTATAAGAATTTTTTTCTGCTGAAATGGATTTTTTTGTTCCTTAGAACTAAATTTGTTTCTTTCTTCTCTAAAACGTTTTAAGCATCATTGGAACTGCACGCTTGTTTTCTGCTAAGATATTTTTGTTTTAATCCTGGGACTTCTAGAAGTTTTTTTGCTGTAACAAAACATTTTAATGCCATTGACATTGAACTACTTTTAATTCCTACAACACATTTCACTTGAATGCTTGTAACACCACTGTTAAAAATATCGACCAACCAGGCTAGCAGAGAATGCCACGTGATATAATAATATACTGAATCAGCAGGATACATTTCCCAGGTTAAAGTTCAAAGTTCACAATAACTTGATGTTGCTGGGGTATTGAATCACACATTAACATCCTCTTGCGAGAGGCTTAAAGAAAACAAAACAGTTCGAACCCCAACTGAAGGTTTCCACGTTTAATGTGAAGTAAACAGCAATTATTGTAAGCACCCACCCCCGTCCCCCACCCTCGTCCCCACCACACCCACTAAGTGTTTAAGACAATTGATGTTTTCTCCTTGTGTTCCCGCCGTCAAGGTGACGTCATAGCAGACGAGATGACGAAATCAATAGCCGAGGAGATTCACGACGTCATCCTAGGGGACGGGGCGGAGAAGGCAGACGTCGATGCCCACGAGAAACAACTTCCGTTCCCGTACCCTTTCACCCTTAAGCATGCGGGTCATCTCTTTGACAAGCCGCGGTACCATCTGGCTACCACAATCAGGTAATGCTCTATTCAGGTCCCACAATCAGGTAATGGTCTATTAATACTAGCACCATTCATTTTAGCTACCACAATCAGGTAATGGTCCATTATACTAGCTCCATTCAATTTCAGCTACCACAATCAGGTAATGGTCCATTATACTAGCACCATTCATTTTAGCTACCACAATCAGGTAATGGTCCATTATACTAGCTCCATTCAATTTCAGCTACCACAATCAGGTAATGGTCCATTATACTAGCTCCATTCAATTTCAGCTACCACAATCAGGTAATGCTCCATTAATACTAGCACCATTCAGCTACCACTATCATGTAATGCCCAGCACCACCTGGCTACCACAATTAGATAACGAACGCCCCATGTAATTCTAGAACCCTCTGACCACCCCAGGCAGGTCCGCAGTTGCTGTAAGATATCAGATAAGACCTCGGGCTAAAGTTCGATGTGAGAATCAATAGAAGAATGTGACACATTGAACTGTGACTGCTGATGGTTTTATTCATGTCATCAGCAATTGTTTTGTCTGTTTTGTTACGTCCTTTTCTGGCCAAAGTCCGTGTCTGATATTTAAAAAACTACTGCAAGTCTGTTTACCTGAATAAGTGTCTGATAAAGAACAACTGTTGTCACCACATTATCTTTGAAATTAAATTCCAAAATAAAGCGACTGGTAAATATCAATACAAATCGTCGTGAGTTGGGTGATGGGTGGTGTCCACATTGTTTGTGCTGACTAAATTAAGTGCTGTTAAAGTTAGACGTCTTAGTGGTTTCTCTTCAATCTTTGACTCGTTGGCCCAAAAAATGTGAGGTTTGGGAGAAAGTGCAATGATTTTTCCGTGGATGAACGTGGGGTCAAGGATGCGGGAGAAATCGATACGAATCCTGGTTCGCTGCCAGCAAATAGCGTTAACCAGCCCTTAGGAGCTGAGGCAAAGATACAAAACCCACACCCAGGGGCGTGTCTGGGGTAGATAAAGTTGGGGGGGGGGACGGAGATACAAACATCCATACGTACAATACACCAGCAGCGTGTCTGGGGTAGAGTTTGGTGGTGGGGCGGACACACACAACTCCTGATAAAATCGTTTAATGTTTAATGTTTTGGAAACATAATTTAGGTAACGGATATTTTGTAACTTACTCATTTTAAGATATTTTAACCACTAAGTCTAAAGACATAACTTACGCTAAACACAAAGTTTAAGGTTAAACTCCCATTTTCCTTTAGATTTTAGTATCGAGTTATGGATATTTGTTTACTGCACATCAGGCACAGTGTTTCTTTCAGACATTTTTCTCTGTGAATTGGGGCTGTTGAAAGTTTTAATAAGCAGCTGTTTTTCAATTAAATTTAAAGGTGAAACAGTATGAACGATGAAAAATGAAACGAACAAAAAAAAAAGAATTAAAAACTTTTCATTGCTCAATTAGTAGCAATAGCTTACGTTTTTCCTGTGTTTATTTAATCATTATTTTAAATAACTCCAATTAATAAAGTCTTCGTTTAAGAAAAGCTATGTAGTATAAAACCGTAAAATTGTAATGAATACTTTTATTGATTAAAATCAATTAAATGATTGTAAATAGACGATGAGCTCTTGAACTAAAAGGTGTCGTAGATTATTACAGAGGTGTCGTATAATGTTACAGGGGTGTCATAGATTTTTACAGTGGTGTCATACAGTGGTGTTGTAGATTGCTACAGAGGTGTCATAAATTGTCGAATGAACGTCTAGCGGGGACAGCTGTAGATGTCCTACTAGATCAGACACCGATACAAAACAACCGATTGCAGTAATTAGCACTAGCATTTAATTACAATAAACTAAACCGGGTTTATTAATACCAAGAACCCCTCACTGGCCACGCCCATGCCCACCCATCACACACCCCCTGGGTAGAGATCGATGGAACAACATTGGGGAGTTGGCCGTCACAGTATGAATGGGCATCGAGAAATAGGATAAAACCCCATGTAAATCAAAGTGTATGATCTTTATTTACAATACACACACATATATATATATATATATATATATATATATATATATATATATATATATATATATATATATATATATATATATATATATGTGTGTGTGTTAATGTTAATCGATTAATATGCCTTATGTATATATTATGTATATGCCCTATGTATAAATATGTATATTCCCGCATTATGTTTATCAGTTTTCCCCTGTAATGTTGGTATTAGACAATCCTCTCAGTGCCGTCATAGAGTCTCAATCATGAAATCCTGTTGAAAAACTTAAGCTAAATCTGACATGAACAGAATTTTCTGAATCTTTGGGTTTAAAATCTCATTATCGCAAGATTACTTTTGCATGGACAAAATTTAAAATAACAACAGAGATGAAAGCAGCCTACTTTGTATAATACAACATTAAACCTTTAATGCAACGGTTGGAATTTCTTATAACATATCAGATGTTGAGTTCAATTAAATGGTTGGACCAATCAAATTATACTACCACCAGTCTAGTTTGCTACTAGTAGCTTGGTCTGCTACAAAAAGACTAGTGTGCTACCGACAGTCTAGGTTGCTACTGGTAGCTTGGTCTGCTACTGACAGACTAATATGCTACTGATAGACTAATATGCTACTGATAGACTAAAATGCTACAGACCGATTAATCTGCTACCCGCAGCCTAGTTTGCTACTGGTAGCCTGTTCTGCTACAGAAAGACGAATCTACTACGGGCAGCCTAGTTTGCTCCTATAATAGGTTCGCTGTTTACCCACCAATCCCCCAACCTTAGCTCATTGATTGCAGTTCATTGAACACAACTGGCCATATTGTTTGTTTACTTTGTGACGACTAACTCACATGCCGTTTTGGCTCTACGCCATGGCTATTGATGCTGTCATAACAGTGAGGGATGGGCCAGTTAGGGCAGTTACAATTATACAAACAGGTGCATTGTTCCTTAAGAATAGAATCATGTAACTAACGTAAAACATTGTCAAGAAAATAGCAATAAGAAAACCTATGCCAACTCTTACATTCGAGGTTATTGTTAAAATAACCATAAAACGATATTTAAATTAATAATGAAATAATTCCTAAATTCATTCATAATCACAGTAATAAAAATGCTTATCAATTACTCCACTTTCATACTTTCTACTTGCTATAACAACATAAAGCATGTTTAAACAATATGTATTGTAAGAACCGATAGAAATTTTAAATTACCCTCAAAATTTTATTAACTTTATACAATTGAAATTGTATATTTAATGGTTAATTATCGGTTCCTATGTTAAAATGCCTCTATTATATTCAAGAAATTGTCTATTTTCAACACCTTTCCTACAATCGTTAGAAAAAAATTCGAATATAGCATGTCTATATTTACGTAACAAATTATGATTTGGAGAATTTAACATCGACGATATTATACGGGAGAGTTTGTAAGTCTAGAGATGATGTCATATCCTAAATCAATGAGAACCAGCTGATCGATAACGTGTATCGATAATTTCCCAGCAGGTCAAGAACGTCCTCCCGATCGACCTATGACGACACCTGTAGCGAGGTATCCCGTTCATCTTCCACTACCTGTACAGTCAAACAACACCTGAGTAGCTTTACACCTGAGTACAGCAGAGGTAAGGGGACAGTGTGGGGGACAGTGTGGGGGTCAGTGTGGGGGACAGTGTGGGGACAGTGTGGGGGTCAGTGTGGGGGTCAGTGTGGGGGGGGGTCATTGTGTGACAGTGTGGGGGTCAGTGTCCCGTTCATCTTCCACAACATGTACAGTCAAGCAACATGTGAAACCCTTCACACCTGAGTACAGCAGAGGTAAGGGGACAGTGTGGGGATCAGTGGGGGGTCAGTGTGGGGTAAGTGTGTGACAGTGTGGGGGTCAGTTTGGGGGTCAGTGTGAGAGAGTGTGCGGGGTCAGTGTGTGACAGGTTGGGGGGATCTGTGTGAGGGTCAGCGTGGGGGTCAGTGTGGGGTCATTATCTGACAGTGTGGGGTCAGTTTAAGGTCAGTTGGCTGTCTGGACGTAATTTTTCTATCAATGATGTCAAGTAGAACTGGACCAAAGCATTTATTTTATATTCCAATTTCATTTCACATTTTAGTTTTTAAACTTGAGTAGCAACTTGTATTCTCCAATTTTTACTTTCTCGTATACACGAAGTATAGAGAAAGTCTTGTAATCGTGCAAAAAAAAATCGAGATTTTTACAAATCTCGACGTTTTACACCTCACTGATACGGAAAAACATAATTTTGCAATCTTGTCCGTATGTCTGTGTGTCTGTCTGTGTGTCTGTCTGTGTGTCTGTCTGTCTGTCCGTGTGTAAACACGATAACTTGAGTACCGTTACTGCTAGGTTGATGAAATTTCATATATAAGTATTTTATCAAAATCGTAGATCCGTATCGACTTTTGAGCGATTTCCGATAACCGGAAGTGGTACTTTTCCTACTTTGAATTTTTCAAAAGCCTATAACTTGAGTACTATTTCAGATAGATAAACGAAATTTCACATGTAAGTAAAAGATCTAATTCTCTACCTTCTGTTAAATTTTGAGTAATTTCCGTTGACCGGAAGTAGTAATTTACGCTACTTCCGATTTCTCAAAAAACTAATGTAAATTTTAAAAGTACTAATAATATTGCGCACTATTATGCGCTTTTTTATTTGGCGTTCACTTGGTGTGCAATTAATTTGTCTACGAGATTTTATTCTATTTTTAAAACTTTAAGTATTTAAAATGGATTAAAAATCATGTCTATAGCCCGAGTTCCCATCCCCTGTTATTTTATATAAGAATATTCGAGAAAGTTTAGGGGAGATCACTCCCGGTTTATTTTGTTTAATGCACAATGAAAAGTTACATCTCTGTTACTTTACACAGTGTTAGAGATTGATTTGTGTAAAGTGTTTCTTCCAGACTTTTTTCTCCGGGGGTGCACTTGAAATTTTCGGGGGGGGGGGGAGGCGGACAACAATTTTTGGGTGGGCGGACACTGTCAAAAGTATATATTTTCTATATATATTCCATTTCGTTCGGGGGGCGGTAGACTTTCTTGGGGGGGGGGGGGGGGAGAGCGGTGCCCCCCCCCCCCTCCCCGAAGAGATGCCAGGAAGATTTCTGGTTGTCTATATAAGTTACTACGTGTGAGAATTATTGGTAATTTGTCTGTATCAAATATTGTTATGTAAAATTGATGAGTAATTTGTCTATATAAAAATGCTTCATTTGACTCATGAGAGTATTATGGATAATCACTGAACTACAAATAAAGAATATTTGCTGAGTCACTGTTTTTATTTTCCCACAGCAACCACCCCAATCCCCTCCCCAAAGAAAAACACAAAAGTGGTTTCAACCAAAGAACTTGAGGTAACACACCGGGGTCTGCACAGGTTTATACCACGTCACAAGGACGAGATGAACATTGGCATTGGTGACCCCATCCACGTCATTAAAGAGTTCGATGACCTGTGGTGTGAAGGTCAGTTGATCAGTGTGACAGTTTGTATGTTGTTATTGTCACAGTTTGTATGTTCATTCATATTGTGAAAGTTTGTATGTTCTTATTGTGACAGTTTGTATGTTCCTATTGTGACAGTTTGTATCTTCTTATTGTAACAGTTTTTATGTCAATATTGTGCTTGTTTGTATGTTCTTATTTTGAAAGTTTGTATATTCTTATTGTGACAGTTTGAATATTCATATTGTGACAGTGTGTATGTTCTTATTGTGACCGTTTGTATTTCTTATTGTGACACTTTGTATGTTGTTATTGTGACAGTTTATATGTTCTTATTGTAACAGTTTGTATCTTCTTATTGTAACAGTTTGTATGTCAATATTGTGACAGTTTGTATGCAGTGTTTCTTCCAGACTTTTTTCTCCGGGGGGGGGGGGGGCACTTGAAATCTTCGGGGGGGGGGGCGTTAAACTTTCTTCGGGGGGGGGGGGGGCGGACACTGTTAAAAGTATATATTTTCTATATAAATTATATAAATTTCCTTTCGTTCGGGGGGGCGGTAAAAAAATTTCGGGGGAGCTTTCGGGGGGGGCTTCGCCCCCCCCCCCCCCCCCGAAGAGATGCCTGGAAGAAACTCTGTTTGTATGTTCTTATTGTGACAGTTTGTATGTTCTTATTGCGACAGTTTGTATTTTTTTATTGTAACAGTTTGTATGTCAATATTGTGACAGTTTGTATCTTCTGATTGTGACATTTTTTTATGTTCTTATAGTGACAGATTGTATGTTGTTATTGTGACAGTTTGTATCTTCTTATTGTAACAGTTTGTGTGTTCTTATTGTGACATTTAACAGTGTATAAAAAATACGTAAACTAAACATAAAAGAAATAGATAACTCCTGCTGAGGTTGCAGTTTATTTCATGAAAAAAAAAAATTTAATTAAATAGCAAATATATCTGATAATTTATAATTCATTAGCAGTTATGTAGACCTTTAAAACTAAGTTTTTAGGAAACAAAATTGTCTATTTAACCAGTCCGGTTAAGTAGGATGTAAAATAACCGTTTAAGCTGCTTACTTGGTAATCCATGTAACCTTTTAAACATTCTTGTAAAGTTTAGTCTATACCTGATTTTCATTTAATGTGTCTCTAAAATCCATTTCTCAAATCTCCCTAAAAATGGAACACGAACATTTCTACACTACTCTACACATAAAACAGCTTGGTTGTTTGTATTTGAACGTAGGCTACAGTTATGTATTCAAAATATTTAAGATCATTTTTTTTTCCATACATCTTTTTAATTTTTTTTTATAGTAACCCAATCTTCTGCTGAAATATTACTTCCTGTTGTTGACTATTCAAACAAATAATACTGATGAAATACATATACGTCACAAGCTTTAAAAAAAAAACAACCTAAAAGATGCCTTGATAAGTTGTTTACATTGTACAAATCAATAGTCGTTCGTCAGGGGAAACCACTCCGCATCTAATTGAAGCCGTACACAGTGGTCTCCCCTTGTCCGTTGGGACTTTCGGACAGTCTGGCTTCCATTGATCGGACTGGCTATTGCTACATTATGTGTGTGTGGAGGGGGGGGGGGGGGGCACAAGTCTATCGCCTAACCAAGGAATGGCAGACGAATGACTTTTTTTTTAGCCTAAACATCACGACACTATTTAAGTCAGGCTGAATTAAACGGCTAGATTTGTAGGCAGGTGTTTTTGTATCTCATTAGAAATTATAAAAATCTGATTTACAGCGATGTGGTATCTGGATATCGTGGAAATACAGAACCAGAAAATTGTGGAAACCTTTAAACAAAACATTAGTCACGTATACTGTGTAGCGAGAGTCGACTAACCCACGAACCAATAACCGAATTAATTGTCTCATTTGACTTGCAGGTATCAACTTACGGACGGGCGAGAAAGGAATATTTCCAGCCATGTACGCTAACGACTTGAACTTCCTCGAGGAGTCAGGTAAACTAGAATCTATATAACCCCGGGGTGGAATTGGGGGGAGGGGGGTTAACTAGAATCACTATAACCCCCGGGATGGGGGAGGGAGGTAAACTAGAATCACTAGAATCCGGGAGTAGGTTAAGTATAATCACTATAATCCGGGGTGGGGGGGGGGGGGGGAGTAGGTAAACTATAATCACTTAAACCCCTGGGATCAGGTAAACTATCTTCAGTATAACCCTGAGGGTCAGATACACCATCATCCCTTAAACCCATAAAACAAGATCAGATTATAAGTGAAATTAAAGTTTTATTTCCTCCTATTTTGTGTATTTGTTTTATTTTCAGACGATGAAGAAGAATATTGGAAATTTAGCATGAGATTCCTAGGTTCTATAGAGGTGACGTCACACAAAGGGGACGAAACCCTAGTACATGCCATCAACAAGGTAAGCTAAAATTAATAGGTAAACTTTTTTTGTGTGATAAAAGTGTGATCCGTTAATGGCGAAACAATGGGGCGATTTTTTGTTTCTTAAATATCTGTTGATGTGTGTATAAAATATCCGTGCATGTGAAATATTTGTACCGTATCTAATATAAACTTGACTCAAACGATTTAACATCTACAGGTCGCCAGTCTACAGAAAGATAAACTTAACTCTGCTTCCCTCAGTACACTGGAGATAAACCAGTACGGTATCAGGATGATAGATAAAAGTAAAGAAGGGGTGAGTAGATAAAAGTAAAGGTTAGGTGAGTAGATAAAAGTAAAGATTGGGTTAGTAGATAAAAGTAAAGATGGGGTGAGTAGATAAAGTAAAGGTTAGGTGAGTAGATAAAAGTAAAGAAGGGGTGAGTAGATAAAGTAAAGGTTAGGTGAGTAGATAAAAGTAAAGGTTGGGTGAGTAGATAAAAGTAAAGATGGGGTGAGTAGATAAAAGTGAAAGTTAGGTGAGTAGATAAGAGTAAAGAATGGGTGAGTAGATAAAAGTAAAGATGGGGTGAGTAGGTAAAAGTAAAGGTTAGGTAAGTAGATAAAAGTAAAGAAGAGGTTAGTAGATAAAAGTAAAGAAAAGCTAAAAAGATGGTATACTAAAGTAAATAAGGGTTGTTAATTTGATTGACCAGTTTCTTTTGTTTTTGACAGCATGAAAAAGACGCATTTTCCCATTTCTTCGCTCTAAAGAATATATCATTCTGTGGTACTCACCCGAAAAACAACAGGTAAATCTGATGCACCTGCTAGGTGTTTTTCTTTTATTTTTTAGTATGGTATTCATGATTAATTCACTACTTTGAAAAAAAGTATCATTAAGATCATATTAAAATAAGGAATGCCTTTTTAATTATTTATTTTTTGCGAAAATTAAATATTTTAAAACTGAAAAATTGACTGTACCATTTTGTTTCACCTCAATCAGGTATTTTGCTTTTATAACCAAACACCCACGTGACTATAAATTTGCATGTCACGTGTTCTATGGCGACAGACCAACACACAGGGCAAGGGATGCGTTGGGGTAAGTGACTAGCCATTCTAGAGAGGGCAGTTGTATGATTCGGGCAAGTGTCCATTTAGGAGAACGGCCTTTAGGCAAACGGCTTTCGGGCAGTGTTTCTTCCAAGCATCTCTTAGGGGGAGAGGGGGGGCATATACTTTTAATAGTGTCCGCCCCCCCCCCCTACCCCCCCCCCCGCCCCTCCCTCCCCCCCCCCTCCCCCGCCCCCCGAAAATTTTAGTCCGCCCCCGGAGAAAAAAGTCTGGAAGAAACACGGCCTTCGGGCATTAGTCTTTTCCTCTATAAATAAATAAGATGAAATTAAAAACAAGACTATCAAAATATCAACTAATTGTGTATGAAAACTAATTAACATAGTGTTGATAAAATATTCCCGACACTACAAGATTAGGCAGTAACATTATCGTCTTTACTTCACTTTGTTCAGTTAATATACAACAGTCTTAGCAATTTAAAACGGATGCTTATTTATATTTGTGTATTGTATCCACAGAGAAGCTTTCAAGCGATTTTACCAAGAATACATGGCATTCACCCACCCGACAGAGGACATATACATGGAATAAAACTGTTTGTCTATTGGCACGGCTGCGGGTCGTCACGACACCTCGTGCTACCCGCACGGAGTCTTCAACAGCAATACTGCGGTGTAGAACTGGAACAGTATCAAAATACATGGCAATTTGAACTCGTCTCTATAACATTACATTTGGCTAAATTTGAAAACTTTTTAACCACGATTGGAACATTCAGAGAGCTCAAAAAAAAAATACTGACCATTCTAAAATTTATTGCAAAGACCAGACGAGACAGCAGTGTTCATATAGATACATGACTAGTCCCATTCATATCATGATGGTATTGTACGAGTGATAGCAGGTCTGACAGTTGGGGCACGGGTGCGGTAATCGAATCCGTTTATGAGCAGTTGAACTAAGTAGCCAAAACAAAACAGCATGCCATTACAGCGTTTTACAATTTTTACTACACGATTCACACCCATAAAAATTACTCCAGAAATTTTTATAAGCACTTGCAGAGGATGCGAACTAGGAGGAAAAACAAACGGCTCTAAATTCCGAGTAAAACAAAGATGTATTCGATATTGTAACTTGAATACCATACGTTTTTGTTTCTAGTTCTGTCGCTGTTACGTAGTGTTCTTTGGATGGGGAGGGGGGGGGGAAGCATACCTTAGTTTCTCTATGTAAACACAGGTGGTGTAACTGTGCTCTACCTCAGTGAACTGTAAATGTAAGGGGGGGGGGGGGTGTAAGACCGCCCTACAACAGTGAATTGTGGGGGAGTCGACAGTGCGGTACCTCAACGAACTGTAATTGTAATCAGTTGGGGTGGGTTCAGCTTTAAATTTATCAGTGGGCCGTGGTGGGGGGAGGGGTGACAGTGTCCTACATCAGTAAACTGTAAATGTAATCGGGGGCCGGGGTTTGGGGGGGGGGGTGGAGGTAAGAGTGCCCCACATCCGTGAACTGTAAATGGGGGTCGTGGGGGTGGTCCGTGGTGGTAGTTTAGCTTCGGAATACATATAGGGCCTATACAGTGCAGCGAAATACATTATATACATTCATGTGTCATCATCTGCGACTAATTTAAAGTTCGACCCCTATATAAGCTTTTTTTTTTGTCTTCGGTGACAGAATGAAGAGACCTACGCTAAACAAAAAAAGTCAAAGTGTTGATAACTTTTCAAACTTGACGGTCAAAACGGCAGGTGAAGTAGAGTTCACCTGTTTCCATGACCTCAGCATAAGTAGGGACAGTGTGGTCAGTTCTAACCCCATCCGCCTTTACCTTTCCTACAGGTCAGGTCTGGGTGACCTTGGTGATGTTCTACAGACTTGCAGGTTAGCATTCGTGTGCTCTACCGTCTTTCCCTACTAGACTAAGCGTCCGTTGACTAGGGACGATGGACATAAGAGACCAGCCACTATATAAATGATCTGTACACAAGAAAGACAAAACTTAGAGTCGGGCCCTTATGCTTTATTTGACAACAATATGCGCAGGATCAAATAGACATACAACTCAACATATCAAATTGGGTTACTTTCCTACAAATTAACATTACAATAAAATGCTAATCACAATTATTACCATTTTACACATTTAATTTCGCATGTGCATTAATTTAATGCAGTCTTCTAGTTAACATTTACTGCATCTGTATTTACTGTAGACCTGCTATTGCTCTGTTCACTTTTTTTGTTGTACGTAAAGTGTAAAGACCGCCATCACAGCATTTTAATGGACATTTTAATGGTGAAGCAGCTAATTAAAGGAGAGGGGCGGGAAACACCTGATTATCGGCCCTGTTCTATCTAGTTATGGTAGACCGAATTCTCCACAATAAGAATAGACATTTGTATAACTTAACAACTATTGTAAAAGATATAGGCGGAAGATTTCTGTACAAACATATTTAGGAAAAATATGGCTATTATAGTCGATTCCCACGATTTGAACTAGAAGTATTTTCCCGTCATCTCTTAGTAAAAATAAAACAGAAAAATCTTCAAGAGTAAAATTGTACGGAAACCATCATACCTTCGCTCCACTTCCTGATCCTTTTTCTTTCTTTCTCTCTCTTTCTCTATCTCTTTCTCTCTCTGTACTGTGTTGCATCTTGTAACTTTGCAGACTTTCATTTGTGTCTCTATTTCTAACACAAATCTGTCATCGTCAAAAATATATTTCATTTGATGGTAGAGTTCATTTTTTTTTATTTAGCAAAAAGAAAGATTAATTTTAATTAGCAATTAAAATGTAAGTTCATTTAAAATTGATAACTCAAAGAGCGAAATGAGGGAACGCGTTTTAAGTTCAACGTACGGAAAATTCATTCGTTTCTTTTTCTTCTCACTCACTATAAATTTCTATTTTTTCGTCAGTCCAGTGACGTGTTTGTGGCTAGTTTAGTGAATGATGTATTACCTGCATGTTATTGTTTACAAACTTTGGTCTCGCTACTGTAGTCGTTTAGTTGTTTGGTTCGTCTAATGACCGACAGGTTGATATGTGTGCATGCTGCCAAGACAAAGGAGGAGATGGGGTGGAGGTAGGTTTCCACAATAAAAGTCGTGTAAATAACACTTGAGAAACGTGTTGTTTTTATCTAACGTATGTCTGTCTGTGTGTCTGCCTGTCTACCTGTCTGTCGTGTAAATAACCAGCGGCATAGCGAGGGGGGGGGGTACCAAGGCAAAAAATAGCAAAGTATATAGAGAAAAAATGATAATTCCACTTAGTTAAGTGATTAATTCGAGTGTTAAATAGTCATTTAAGAGTTGCAAATCGAAAATTGAAAGTTTGTCCCCGGGAAGGGTCGCTACGCCTCTGGGGGGGGGGGGGGGGGGGTGACACCCGACCTAGCTACGCCACTGTAAATAACACTTCCTCCAACACAAATAATTATTATGTGTTAACTTGTTATGCGCCTTAATGCGGTTTTTTTTTTGTTGTTTTTTCCTTGTGAAATAATCAAACTATCTTTTAAAAAAATCCGTTGTATCGATTTCGTTCAAATGTTGCGAAATGTGCATAGCTAACCTCACCACGACATTTATTTTTTAAAACTTGATGTAAGCTATAACATCCTGTCTTTAAAAATTGATTTAAAGTGTTTACTCGCAAAAACCAACCAGCCGTGACAAACAGTTCACCGCCCGTCGGGGAGCTGAGCGTGCTATCACTTATTTATTCAGTCTTGTTATCTCCCCTTATTATTGAATTAAGTCATCTTTTAATTACATTTTATTGACTAATTATAAAGTCTAATTGGATTTTTAAAGATATATGTTCTTGCATTGACACCAGCGAGTTGTCACATAACAAACAAGCAAACAAACAGACCTTATGAACTAAACAAAAGGGGGATGACTGGTCAGATGAGGTGGGGTTCAGGTCTAATTTTGTTTACAAATCTTAAAGCCCAGATACGCGTTAGTGTAGTGCTGTGGAGCAGGCAGGAATATTTCGAGAGTGGTGGTCTTTGTCTATAATATATGGTGGTCTTGGTCTATAATATATGGTGGTCTTGGTCTATAATATATGGTGGTCCTGGTCTATAATATATGGTGGTCTTGGTCTATAATATATGGTGGTCTTTGTCTATAATATATGGTGGTCCTGGTCTATAATATATGGTGGTCTTGGTCTATAATATATGGTGGTCTTGGTCTATAATATATGGTGGTCTTTGTCTATAATATATGGTGGTCTTGGTCTATAATATATGGTGGTCTTTGTCTATAATACATGGTGGTCCTGGTCTATAATATATGGTGGTCTTTGTCTATAATATATGGTGGTCTTGGTCTATAATATATGGTGGTCTTTGTCTATAATATATGGTGGTCCTTGTCTATAATATATGGTGGTCTTTGTCTATAATATATGGTGGTCTTGGTCTATAATATATGTTGGTCTTTGTCGATAATATATGGTGGTCTTGATCTATAATATATTGTGGTCTTTGTCTATAATATATGGTGGTCTTAGTCTATAATATATGGTGGTCTTTGTATATAATATATGGTGGTCTTTGTATATAATATATGGTGGTCTTAGTCTATAATATATGGTGGTCTTTGTATATAATATATGGTGGTCTTTGTCTATAATATATGGTGGTCATGGTCTATAATATATGGTGGTCTTTGTCTATAATATATGGTGGTCTGTGTCTACAATATAGGGAAGATCTATACACTGGTGGCAAGTATTGCGGACTAAGTGAAACAAAGATTGAGCTCTGTCAGTCATACATCCGTGTTTCTCAATGCCCTCATCAAGTCCCCCAACTCTCAGAACATGTCCACCACCCCACCCCTCAGAACATGTCCACCACCCCACCCCTTAAAATGTGCCCACCCCTCAGAACATGTCCACCACCCCACCCCTTAAAATGTACCCACTACCCCACCCCTCAGAACATGTCCACCACCCCACCCCTTAAAATGTGCCCACCCCACCCCTCAGAACATGTCCACCACCTCACCCCTTAAAATGTGCCCACTACCCCACCCCTCAGAACATGTCCACCACCCCTCAAAATATGTCCACCACCCCACCCCTTAAAATGTGCCCACCACCCCACCCCTCAGAACATGTCCACCACCCCACCCCTTAAAATGTACCCACTACCCCACCCCTCAGAACATGTCCACCACCCCACCCCTTAAAATGTGCCCACCCCACCCCTCAGAACATGTCCACCACCTCACCCCTTAAAATGTGCCCACTACCCCACCCCTCAGAACATGTCCACCACCCCTCAAAATATGTCCACCACCCCACCCCTTAAAATGTGCCCACCACCCCACCCCTCAGAACATGTCCACCACCTAACCCCTTAAAATGTGCCCACCACCCCACCCCCCAGAACATGTCCACCACCTCACCCCTTAAAATGTGCCCACCACCCCACCTCCCAGAACATGTCCACCACCCCACCCCTTAAAATGTGCCCAGCCCACCCCTCAGAACATGTTCACCACCCCCCAGAACATGTCAACCACCCCACCCCTTAAAATGTGCCCACCACCCCACCCCCCAGAACGTGCCCACCACCCCACCCTTTGGAACATGTCCACCACCCCACCCCTTAAAATGTGCCCACCACCCCACCCCTCAGAACATGTCCACCACCCCACCCCTTAAAATGTGCCCACTACCCCACCCCTCAGAACATGTCCACCACCCCTCAGAACATGTCCACCACCCCTCAGAACATGTCCTCCACCTCACCCCTTAAAATGTGCCCACCACCCCACCCCTCAGAACATGTCCACCACCCCTCAGAACATGTCCACCACCTCACCCCTTAGAATGTGCCCACCACCCACCCCTCAGAACATGTCCACCACCCCCCAGAACATGTCCACCACCCCACCCCTTAAAATGTGCCCACCACCCCACCCCTCAGAACATGTTCACCACCCCCCAGAACATGTCCACCACCCCACCCCTTAAAATGTGCCCACCACCCCACCCCCCAGAACATGTCCACCACCCCACCCCTTAAAATGTGCCCACCACCCCACCCCCCAGAACATGTCCACCACCCCACCCCTTAAAATGTGCCCACCACCCCACCCCTCAGAACATGTCCAGCACCCATCAGAACGTGACCACCACCCAACGGACAAAACAGAAAAAAAAAATTAAATCAGTCTATTTTTACAATTGCTCCCTCTACCAAAATTTCTAATACCCCCCCTCCCCTCCCCTACACCAGAGCCAAATTTCTGAAAGAAACAATGTGTGAAATACTCTATGACAACTGGTTACTTGCATCCCCACACAAGCACTGGCATCAAGTACCCGGGATACCAGAAGATAGGCATCTTATGGCAATGTACAGAAACTTGATGTTGGTGATGAAAATCTTCAGTTTGTGAGCCACTCCCTCCATTCCTCGGTTTTGGCTCTCCCTGAGAATAAATAGCCTGAATGGCCGCTACATGTTTTCTTTCATATCATTAGTAATAGCGTTATTGTATTTTTTTTTTCTGTGTTGCTTCTGTTTTCACTAGACAAATGGAGCGAGGATAACAATCATATTATGACATGAGCCAAAATAAATACATGTTTGTTAGTTTAATGTTTAATATTAAATGATGCGTGTTTATAACTATTTCAGTTTTACTTATTGAAACACAAATCAAACAAGAAATAATTGTCACAACTAGTATCTCCGCCGCTCTCACTAAACTCTATGACATACTTAAACACTAATAATTTCTTTTAAACCCCACCCCTTAGGGCATGAGCTTTTTGTTGAAGCCACTTTAAAAGACCCCCAACCCCCACCAATCGTCACTTCATAAGTTTTAAATGTTCCGTCTCACACCACGTAGCAAAATGTTAACAAGAACCACAGATCTCAAGCTGGTTAGCGACGTCTCTGCTCTAGTCAATGACAATATACACATCTCTCTATGAACACTCATGTACACATATAGCTAATTTGACTTCTCCAAATCACAAGGCACTCGTTTTGTTTTGTTTGACTTTTAAAAAATAATTGTACACAGTTGACAATAATGTCAACAAACAAAATTGCTGGTCAAGACATGCATTTTGCCGGTCAACACATACGGTACTGTCGGTCAACACATGCATTTTGCCGGTCAACCAACAGCCAATGCCGGCTCCTATAGCCGATGTTTGAAGAAGCTGGTGAACGTGGTATAGAACTTGGAGCTCATGAAAAAATAAGCGAAGAAATTAGCGCTGGAGTTGACGGCCTCTAGTAGAAAGGCGAGGGCGTGGGTGACGTGGAACAAGTTCTTCAGGCGCCCGTTTTCCTGGAACTCTGGCACCACGTTGCGGATCGCCAGCAGGACGTTGCTCGGGATGTTGCACGTGATGAAAATTAGCATAATTACAATTATCATCTTGGAAACTCTGGCTTCCTTAGATTCTCTCATGTCTTGGTTCTTGTATTCATTGTGGTGGTTGAGTGGGCGGATGTTGACGGAGTTTCCTTTTCGTGCGATTTCCCGCCATTTAGTGGAACTCTTCAGCAAGGAGATCATGCCAAGTGTGCACGCGAAGATGAGCAGGAAGTTAAGGAGGGGCAGGAAGAAGAAGAACAAGGTATTGACGTACAGGTCGACGTGACCGTAGGAGAGGGGAACCAGGTAGACCTTGCTCGTGTTTGACCTCGGGTCAAGGACGGCGTGAAGGTCACTGTAAAAATACAGCGACATATGCGACAGGAAGGTGAAGGCTGATATGGTCAAGGTCAAGTAGGCTGTGGTTCTGGGAGTGAAGACGTCCCTGACCTTGAAGGGCAAGGCCACACACAGGCAGCGCTGGAGCGAGATGAGAGCCGTGAGCCAACAGCTGACCCGCGTGAAGATGACCCGGGGCAGGCTGGCCGTGATGATGCTGAGGCTGTACGGGTCAACGGTCAAGGTCGGAGGGTCAAGGATGATGACGATGTAGCAGACGGAGATCCAGAAGTTGAAGACCAGGCACAAGAGGTCCGTCAAGGCTAAGCCGAACAAGGAGATATTAACGTTATCTTGCAGACCTGAGATAGAAGAAAACATACAGCTACATAAACAGTAAGAAATTATATGTTCATAGTGTTGTCATTATTCAACAATCTCATTACACAAGCAACGAGGCAAAGTACTGTCAGAGTCGAGACAGTTTAAATACTCTAGTGAAAAATGACACACTCCCCCCTCCCATCAGAGGCGTAGCGAAAGGGGCGGGAGGGACAAATGTCCCCGGGCGCCGACCTTAGAGGGGCGCCAAATTGAAAGTTTGATGGGGGGGGGGGTGCAAATGAAAAGTTTGAGGGGGGGGGGTGCAGTGCAAATGAAAAGTTCGAGGGGGGGGGGGGGGGGGGGTTCAAATCGAAAGTTAGAGGGGGGTGCAATGAAAAGTTCGAGGGGGGGGGGTGCAAATCAAACAAAAGTTTGGGGGGGGCGGGGGGTGCAAATGAAAAGTTCGAGGGGGGGGGTTCAAATCGAAAGTTTGTCCCCGGGCGCCGGGAAGGGTCGCTACGCCTCTGCCTCCCATACAAACCTACCAAGTGACAAAATTATTGTCACAATTTTAAACTTTATCCTTATAACAGTAGCAAACGTGTTAATACATCCGTTTTAAACTAAACTAAATCAAACTTTTTTTTTAATTAAAGTGAAAAGGTAACTTTAAGAATAAAAGCCATTTTTCTTTATAAAAAAGACGAGACATTTGGTCGCAAATAAAACGGAACCCACCTTGTCTTGTGAAGACCAGCATGTTCATGGCGTTGGTGAAGACACCCAGGAGACTGATGACGCCACACAGACACACGGACACCACGACACTGACCATGGTCCGAGCCTCGTCACTGACGTCATACGATCTGTCGTCTGCTGAAGACATGGAGGCGATGACGTCACAAATTGTTCTGTTGGTTGACTGCACGTGCGCTGCAGGTGTGGTACCAGAGACTTCCGGCATGGCTTGCAGCTTTAGCTGTGGCTGGTGTGTGAGTGGTCGAGTTTTATAGCTGTGGCTGGTGTGTGAGTGGTCGAGTTTTATAGCTGTGGCTGATGTGTGAGTGGTCGAGTTTTATAGCTGTGGCTGATGTGTGAGTGGTCGAGTTTTATAGCTGTGGCTGATGTGTGAGTGGTCGAGTTTTATAGCTGTGGCTGATGTGTGAGTGGTCGAGTTTTATAGCTGTGGCTGATGTGTGAGTGGTCGAGTTTTATAGCTGTGGCTGATGTGTGAGTGGTCGAGTTTTATAGCTGTGGCTGATGTGTGAGTGGTCGAGTTTTATAGCTGTGGCTGATGTGTGAGTGGTCGAGTTTTATAGCTGTGGCTGATGTGTGAGTGGTCGAGTTTTATAGCTGTGGCTGATGTGTGAGTGGTCGAGTTTTATAGCTGTGGCTGATGTGTGAGTGGTCGAGTTTTATAGCTGTGGCTGATGTGTGAGTGGTCGAGTTTTATAGCTGTGGCTGATGTGTGAGTGGTCGAGTTTTATAGCTGTGGCTGATGTGTGAGTGGTCGAGTTTTATAGCTGTGGCTGATGTGTGAGTGGTCGAGTTTTATAGCTGTGGCTGATGTGTGAGTGGTCGAGTTTTATAGCTGTGGCTGATGTGTGAGTGGTCGAGTTTTATAGCTGTGGCTGATGTGTGAGTGGTCGAGTTTTATAGCTGTGGCTGATGTGTGAGTGGTCGAGTTTTATAGCTGTGGCTGATGTGTGAGTGGTCGAGTTTTATAGCTGTGGCTGATGTGTGAGTGGTCGAGTTTTATAGCTGTGGCTGATGTGTGAGTGGTCGAGTTTTATAGCTGTGGCTGATGTGTGAGTGGTCGAGTTTTATAGCTGTGGCTGATGTGTGAGTGGTCGAGTTTTATAGCTGTGGCTGATGTGTGAGTGGTCGAGTTTTATAGCTGTGGCTGATGTGTGAGTGGTCGAGTTTTATAGCTGTGGCTGATGTGTGAGTGGTCGAGTTTTATAGCTGTGGCTGATGTGTGAGTGGTCGAGTTTTATAGCTGTGGCTGATGTGTGAGTGGTCGAGTTTTATAGCTGTGGCTGATGTGTGAGTGGTCGAGTTTTATAGCTGTGGCTGATGTGTGAGTGGTCGAGTTTTATAGCTGTGGCTGATGTGTGAGTGGTCGAGTTTTATAGCTGTGGCTGATGTGTGAGTGGTCGAGTTTTATAGCTGTGGCTGATGTGTGAGTGGTCGAGTTTTATAGCTGTGGCTGATGTGTGAGTGGTCGAGTTTTATAGCTGTGGCTGATGTGTGAGTGGTCGAGTTTTATAGCTGTGGCTGATGTGTGAGTGGTCGAGTTTTATAGCTGTGGCTGATGTGTGAGTGGTCGAGTTTTATAGCTGTGGCTGATGTGTGAGTGGTCGAGTTTTATAGCTGTGGCTGATGTGTGAGTGGTCGAGTTTTATAGCTGTGGCTGATGTGTGAGTGGTCGAGTTTTATAGCTGTGGCTGATGTGTGAGTGGTCGAGTTTTATAGCTGTGGCTGATGTGTGAGTGGTCGAGTTTTATAGCTGTGGCTGATGTGTGAGTGGTCGAGTTTTATAGCTGTGGCTGATGTGTGAGTGGTCGAGTTTTATAGCTGTGGCTGATGTGTGAGTGGTCGAGTTTTATAGCTGGTGTGTGTGTGTGTGTGTGTGTGTGTGTGTGTGTGTGTGTGTGAGTGGTCGAGTTGTATAGCTGGTGTGTGTGTGAGTGGTCAAGTTGTATATCTGGTGTGCGTGTGAGTGGTCAAGTTGTATAGCTGGTGTGTGTGTGAGTGGTCAAGTTGTATAGCTGGTGTGTGTGTGTGAGTGCGTGTGTGTGAGTAGTCGAGTTGCTAGTCACTCAGCCAACAGCTACACTGTTAGTGTCTATCGCTGGTCTGTGTAAGTGAGTGGTCTAGTTGATAGCCACACATCCAACAGCTACAGTGTCTATAGGTGGTCTGTGTAAGTGAGTGGTCGAGTTGCTAGTCACTCAACCAACAGCTACAGTGTCTATGGTGGTCTGTGTAAGTGAGTGGTCTAGTTGATAGCCACACATCCAACAGCTACAGTGTCTATAGGTGGTCTGTGTAAGTGAGTGGTCGAGTTGATAGCCACACACCCAAACAGGTACGTGGCGGAAAGTCTTTAACATTTCGTCTGAGCCGCCTTTTATCTAACAAACAAACGTTTCGGGTTTTTTTCAGCAGATTAAATTTAAATTAATTAACAAAGCATCTTTCTGAAATTTAAAAACTGCTCGAATACAACAATTATCACTTTTCTCAACATACACTGTAATTAACGATTTCTCCAATTAGCTGATTTTAATGTCTGCCGGTGCCAATTTGTGTTTTTCTTATGTTTTTTAATTGTAATTAAGTTTAATCAAATCGACCGGTATTCAGTAATTACTTTGCGTTAACCCACCAACCTCGGTGGGTTCATCTGAGCTAATTATTTTTGTCTTTGGTGTAAAAATTACCTTCTGTGACACCTATTCGTTCAATAGACATACGCGGATTAAAACATAAAGTAAATTATCAATTTCTCAATTATTTTTTTAGTTCGGCGCGTGATCAAGGTTGTTTTTTTTTTTTTTGTTTTTTTGTTTTTTTGTGGCATCTGCCAATACCCCCGAACCTGAAATAGACGGGTTGCTCTAAACATGTTTTGAAGTTTAAAAATAAAATAGATCGCCGGGTGCAGCAATGGGACAGACAATGTATATTTGCTTAACGGTATCCTTGTATGAATGTATGAAACATACGTTCTTTTCTGGGTTATTTGAGGCTAAACGATTTTGCGATTAAGGACCCGAGCCAGGAGATAACTACACATTTGGCTGACCCGAGTGAGGAGATAACTACACATATGGCTGACCCGAATGAGGAGATAACTACACATATGGCTGACCCGAGTGAGGAGATAACTACACATATGGCTGACCCGAGTGAGGAGATAACTACACATATGGCTGACCCGAATGAGGAGATAACTACACATATGGCTGACCCGAATGAGGAGATAACTACACATATGGCTGACTCGAGTGAGTTGAGGAAGGTGGATCTGGTTTAGTCAGGCTCAGATGGATAGGAGTTGTGGAGTTGTTGAGTTGTGGAGATAGACTTGCGGCAGTTAGGAGTACGGGCTCATTAAGAAGCAGCGGAAAGTTTTAATGGATGAAGGGGTGAAACAGGCCATAGACCTCCATGGGCTGTAGATCCACAATGATGATTGGATGACGTAATTAGCTGATGCAGAGATACTGAAGATGAATGATACTATGAAGGAAAGACGAAGCGTTCTCGTCTAGCACTCAACTTGGCATCAAGATGGTGAATAAGTTATTAAGTATGTGAGTCATTGAACAATTATGTAAGCCTATTTACATAACATAAAAATGTTTTTAATTGTGGGCAGTCCTGTTTCATACATTCTGAAAGGTTTTTGGTTTTTTTTTTTTCTTTGCATCAGCAGGAACTTCTTTAATTGTATCATTAAAATGGTCGTGGGGCAGTGGGGGGGGGGGGGGGGGGGGGGCGGGGACTTACCACCTGCCTACTCCCTTGTCTACAATTAACATTCACCTAGACAACAAGTACTGGATGTTGTGTGGTTTAAAAGAAATCACCAAAAAGACAAAAGATTGGTATAGTGTAAAAAGCAAAAGTAAAGTACCCTTTCAGATCTCATAGTCGGTAGGGTGTATTTTTTTTTCTTTAACCTCGACATTTATATGGAGTGTGTAGTCAGCACTATGTGCACATCCGCTTACACTTTCTCCTACATGATTCAGGTATCCATCAGAGCTGAGTCGACTCAGGGCGCCACACGGACTTGCTCGTATGTTGACCTATATTTAGCCGAACATTAAGATACACAAACGCATAATGTACTTAAGCATTGTATTAAGACTAAAAACTATCTGTTTTCTTTGACTGTCTCATTACGTCATTTTTCATAAAATGTTTAGGTCCTTCGGGGGCGCCGGGCGAGGAACTCATTAAATGCCTGAAAGTTTTATTCGACCGTCAAGCATCATCTAATATTGTAGTGAATTGTTTGGAACGTCAATTGTGCAAGATGAAAAATTCGTATCTTAATAAATACTTGTTAATATAGCATGAAAATTGGATGAACTATAAGGCCAAGCTAGATCTTTAATTAGAATATCTTAGTGTTAGCTAGGACTAAGCTAATATTATGGAAATCCAATTTAATTAGGTGTACATGGTGATATTTTCACATTATTGGCATGTTGTAGGTATTATTTTGTATGAACCACTTATTGATGTTTATATAGTGTATATCATTGTAAAGGGAATTGGCTGTAATTTCAGATGATAAGCTTATTAAAATTTTAGGAGATCGCGGTAACTTTTTATATAGACTCTATAGACCTACTCCAAATAACTCTATATTATAGTTATTTGGGGTAGGTAGGTTAGCACAAACCCGGGGTAATTTTCACAGGTAAGCGCTAGAATTCTCGCCGTGAGCAGGGTGTCATCCGAGACGCTTGTGGGTGGGGTATATAAAACCGGCGGTTTAGCCTTAGGCCTAGAGGGGATGGAGAAACGACGGCCGTAGCCACTAATTTATGCAGTACACGTGTTGGTGCTATAGTCTTCTTAGATGCGCACTACACGAGTGATTCCTGGTCAAGAAAGATACTGTACTGTTCGCACAGTCAAATAAAGATTTACAGTTTACAGACTTCATTTTTAATCTCTGTGACATTGTGACTGAGAGCAAGAAACTATAGAGGAAGAAAAACATTACATTTGATGGAAGCGAAAATATTAAAATATCTCTGTTTGGACGAGAGGCTTTGGAGAGTTATGTTAATCTAAGAGTTCGATAAAAAAAATAAAATGGGCCTAGATCTAGATTTGTTTATTTATTCCAAAATTTTATTTCCCCTTGAACCACTCTTGATCTGCCAATGACCAATGCATAAGGTAGGTTACGGAAGAGGAAAGTTAAATTGCATGTAAAGATAGTAATTTTAGTTTTATTTTGTCATTTTACAACTGTGTGAATCTAAACTTCATTTTAATTTTATTTTAATTTTATAACGGGTAAACAAAGCTAAACTAAACATTATGCATGTGCCGTAGAAATAGCCAAAAGTAGAACTCTTATATAAAAGAAACAACAGAAAGTCCAATAGCATAGCGACCTTCCTGACATTAGGCCTAGATCTAGTTCTAAGTGTATATTGAAAATGTCGTTGGCATTGGGAAGGCTACGTCCGATTGTTACGTTTTTGGCCAAACGTAACAGACAAGTAAATTTGGCTACTGTACGATATGAGGGAACGTAAGGAATATCATTAGTTTTGGTACCATTTTAGTTGTAAAGCCAGTGTTGAGTGTGTATGATGGTTGAGGTTCTAGTTCTAGATCTAGATCTAGAAATCTAGATCTAGAATTCTAGTCAGTAGACTACGGACTGAGTAGTCAATAGCAGTGGCGTAGCGAGTGGAGGCCGACCTTAGGGGGGGGGGGGGCGCCAAAATGGGTTGGAAAAGCAAATTGAAAGTTTGAGGGGGGGTGCAAATCGAAAGTTTGAGACTTTTTCTCTGAGGGGGGACTAGCTAGATGATAGGGACGGACTAAAAGTATAGATTTTATTCTATATGTTCTACATAAATTTCGTTCGGGGAGGGTCGTCCACCCCCCGCCCCCCCCCCCCCCCCCCCCCAGAGAGATCATGATGCCAGGAGGAAAAATTTTTTGGAAAAGAAGTCACAGAAATAAAGTTTCTCCTCAGTCGGCCTTGTTTGTCCATAATGTGTGTCGTTGACATTTTGCATCAATGACAGCCTTTGTACTCTGTCGGGTTTCTGCTTTGAACCCATGCTTTGTTATTTAATGAGCATGATAAATGTGGGCAGAACAGGTGGTTGACCTATTGTTGCAATGAGTTGAGGGCAGCAAATCACATTAACTCCATCTTTCCGCCTTAAAGTTAGTATTTAACAAACACAATGAAAACCAAGAAGGTTGGAACATTTTTGATTCTATTAAATTCTATTAAACATTATGTGTAGGCCTATAAACTTACTATAAAGGAATTAAAACGTGTTATTAATACCACTATATGTATACGACCTATGCACATTTCATTACATTTAATTGGGTGTGAGTTGATTTGCACACTCAGAATATTTAATACAAACAAGTATTAAAAAATTAACTGGGAAAATGCAAAATATTTCAATTTTGTTTGGTGCTGCAGCGTGGTCGAGTGGAACATTGCGCAACTGTCGCACCGCAAAACGTGGGTCCATCAGATTCTTGTTTCCATTTAGGATTCACTGAAAATTATATTTATGACTTTACTTTTCCTGTTATTTACAAAAGGATGACATTACTTTTTTTTTTTTTTTTTAATTCAAATAGTATAGGCCCTATACTCTAATTTCTTCTCCCTTGTGATAATTTTGCTTAATATTTAGGCCTACAGAGAAAAATGTATGTAAGTCTATCACCAAACAAAAACTATTTATTCATCACAAATAGCCTACCGCCTTTGCCTTAATAAAGTAAAAGAGCAAAGTTCTACTAACCATATATAGTGCACTTTTTCATTTGTGATATTTTCTTGATTTGTGACTACAAAAAGTCTTTTTCCTTAAAAATATTCTTATGTAAAATTTATATTTATTTATCATAGTTATTTTGTCAGCACCTAACTAGGCATTTTCGGATTTATATCCTTTAAAAGATAGATTACCCTAATGCTTACTTTTCACCCTTAGTTATTACAACTACTGCTGCTACTTTCATGATTGTAATATTATTTTTAAAGGGATTTTGCCCTATAATAGTAATAATACTAAAAATAGAGGCATAATTTAAGCAAAAAATATTACTAATATATAAGATCTTCTCAAGTTGCTGTATGCTTAAATAAAATACATCTGAATGTTTCTTACACTGAGATTTGAGAATAAACTAGCCGTCCTCAATAATTAAATCTTTTTATATTGGAATTTTACTTATAAGGGTTAGAAGTGATTTGGAAAGGGATTGATTTAACCCTTTATTTACGGAATTAAGTTCTGAATGAAATTTTTTCTTAAACAATGTGTTATCATATTGCTTTTGGCACATTTAAAGCATATGTCGAAGGAAATTTCGTTTCATAAATTTTTAATAGCCCAAACATGTATTGGTACTTATAAGTACCGTCAGGAATGTAGGACATTTTTTCCAAAAAAATTTTTTTTTACAAAACAGGAACAAACAATACTATTTAGTAACTAATAACATGGCAATGATTATAAAAATCATTTTTGTAATTTTCACACATAAATGTAGCACAAAAAGTGTATTTTGAGTACGATTTTTACTGGATTTTCTATCGGAACACATCTTAGACCTCAAACACAAAAAAGTTGCCGACATGTCATGCTCCCTCATTCTTATCTGTGGTCTTTTTGGTGTAACAACGGTTGCCGGACTGAAAAGGCTTTTTCTGGAAGCTTCCAATAGCTATTACAATGAGACGCATAAACAAACAAAAGCCTAGTCATTCAGCACACAACTAGGGCCTACTAGTAATACTAGTATAATTGTAGGCTACTAGAATGTTATGACAAGTCTACACTACAGTGTAAAGTTCATAAATAGAAGTGAGCTCAATGTATTTAGGATAGTCGTAGTGGCCTACTGTTTTCTGTTTGCTGGTTAAAAATTTACCATATAGATCTATACTATATGCAGAAATATGGGCTATTACTAGTCTACATGTATACAGTACGTAAATGCTAGTTATTGTGGGCAAGGCAGTTTATTGTAGTAAATATAAATAACAAATTAAATATTACTACTATAACTAGGCTTTGGTATACACATGAAGTATACTAAACCTAGTAAATGAGCCTGCAACTGCTACCTTTATTCTTTATTCTTGTTATTCTTTTACTACTAGAAATCAACATGTTATTACAATATTTCTATGGTAAAACATATGCTAGCCTTCTTATAAATGTGTAAATATCATTTTTTGAGTACATTTCGATAATTAGTTATCAAAATAATATTTATGTCACTCCACATCAAAAATCTGCCATTTTCTAGAAATCCTAAAAAATGACCGTGTGCCCTGACGGTACTTATAAGTCCACTTATAAACATCGATCCATTACATAGACAATTTAATAAAAATTGTAAAACTAGAAGTTAGACGCGTTTGCCTGACTATTGAAGATGTCAATAAAAAATATTTAGAGTTGAAAACTTGAAAAATAATGTAAAACAAAGGGAAATCAGGAACGTGTGAGAGAACTGTACAGAACAACTGTGAACTACCGATACAGCAAGACATTGAAAATGGCGCCACACCAGAAATTTTCAAAAAATATCGATACCTCCAACTACCGGCGACTCAGTGGAGATAATACTATTAATTACCTCAATAATTTTTAAAATTCGTATTAAATTAAAAATAATACAGGCACTTAATTAAAGTGGTACTTATAAGTACCGTCAGTAGATAAAGGGTTAAAAGATATAGTTAACATATAGTTACAGGCCTACCCTAAATTAAAATATAAAAAACAACATCTTTTTGGTATATAGTATATATTGATCATACTTAAAGAGTAGCAGGACAATATACACTAGCATCCTTCTTTTCCTATTAAATGTTTGAATTTAAGGGCTTTAAGTAGAATAGTGGTAGGGCTAGCCAGAATTTAATTTATTGGATACATCACAGCAGGCTTAACCTTATGAATGTTTGAAAAAGGTTTTCTGTAAAGTGGAGCAATTTTTTTCAATTTCAAAAAGAAGTAGCTTTACAAACCAAAACAAAAAATTTTTAAACTTTTTAAAATTCTGGAGAAATTAATAATCCAAGATTTTTACTATAGCTTAACTCTCTAATTTTCAGTTCAAGAATACAATTCTTTCATATTAATAATTCTTTATTTGCTGACATTATAGTCTGGATAGCAAAACAAACAACATAATAGCTTCAGTACAAAACGCAGTATTTTTTGCAATCCTTTTTATGAAATAATAAAATGCTAGTACACTAGAAATTATTATATTTTCATGCCTTCATTTCAGAGTTGTCTACCGTAAACAGTTTCTTCAGGAGCCTCCTTCTTTGAAATTCGCTGGAACAGCCTTGAGCTTTGTATTGTGGTATTGGGTATTATATCATTGCTGGTATGAATTTGATCATTTAAAAGTGAGTACATTTCTAAACAAGTTTTAACTATTTGTTGTTCTAATATTTCTATTTTAAAAAATTTAATTTTCATCTTCTGATATAAACTTTTGCATTATAATTTTTTTTCAAAATAATATTCATTTCATTGTTTTTAAGGTTCTTGTCCTAACACATTTTGGTAAACTGATAAACTCTACATTGAAAAAGGTTTATATATGTTGGGAAACAGATTCAACATCATACACAAACAGTAAAAAAAATCTGTAGTTTTTATTCTATGTACTCAAATGTAAATGAAAAATCACATGCTGAATTCTAACATTACACATTAAAAAAATTTGCAGCAGCAGAATTCAAGATATAATATATATATAAATGTATTTTTATTGTTGAGCAAATAAATAATTTCAAAGTAAGTTGCTGTCAGTTTAAAGCTTTATCTAGTAGCCTACTTTATATAATGATTTATCAATTTAAAACAAGTGTAAAAAAAGTACTCTTAAGAACTCATCATTACTTAACCCAAACTTAAATGAAACACTTTTTATGCATCACTGTTGGTGCATTTATTAAACTTTGGCTGACCAAGCAGTTCTCACTCAATTTAGTGCACTTCTTCCACTGGCACCATTAATAACAGCTAGTCAACTACAGAATTTTCAAATTTGCTCGATCATTTTTTTTTGTGCTGAGATTTTCAGTGCCAGAAATAATGTTTAGTTCTGATGATATCATAATAATTGTTCATAATATTGCCTATAAAGGTTTAGCGCTATCAATAATTATACAAATTTTAAATTAATTAAAAAAACTGGAAATCAAAGTTTTTTAACATACATTTATGTTATATGTATATCATATGTTTATGTGTAAAAATACATGTGCGTATGTATGTACATATATAAGTATATTTGATATCTATGTATCTATATATATAATTCTCTTCTGGGAGCCGCTAGAAAACAAGCTGCAAAACGCGCCTAGAAAACAAGCTGTAAACGCGCTCCCTACCTCCCCACCCCTATATGGTTTTAGTGAGCTGTGTTCACTCTAAATGTTTACAAGCAGAGCCAACGATTTTAAACGTAGGGGGGGAGGAGGGGAAGGAAAGGGGGGGGGGGTTATGGTCCTTAACGAGCTACTTATAGTGTTTTAAAGAAATATTTTCAGTGGCAGCGTTGGTACTGTCGAATTCACAAATTTTGAATTACTGAAAAGTAGAAAAAACAACTAAATACTAAATAGCGGCATATGTTATGCCGCGGGCCGGCTCGTTATATATATATGTGTATAATACATGTATATAGGTATATATATGAGTCTGTATATACATGTGTGTATTTATACATATATATATATGTGTGTGTGTGTATATATACATATATGTATATATACATGTATATATATAATATACAAGTATATATATGTATATATACGTGTATATATACATAACTATATATATAGCGTTTATAATTATATACACTTTTTTTTTAAAATTTGTTTTTATTCAATTATTCAACAGGGACACGCTATCCCAGATGCTTCAAAATGGACAAATGAAGAGTTAGGGATACCTCCTGATGACGAAGAATAATATTTTGTTTCAAATAGATTTAGAAAAATTGTTGAATGATTCTTGTGTGAATACTGTCAATTTGCCATTGATTTCATTTAGTACATCTTTTGTTTGAATAAATGGCAATCAAATTTATAATTTTGTGCATATTTGTATGTCTGTAAGTCAGTTTTAAACGTTTATTGGAGATAAGTCTCTCGTCAACATGAGCACTGTGGTTGTTGACTGATATTTATTATAGCTAACTTAGTAGAGACTTGATGAGCTAAGCAATTTGTTACTTCCAAAGTTCCAGAAGATGTACTGTTGTAACTTAACTAGTAAAAGATACTTAGATACTAACCTGATATATATCTATTTGAAAATGTAAGTAGGGTATTTTAATATGTAATAAAAAAAGACTCAAATCAATTCATCAAGCCTCATTTTTAGAAGCTTTTATATATCTTGCTGTTGACAGTCTGTCAGTTTAGATCAAAACGCCTGATCGAAATGTCGGGCATTTTTAACCGATTTGTTTCAAAGTTGGTGTGCAGGTCAAGACATGAATACAATGCAGTCTGACATTAAATTTGGCTTAATTGGATGCCTAATTAATTTTTTATTAATTATTTGTCCGAATTAGTAGGCTTTCTTAACCGACTATTCTGCACTATTATATGCGCGTTATGTTCTTAAGGTACACAATGGTTTTTAGTCATGCAACTCTATTGTAAATTTAAATAAACTGAGTAATCTCCCCTAAACTTTCTCGAATATTCTTATACAACACTATGGGGAATGGCACCTCGGGATCTATAGACATGACTTTTAATCCATTTTTAATTAATCACTTTTTAAAATAGAATAGAATCTCGTAGAAAACAAATTGCGCACCAAGTGAACGCCAAACAATATGTGTATAATAGTGTTATTAGTACTTAATAAATTCATTTTTCTTATTATTTTTTTGAGAAATCGGAAATAGCGTAAATTACTACTTCCTGTCAACGGAAATCACTCTAAATTTGACAGAAGGCAGAAAATTAGATCGTTTACGTACATGTGAAATTTCGCTGATCTATCTGAACCAGTAATCAAGTTATATGATTTTGAAAAACCAAAAGTAGAATAAGTTCTACTTCCGGTTACCGGAAATCGCTGAAAGGTTGATACAGAATTACAGATTTGATATAATGCTTGTAATGTATATGAAATTTCATCAACCTAGCTGTAACGGTACTCACGTTATCGTGTTCACAGATTGCAAAGCCCAGTTTTTCCGATTCGATTACGCATAGAACACCGAAAGTCTGCATTTATAATTTTTGTCGGATTAAAATAAGTCCCATATACTCCATATATGATGAAGTACTGAGGTGTAAAACTATGAAAACTTTCAAAATTTCATGTGATTTTTGTGCACGATTACAATACTTCCTGGAAACGAGAAAGTAAAAATTTTAAGTACTGAAAGAAAATTCGTAAATGCTTTTATGTATTAATGCACTAAAAAGTAGAAATTAATTGAATTTCTTTAAATATATTATAAAACTACTATTAAATATCTATAAAGAAAAGTGTGGGTCACTTCCTAAATGTTAGTAAAAGTATCCAATAGATAATATAGTGATCCACAGTCACTAACAGCGTGAGTTAGCTACTGTAGAACAATCACAGTGTGGGTTAGCTACTGTAGAACAATCACAGTGTGGGTTAGCTACTGTAGAACAATCAGTGTGGGTTAGCAACTGTAGAACAATCACAGTGTGGGTTAGCTACTGTAGAACAATCACAGTGTGGGTTAGCAACTGTAGAACAATCACAGTGTGGGTTAGCTACTGTAGAACAATCACAATGTGGGTTAGCTACTGTAGAACAATCACAGTGTGGGTTAGCTACTGTAGAACAATCACAGTGTGGGTTAGCTACTGTAGAACAATCACAGTGTGGGTTAGCTACTGTAGAACAATCACAGTGTGGGTTAGCTACTGTAGAACAATCACAGTGTGTGTTAGCTACTGTAGAACAATCACAGTGTGGGTTAGCTACTGTAGAACAATCACAGTGTGGGTTAGCTACTGTAGAACAATCACAGTGTGAGTTAGCTACTGTAGAACAATCACTGTGGGTTAGCTACTGTAGAACAATCACAGTGTGGGTTAGCTACTGTAGAACGAGCACTGATATAGTAGGCCCGTTTTGTTGTTTTTACAAAACCACTATCAAGGTGCACGAAAAACATTTATAAAAAGAAATGGTCGGAATTGGGCCCCTAAACGTCATTCCCTCTCTCATGCTATTCATGAAGTTGAGAGTGCTACAGCTTATCAATAAACCAAATATTTTTTATAAAAAAAACTTTAATTATAAAAATAAGCTTTTAAATTTAATGCAAAGTCTAATTAGGTTAAAATTGAGATATTCGTGCATTGTCATCTGCAAACAAAATCTCTGGTTTAGAAATTACAAGAAGTTATAAGTGCAAGATTAGCGACAAACAAACAGACGTTGTGAACTAAATAAAAACCTATAAATAAAAAGAACTTCTCACACGACAAGTTTAAAAAGAGAACATTAATGGAACAGTTCTCTCAAAGATATCTTGATGAACTAGTTTATAAAAAAGTTGAAGTTGAAAAATAACTTATGGTGTATGGAACTAGTTTAAACGGCCCGTGTTTTCCAGCATCTTACTCTCGCTACCAACGCCCATAGAGCAGCCCTAACAGACTTGTTGCCACACAGGAGTATGGGGTTGATGGTGGAATTGGTGTAGCCTAGCCACGCGAACAACACAACGCTCCACCTAGGCAAAACCCGGCGATGGTAGATACTGATCGGTATGGTGACACTGAATGGAAGCCAGCACAGCATAAAACACAAGAGAAGTATTCCAATGTTTTTGATGGCCTTCATGTTCCTCTTTCCGATTTTAACATGGTTTTCAACGTTGGGGGATCTTTTTGATTTCTGTAGGTTGCTTTTTGGCTGTGCGAGTGTTCTGTTCATAGTCCTGTCTTGTATTGTTCCTATACGTGTCTTGTGCTGTGGGGACATTGCCTGTCTCCCAGAGACAGGGGGTATGGATGTCTTAGCTGATGTGGAGCAACCAAACATGTCACGGCTGACCCCACCCTGGCTATCACGGCTGACCCCACCCTGGCTATCACGGCTGACCCCACCCTGGCTGTCACGGCTGACCCCACCCTGGCTGTCACGGCTGACCCCACCCTGGCTGTCACGGCTGACCCCACCCTGGCTATCACGGCTGACCCCACCCTGGCTATCACGGCTGACCCCACCCTGGCTATCACGACTGACCCCACCCTGGCTATCACGGCTGACCCCACCCTGGCTATCACGGCTGACCCCACCCTGGCTGTCACGGCTGACCCCACCCTGGCTGTCATGGCTGACCCCACCCTGGCTATCACGGCTGACCCCACCCTGGCTATCACGGCTGACCCCACCCTGGCTATCACGGCTGACCCCACCCTGGCTATCACGGCTGACCCCACCCTGGCTATCACGGCTGACCCCACCCTGGCTATCACGGCTGACCCCACCCTGGCTGTCACGGCTGACCCCACCCTGGCTATCACGGCTGACCCCACCCTGGCTATCACGGCTGACCCCACCCTGGCTATCACGGCTGACCCCATCCTGGCTATCACGGCTGACCCCACCCTGGCTATCACGGCTGACCCCTACCGTGCTGCCCCGAACGACCCCGCTGCTCTCTGACGAATTCTGAAGTGAGATTTGGGAGCTTTTTGAAATTTCTGGAATAGTACTTCGTGAAAAGTTGGACCTCTGCACTTTGATAGAATCTCTGCTTACGTAGGTTGGTGTGTTGATGGTGTTGATTTTCATGAGCTGTTTGATGATGGCAAAGTACAGAGAAAATATCAAGACTATTGGGGTGAAGAAGGAAAAGATGAAAGTCCAAAACAATGATGTGGGGTCAATGACCGGGACACACACAAGAAACGTTTGGCCACACGAGCTAACGGTCACTTCCTTTGCTCGGAACCAGCCTGCTGAGATGGGCAGAAGTGCGAGAAACAAGGACAGCAGCCAGCAGACGGTAAGCAGAAGAAATCCAGACTTCAGTGTCAAAGATCGGTAGAGTAGGGGCCGGCACACGGCCAGGTACCGGTCGACTGCGATGGTAGCCACGTGATACACTGACAGCGTGCACCAGCAGATTTCCAGCGCATATCGCATGACGCATGCGCCTTGTCCCAGTCCCCACCGGCCGTTGAAGCCAAGTTCAAGGACAGCTAGCGGCATGACCAGGGTCGCCATCAGAGCGTCAGACACGGCCATGGCCAGGACCACGAGTGACGTCACGCTGGTCGAGCCGGATGGTGTGAGCCGCTGGTAGATCAGAGCCGCGGCCAGTGCCAGGTTTTCCGTGATGGTCAAGGCCGTGATGATAGCCACAACCAGCGTGAAGGGTGGGAGGGCGTGGTCACGTGACGTGATCAGCTGGTGGTACACACTCACTGGCTCGCCACACGAAGTGGTGTTAAGTGACACCGTAGTGTTAACCATCTTAACGCCAGGCCAGATCATGGTCTTGATCGCAACACAATCTTAAGAATGTTCACGTTCACAACACTAGCACAGCGACAGCAACATTCACAACACCATCACTAACAGCAGCTGTCATGTGGTAACAAGACACACAGCTGCATTAAATCAAACCGATCAAAACAAATCCATCCCATAATACGTTTTACTGCTATGGCTTCCAAGTGGTCTGTACTATTTGAATTCCTCTAATTGACCTGACGGCAATGTTTGTCTAACTCTCGTATGGCTAAAACCTTTTTTGTTTATATATTTACAATGACCAGATTGTTCCATAATGTGTTTAATCCATTGGGTTTGTATGTTTGATATCGAAACATGTTTTAAAACCACGCCTTTCTGTCAGTTATTCACGGCTCTAAGGATTACGTAACGTAGTTGAAGGCAGATCAGTCTCCCTCTACAACTGTAAATTTTTGTTCCATTCTGATCAACGTATTGATTGTATTATTGTTTACAGTGAGTCTCCCGAATAGCATCTTTTTACAAGCTTTTATTTGACTTGCTTCCTCTGTCATGCATTTGTATTACTTTGTCATGAAAACAGTGTTTCTTTCAGACTTTTTTTTCCGGGGGGGGGGGGGGCAGCATCATTAGGTAACTTACTTGTAAAAACTATAACTGTGCTCAGTAGGCTCAAAGGGACCAATCGCAATCCTTCCCCAGACTTCTTCATTCGTTATTTGGTCTCTGTATGATATCCTTAGTAGTCTGCATAAACATCTCATCTCCAGGGCCTGGATCCTTCTCTGGAGGTCTGTCTGGAGGGTCCATGTCTTGCATCCATACTTGAATACTGATCATGTGACCATAGGGATTGGGGGGGGGGGGGAGAGGGGTGGATCTAACTCCCACTTAACACCACCCTATGTCAATAGACCTGCCACTTTGCTTTTAATGAATATCTAGTTAATTCTGTCTCAATGTAAAACAAGTACTTAAAAACAATATATTAGATACAACTTACATTTGTTGTAGGCCTACTGTATTAAAGCTTGTACTGGCATTTTAAAGAACCAACACTTGTACAAATATAACAAGACATTTTGTATAAATATAATATTTTACTTGTCTCAAAATTGTATTTACATTAACTAGAGTTAACACAAATTGTTCTTGTTACAAGAGTTTGGACTCAGCAAACAAATAATAATATGAATACTAAAGGAATTCTGTTCAATCAGTGTTTGGTAGCACATCAATTTGTTTCTTTGATCTGTGTTCTCAATGTACCACCTTCATTTCCTGAATACATGTTAGAGCTGGATGGAGACGGTGACATGTGAACCAATTGAGAAGTCTTCCAAACGCTTTACTACTATAGTATAGCTTTTGTGGCTAACTGAACAGTTTACACACTCAAGAAAGATTTGTTTAACTGGTCTAATAAATCAATATCTAAATGTGAGAACTGTGCTTGTTGTTTAACTGGTCTAATAAATCAATATCTAAATGTGAGAACTGTGCTTGTTGTTTAACTGGTCTAATAAATCAATATCTAAATGTGAGAACTGTGCTTGTTGTTTAACTGGTCTAATAAATCAATATCTAAATGTGAGAACTGTGCTTGTTGTTCCAACCAGTAAGCTGCAGAGAGCAAAGTGGATTCACTTAAATGTGGACCCATCAGCTGTAAGCTTAAAGGTAGCCCTTGCCTTGACAGTCCAAGTGGTAGAGTTATGGCTGGAACACCTGCCAGATAAAATAGACGTTTTAAATTTCTTTTATGATAACACGGATTTCAACCTAAAAACTGATTTTTTTCCTTCTTATAATAAATACTGAGCTATACAGATTTTTTTTTATCACTGCAATAAATGTTATACTATGAGAAATTTATAGAAAACAAATAAAACATCAGTAAAAAGTTTCTTACACTACACAGAACTATATTTTGATTTATGGCTTTGGTCATGACAACAAGGCTAAAATCACAGATTCTAATGTTCATTTTGATACTTAATGTTCAAACATCATTTGTCTAATTTTGTTCCTTGATTTTTTTCTATAACATCAGCACCAATTTTCTGTACCACCAGTACACAACTACTCTAAACTAACCTGCCATATTGGCTGAGATTTTCTGTACTACCAGTACACAACCACTCTAAACTAACCTGCCATATTGGCTGAGATTTTCTGTACCACCAGTACACAACCACTCTAAACTAACCTGCCATATTGGCTGAGATTTTCTGTACCACTAGTACACAACCACTCTAAACTAACCTGCCATATTGGCTGAGATTTTCTGTACCACTAGTACACAACCACTCTAAACTAACCTGCCATATTGGCTGGTGTGGTAAAAATATCCTGCTCCTCGCACCGCGTTCTGTTGTCTTGTTTACTGAACCAGCTGTACAATGGGGCATCTGTTAAAGTGGTCGGCGTCAGCAACAGGTTGACTCCAGTAGAAAAAACATTCTGGAAGTCATTACTGATCAACCGCCTTACCTTCTGAGCTTTTATAAAATAGTCATTGTAATTCCTGAAAACAAAGATTCACGATGGTGCAATATTACTTAAATAATTAATGGTTTTTTAATGAATAATGTCTATTTCTTACAGAGTAAAAGCCATTCGGGTATATCAAATGACCTAACTATTATCTAAGTTGTACAGGAAATTTTGTTATACGTATTTACAAGAGTAATAAGCTGAAATTTTAAATTATACTGACAAATTAAAATTTATAGAAACAAACATTTAGATGTAAATTAACTAACTTTTTCAAAAGAAAATAGTTCCCAGCCAGAATTCTACCTCTCACAACATCATTAAACCCTTTGTGTCTGCTCTGAGCATAAAGTTCCTCTGTGGATTCTTCAGTGCCATCTCTTAGACCTACAAATAGCAAACATTATGTTACAGCTGTCATTTTCATCCAGGTTTAGACATTCTTCTTATAATACTACTTTCAATGAATTATGTTCACGTCTTTTAAACTCTTGTAATTTACAAAATGAGGAATGTATCTATAGTGGGTAAATTACTAGTAATAATTTTATAAATATAATATTAAAAAAAAAGTGTAGTGCAGTGGTTGATTACCAAATTCTATTCCGTCATAACGAGAAAAGTTGGAAGCTACCTCACAACAGCACAAAACATGATAACATATAATACACATAGGTGTATTGGGCATTGAGACTTGGGTGACTTTAGCACCAGCTTGTTCAAATTGATCAGCTATTTTTTTCCATAAACTGAGAACATCTTCCGACAAAAATGGTGCATGGAATTCCTAGAATTAAAATTTTTTATACTTGAATTATTTTCATAAAAAAATATATACACACACATATATATATATATATATATATATATATATATATATATATATATATATATATATATAAATATATATATATATAAATATATATATATATAAATATATATATATATAAATATATATATATATAAATATATATATATATAAATATATATATATATAAATATATATATATATAAATATATATATATATAAATATATATATATATAAATATATATATATATAAATATATATATATATATAAATATATATATAAATATATATATATATAAATATATATATAAATATATATATAAATATATATATAAATATATATATATAAATATATATATATAAATATATATATATATATAAATATATATATATATATAAATATATATATATATATATAAATATATATATATATATATATATATATATATATATATACATATTTTTTTTTTTTTTTTTTGGTTAGGATAAAGGATTTTCAACAAAACAATCTTTAAAAAAGTCATCTTTAAAATTCTGAACATTACAAAAGACGTGCATTTCACCTTGGGAATCCCAATGTGTAATTTGGACAAATCTAGATTTTCTTGTATATTAAATGGTGTGTATGAGTCTGTTAAAGTTGTAGAGTCACGAACATCATGCCCTGCAACATTGTCTGGGGAAAAGTATCACAGCTTTAAGTGTTTAAGTTATGGCAACTAAAAAAAAATTCAAATTACAAAATATCTCTGAGTAGCTATTGATTAAATGTAATTGTTTGCTAATATAAAAAAAAATTATTTGAGTAAAAAGCTACACTGAAAACATACTTAAAATTAGAGCACTATCTTCAACAGTTTTTGTTAAAATGCCTGGAACATCCATAGAGTTAACAAGAGGAATTAGCCCATGCCTAGATAAAAGTCCATACGTTGGTTTTAACCCCACAACACCACAGTAGCTTGCAGGATTTCTTGTTGATCCACCTGTGTCTGACCCAAATGCACTAGAGACAAAAACAATTAGAAGTTACAAAAACAATTAGAAGTTGCAAGTGAATTTCAAATGAGTAATAGTTTTATCATCCTAAAGAATTGTGCATTGATGTAACACCAGTATATATTTTTTCTCCCATTCACTTCAGATTTTATTTGCTAAAATTCAGCTATTTAGAAGAATGGTTGGAGGAATATGTTGACACATTAGTTCATTTTATCACAAAGTAAGACTTTTTAAATGTGACTAATGGAACATCCCCCCCCCCCCCCAATGGTGTGATTCCCAAAATAAATCAGTAAAATGACACGACTTGGGTATTATTATACACGAGCCGGCCCGCGGCATAACATACGCCGCTATTTAGTTGTTTCTAATTTTCAATAATTCATAATTTGTGAATTCGACAGTACCAACGCTGAGTTAAGGACCATACCCCCCCCTTCCCCCCCCCCTACGTTTAAAATCGTTGGCTCTGCTTGTAAACATTTAGAGTGAACACAGCTCACTAAAACCATGTAGGGGTGGGGAGGTAGGGAGAGCGTTTGCAGCTTGTTTTCTAACGGCTCGAAGAGGAGAATTATATATATAGATAATATTAGGAGTGATGGTCTTTACAAATGATATATACAACATGTGGGCACGAGTGTACAAAAATGTCCCTTTTTGTGAAATATATCTGCACAATCCTTAAGCATTTAGTTAGTGAGTTGGTAAATTGACTGCACACTACCACAAATGACCAAAGTGTAAATCCTTACGCTAAACAAGTGCCAGAAGCCACAGCTGCAGCACTGCCACCTGAACTACCACCAGCTATAAACCAGTCTGAAGGATTTGTAACAGAGCTTGATGGTAAACTGTCCTGGCTGCTGCTCGCAGTGGTAGGGGAGCTTGAAGGAGACACTACATAATTCCAAGGGTTGATCACTGGACCATGACAGCTGTCTAAGCTGCCTGAACTGAAGGGATAAAACACCACAATATTCCTTTCAAACAGCAGTGGGATTGGAAAATAACATGTTTGATCCTAATAAAGATAACGTCAATCAATTTTTTCCTCAGGGCTGTTTTATTTATTTAAACATTCACTTGAAACACAGTTTAATCTCATTTAGGTTCAATAAACACCAAAATTGTTTTTAAACAAATAAAATACAGTTTGGTTGCAGTAAAATAAATACACATATTACATTCTTTGATTATTGCCTGTCTGTAGCATGTTTATCATAAATACATTTATTATCACAAGCTGATACAATTTAATTTTACCCCATCGCAAATTCATCCATGTTTGTTTTTCCCAGTACGATTCCTCCAGCTTGGTTAATTTTTGAGACCATAGTGGCATCAAATGGTGGCTTGTAGTTTAGAAGCATTTTTGAGGAACAAGTTGTAGGATAGCCATTTGTACAAAAGTTATCCTTAAACGCTATCGGGATACCTTCTAAAGACTTTGGCACACCTATAATAAATAAAAGTTAAGTCAGTAAATTTTAACATAAAATAAGTTAAAGCATTTAGAAAATATGGTATTATTGGTTTTTCTAAAAACATACTTTAACACACATAATTATGCATCTAAAGATTTTTAATGAAATAAAAGATCACCTTTCTTGTATGCTAAATGAGACAATTCAGCTTGTTTGTGAACTTCTTCACTTCTTGTTTCTGTAACATACATATTTAAACTCTTTGTCTTTTTTATTTTCTCTTGACAAGAAACACAAAGCTCTTGGGCTGTAAGAATGCCTTTCCTCATCTGTAAAAGGGCCTGGTATCAAAACAAAACAATTGAATTAAAAAGTTTCCTATGGAGATATGGAGGGAAGGTCAGATTTTTAAAAGTCAGTTTTTGTTTTATATTCTACTAATTTGTACTCTCTGTTAAATATTGAAAATGCCATTAGGAAATACTGTTTCATATATTTGTATGAAGCAATACTTTAGAGTTCATATATATAAACATAAAGGCCTAGGCCTATACGTTTTGTTGTATAGATCATATAATGGTATTATTAATTAATTAATATGATCTATTTGTTATTGCCTTAGTTGTAAATGGATAATGTAAAAAAATTGTATTTCAAAGTAATGAAATATGAAAGTATAGAAAAAGTAAAAAAGTCAGAAAAAATTATTTAGCAATTTTGTCTGTATGTATGTCTAGATCAGGGGTCTCCAAACTTTTCAGTCCGAGGGCCGCATCAACTATCAAATTTCAGTTCGGGGGCCAGTTTCTTCCAGGCATGTCTTTGATTTTTCTGGGCAAAGTGCCTCAGCCATCACCAACTAACGTTTTTTCTTGGACAAAAAGATCTCCGCGGGCCGGATGAGAGGACTTCGCGGGCCGCATCCGGCCCGCGGGCCGTAGTTTGGAGACCCCTGGTCTAGATCTATATGCCTGGAAACATAATAACTTGTTTACTGTTTTTGTTGTGTTTAAGAATTTTTTAAATGATTTTTGGAAACTGGAAGTAGGCCTACACTACTAACTAGATCTAGATCTACTACTAAGTTAAATAAGAATATTAAGAAGTACTTTACTAAGTACTAAGTATAAAGTATAAAGTATAAAATCTAAAGTAAGTCTAAACATAAAGTCTAAGTATTAAGTAAAGTAAACTAGTATCATAGTATTATCATGGTTACCTCTTTCACTGTTAAAGATTTCATTTTCTATGTTCTCTAAAGCGTAAAAATCAAAGTGGACACTAGTTTTTTAATATAAAATAAACATACAGATCTAGATCTAGATCTAGTAGATCTATTCTATTTATTAATGATTTTAGAGTAGTAGTAAATACTAAAATGTATCAAAATTGAGTGAACGACAGTTTGTAGCAGTAAAAAACCAAATCTATGCTTATGTGTTATCTCCCCTTAAAAGGACAAATTAATTATGCAATCGCATAAATTATGATTTTTATTTTCCAAAGCTATATTTTTTTGTTAGTATTAATGTAGTATTGAATGTCTTAGTTACTTTTAGTTTATTAAGCAAATTCTCATTATATCAAATTATATATATATATAGGCCTAGATCTATTCTAGATTTTTAAAAACAGGAAACAAATGTAGATATAGATAGTTTTATTATTAAATTATCTAATCTATCCTATAGTCCTAGGCCTATTAAAATATTTAAAAATAATTTACGTGAGTTTAATTAAAAATCAGCTTTATCGTAAAATTCCAATGTAGGCCTAGTCTTCATTTATAATTTAAATCTAAATAAAAGACCTAGATCTACTTTTAAAGGAGAAATTTAGCTCAAGAAAAATAATGGTTTAGTCTAGATTTAATTATTTCAAAACATTAGTTTCCTAATGCCGAAAAATAGTACGACATTTTATGTTGCAATTATGTTTTTGAAAAGTAAACTATTAGAACTTAGAGCTTTATATTAGCTCAATACAAAACGTGTGCTTTAAATTAATAATTATCTAGATCTAAAATATCCCTTCTACTTGGTCTGCCAAAACATTTTTATCTGGCTCAACGAAGCTGGATTCTTTATTTCTTCTGCGTGAAGATCGTCTTGAAGCCAAGTCAAGTATTAAGTAATTTTGCTACAACAACAAAAAAATCTTTGTTTGCAACTTTATTCTCTGTATTGAATGAAAGTAACTGCACTTTTATCGAAACCGTCGAGATGGAAGCTAAAGTTCATCTTGAATTATCTACTTTTTTGTCACGACATAGCCTGGAAGATGCAATTCAGTAAGTAACCGGAGTAACCGACGGCCACCGACACGGCTGAGTGTTGAGTTCAGTTTTGATTTTGATGAGTGAGAGAGAAAGAGATGTCTTGTTGTAAGAGATGTCTTGTTGTAACTTATTAGGGCAGGGTAATCTATCGTATCGTTTTAGGTAAGTAAAATCGGCCGAGGCTAGCAGCTAGATAGTAACGTGAAAAAAGGTGACTGGTCAAATTTTTGTAGGGCCTAATTATTAGGTTGTCTTATTACAATTTTTTAATTAAAATTTTCTGTCACTTATCATATATCATTACAAACCATATCACTTACTGGTTAATTTGAGACCAAATTTAATGGTCTAGCTTAATTAGGGGCCGAGAAAACAAACAAAAACAAAATGACCTATTAACATCTTAAAATGCGAAACTCTTTTTCGCCATCAAAAGATATCAAAAAGTTACGTTGGTTTGTGTTTTCCATTCGTAGCATGATGTCATAGCAATTACGACAACATTGGGTATTTTAGTTACCAAAAAAAACCAAAACAATTTGTTAGAAATAAAACTTTATATTCATTATGTTTATTAAGGAAATATCAGACATATTTATTATAAATTCTATGTACAATGTACAATTTAAGACATTAGGCATTCCATGAGGAATTGAACAATCAATACCCATGAAGATGACAATAAAATTAATATCCAAAACTAAAAATAGATCTGACAGAAATCTAGATCTAGTCCTTCTAACTGTAACGACAATACAGTATTATTAGGTAAGATGATAAATGAACTTTTTTTTAACTTTAAAATTAAATACTCTATAATTAATATTCTCTTCTGTAGTAGCATTAGGTTAGGCGAAGTTTTCTTTTTTTTTTTTTTCTTTTTTTACCAGCTATGCGTAGTAAATCTACAGTCCTGTAAGCTTGCGTGAACTTAAAATGACCCTAAGTTGATTTACAATTTGCTTGGTTTATGAGGGGAGGGGTGGGATTGCCCACCGACGATCTCTAACAGCAATAGTTAATGCTGTGACGTATGTATGGTAGGCCTGCTGAACTCACGGTGAACCCTCGACCGTGTCAACATTTTTCTCCCGCAGACAAGAAAATGTAAGCAGTCGATCTCGCGAGCGATGCGAGCGACGATGTTTGGAAAATTTTGAATAATTATTTTATAAAATATTATTTCGTTCAAAAAATTTTTTTTTGAAAAAGAAAGAAAATAAAACCGCTCGTGGCATTTCCCATGTGAAACAATAAAATAAAGCACAACTGATTTACGTCGGATTCGAACTCGGAGATTCTAGGTCACCTACCGCACCGTTCTGTTTACTCTGCCACACACCACGATGTATTGGAAAATAAAATATTAGACATTTTGTATCAAAAGATTGCTAAAACTAAAAGGAAATAATTACTACTTCATTTATTGATATCATTCTACGTAGTAACTGAGTAACTGCGTAAATTTTACACACAATTCCTATATTTTTAACTAACACAACAGCATTAACGAGGTTGACAAAGTCTAAAAATAAAAAAAAAATTGCCAGTAGGCCTAATTAGATCTAGCACAAAAAGGCTCAGAATGAGCATTGTTTAGGCCTAAAATACAATACTAAGGCCTAATTAAAAACTACATATAATTTCATATAAATTATACAGTCGGGTAGGCCACGAAGTATTAATATTAACAAGGTTAATGACCGGTCACGAATTATTGTCAATGAAACTAACAGTGCAGTCGGCCTACTTGGCTTGCAGTGAAGAAAAAAAAATCAATATACTTATAAAATTACTAATACTTTAATACAATAATAATGCCCACAATTTTTGCACATGCTAAAACTGAATTATAATTAAAATACTAGACTTAACAGTGCATTCCGCAAAAAACAAAAATTAGTTGTTTCTATCTGACAACTAGCGTAACAATGGCGTAACGTTGCTAAAAATAGCAGCGGCATGGTATTTCTATGGGGAATTGGATTTTGGAAGAAGAGAAGCAGCATCATTGTAATTAATCATGGTAAATATCTCAAATATATATTTATCTAGGAGCTGTCGAGCGCTGATGCCCGGTGGTCGGTCGTTTTTCGTTGCAGTTCAGTTCCTAATGAGAGTGCTCCATAAGAAATGCTTGTATTAATTATTACTACATATCTCGCAAATGTTTCTAGCATTTAAGCCATAGTATCCATTTCCTTAGCATTTCGCATTAAAATAGTGATGAGATATTGCTAGATTAGCAGTTTTTTCATTTTTTGTATATAGGACCCCCAAAAACACTTAAAATGTGAAAACTAAAAGAGCATGACGTTTCAGGGTCAGGTTCTGACTTCCGGTTTTGGTAATGAGATCGACTACTAATTATTTCACATTTTTAGAAAGTTTGAGGAGATCTAGAATCTAGATCTAGATCTATGTTGTAAAAGTTACAGAAATGTTTCAACTTTCAACCCTTCAATCATTCATGTAGATCTCTGTCTCTAGATCTACCTGTTTTTAAATGATTGCATTAAAACTTTTCAGTAATAAAAAAGATAAGCGATGTTTTCATCAGATGCAACCAAGCTCATTAAATTTAGAAGCCATCTTAAGTTTTAACATTTTAGCTAGATTCAGGGGAAACCACTTTACAGATGGCCGCTGTTTATATGGAAAATCTTGCTCGCAAACAAGGCTGTTTAAAGTTAAAATCAATTTTTGGCCTTTATTGATATATTTAGACATTGCTTTTGGTTTATTATTCAATTATCTATTATATTTGACCCAAAAATACAATAATATTGGCCTACTTGTATAACAGCCATATTAATGAGCCACCTTTCTCGCACATTTCTAGCCTTGGCCAATTTTACGTACCTAAAACAATAGATTACCCTTATTAGTTAGCCTATACACTGAGAATATTATACACTATATAACTGTGACTCTACCAGTGTCCGGTAATGGCACAAGAATAGAATCTTCATTAAAAAATATCTTGTTGATAAGTAGGTCTAATTTTAATTAATAAAATAAATAATGTTAGGCCTAAGTTGTCAACCCTAACCCTGCCCTAACTATTAAATCAACTAAGATTAGTCCTTCCTTACTTAAACTAAATTTAAATTACACTTAGGCCTACCTACTTACACTACAACTAACACTGCCTTGCTTAAGCCTTCCAGAATTTCAAATTTGAAATGTTGACCATGTAACTAATACTAGATTTGAGATTACAATACAACCTGACACACCTATTTTCAGAAGTCTATAACTATTAATTACTACTAAACATAAGTAATACCAATAGACCAAGATGAGTAGGTAGGCCTAATCAAAATCACAATAAGGGGTCTTCCATAAATGACATCACACTCATAGTTTGGGTGGTTCATAATTTTTGGATGGGGGGGGGGGGGGGGGGGGGGAGATTCCCTTTTGCATTTGAGGCCCAATATATAAAATGATTAAAATACTCAATGTTGATAGAGCACAGTCAATATTTTAGAAAATAAATTGATTGATGTTTTAAAAAAAAAATTAATTGGAATTTATTAAGGGGATTTATAAATAATTAGCCTAATTAAAAAAAAATGAATATAGCCTAACAGTAACATAATTTTTTTTCTATTTCACTGCTAGCATGGAGGTTTATTTGGTTTGATTTGTTGAATTCCAGTAGGGATTTTATTCATCACATATGTACACAATTAAACATGATTAAGTTAAATAAACATAAAGAACTTGAAATTCTATGGAAAGACTTTTTTCAAACAGCAAATATTGCTATGCACACCTCTGGTTAAACAACCAAAGTATTTTGGGCACACACATGTGAAAATAATTAGACTGGCAGTTCTCACTATTTTAATTAGCTGACTATTAAATCCTCATTTTTAAACCTCAAGCCCTTGATGTAGTAGAAGATTGATGCCAGTTTTATAAGCACTGCCATAGCAAGGTTTAACTATAAACATTGAAATCCAAAGTTGTTGAACCAGACACTCTCTGTGAAATATATGTAAGTAATAATATGGCTGGCAACATTATAGACTACCTCTAGTAATGCTCCAGACCAAACATGTTTAGTCAATATAGTTAGCAACATAATGGTTCACTTACTTTGGCTTCTATATGGTAAACAGCAGCAATTGCAAGATGATGTAAAAAATGTTTGTGGTATAATACTAAATCTGCACTTTATCCAACATCTTGATCTTTTATATAATTGAGAAAAGTAGTGTAAAAGTCACATATGTCAATAAAACCAATCTTTTACAAAGTGTTGGGATAAGATTAGATGCACCTTATTTTCATAGAATACTCCATCTGGAATAAAAAGTACAGTCAAGGATTGTCCGTCTTTTTACAGAAAAACAATTATCACATTAGAGTTGACTAGGTTATATCACTAAGTGGAAAATAGGTTGTTGCAATTCTCTGTGTTAGGGTAACATGACAGAAATCTCACAGCACAACTTAGAATAGGAGTGTAATCTATTTCAATGCACTGCGTAATTGTTTTTTTATGTGTATCTTTTACCACTTAAGTATGTATGGGTAACCATTAAAGATATTGTTACATGTATGTTTTGAATATATTTCTAGAAACATTGATGAAATAGTCCTTGCATATCTTGTTGGCGTGGTGGAGCTGGTGACTCTAGAGGATGACAACCTGGACTTGGAAGATGTTATTGACATGATGAATGCGTACTTGCCAGGGTTTGAAATGATTGGCAGGTGAGAAAAGTCTGCCTATTTTTGGGTTCCAACAGGTTAGAGAGATATATTTACAATTGGCTTTCTGGTAAGCAGCTACACACAGGCTGGAAATGTATGCTTACAGTGGATTTTGGTAGGCCAGCTAGAAAAGAATGCTTACACTTTATCTTTTTGTAGACAGCTACAAAAAGATCCCTACAGTTGTTTTTAAGATAGAATGATGTGATTATGGTTGGGACTAATAACACACAGATAAGAAAGGTGTGTATTGAATTAGTTTCTATTGTTTCTGTAAATATGGCACTGGTTAACTTATTTTTTTTTAAAGTTGTAGTAAAACGTGTTTGTGAAATTTGAAAATTCTTGTTTGATGTTTGATTTATAAACAGGGCAGAAGTTATTGGTTGGATGCTTGGAATGGCTAAAAAGCTCATGAACCCCACAGAAGGTAACTTGTTTGAATATTGTTTGCCTGTTTGAGGGTGGCTTTATTAAAGATGAAATTTCATTGCTCTGGTTCAAATGCTTCTTGACTAGTTAACATTATTGAAGAGTGATAGGCAAGAGAAATAATTTGTTAGTAACTCCTTTATTTTTGTGAGTTTGCTGTTCTGTCTACAGATGTTGAGAGGACTAATGGCTATGACTATAATGAAGATGGCATCAAAGGAGATCACAAAAAGGATTCAAACACTGAGATGGGACAGAAAACAAATGTACTGAAGTTTCCTTGCTATGACTACACTCAAGACTCTAAACACATGTCTCTTAACATGAATGATAACTCCCAAGTAAATATACAGCTAAACAAGACAAATGCACCTACAAAGGACGAAGGTAAAATATCCAATTTACAAACTTCATGCACAGACCTGTAGCTGTGGGCAGTTTTCATTTGAAATGTTTGGCACACTTTGTCCAACAAGGTTTATATTCTCAGCATCTGTTAATGCTACTTTTATTATTCTTACAGACAGTTAATATCAAAGCAACATATTAAGACAACCTTTTTAAAATGGAACCTTCTGCATCATACAGAAATACAACTCAAAGAACTTCATATTGGTATACTTTTAAAGCCCCGAGCAATTTTTATATGCTAATTGACATTTTAAGGGAATAGTTAGGTCTAAATTTTGACATCATTAATGCAGTTTGTTTTTTTCTGCTGTCATCAAATAGTTCAGCCTATCATAGCAGCAAAGTCTCATGCCATGTATAGATTTTGTCTGGGTTACTTGTATGTCACTTCATGCCTGATTGATTTTCATGTCATCTAACAGTAGTTGCTAATGGTGAAATTGAACACTAACTTAATGTTATGGTTTCTTTTAACTTCTGAAAATTAGACAATAAAATTTGTTGAGAGTTTATTTTTAATTTAACCTAGCCATAACGAGAAATAAATGTGATTGATCTACCTTCTTTGCAGCAACACCAGTAAAACTTGTGTTTAATTTTTCAGCCCAACAAAAAGTGGCCAATGGTAATTTCAATCCGATCACATTTATATCATCCCCTCCCTTAGAGACAGCTCCACACTCTAGTGAAAAGCATTCAACATCAAAGCGTAAAGGGAGACAACTTAGCTGCTCTTCACAAGACAGTCAAGATGAGAAAGTAAATACTTTTTTAAACCAAAAATTTTACATTGAAGTTTTATTACAGATGAATCAATAGCTACTAATTATTATGCTAAGTAAAATAATATATAGTCACTTCCTCCTTAAACAAGCAAAAAATGTAAGTAATAGTTTACTGAGCAAAATGAAAATGAGGTTCTGTCTTAATTCTGACCATAACTCAAACTAAATGCATTATCTATCTCTGCTGCAAAAGGACTTATAACGATAGATTCTTTGTTGTTGAAAATGTAACTTTTCTTTAAATTCTTTATTTCCATCTCTAGGCTGATATTTATATATTTCCTGATATTGTATCTTTTCAAAGGCTGATATACTAGCTGTGGAAGATGAAGAACATGTAAAAATTCTACAAGAAATGTTTCCCAGTGCATGCACCATGGAGGCTCGTCACTGCTTACAGTTGTCAGCTGGGGACATGGACCGCGCTGCACAGCTGATTATGGACAGACAGGAAACAGGACAGGCCATCACTGGCAAGACAAAGGTGACAACCCCAGTAAGTTCTAACTTTAACACACATTTTGTACTAAACACTTTCATTACACTTCATTATAGCATTACATACTAATTTTTTAATTCACTCTTATTATCAATTTTTAAAGAAAAATAACAAAGTGAAGAAGATTCTTGAGTACAAGCTGGATGATGACAGTATAAAATCCTGTGTTTTACAGAAGTAAGTCTCCTTTTCTCTTGAAAAGTTCTTCAGCCATCAAGGAAGTTATTCTGCTACTTTTTAAATGTTCATTTTGGAAGACAAAATCTTAGCTTTCATTTTTTTATGATATGCAGTATGTTAATGTTATAATTTTAAATGCATACACAAAAATGTTTTCAGATACTCCTTTGTGGACACAGAAGAAGATAAAAAGACCTTTAGACCCCCACCATTGAAAGGGGTAAGTTAAGAATTTGTTGTATTAAAATATTTAAATTAATTTTTTAAAAGTGTGATTATGTCAGTAAGACTTCATGTTTTTAATCCTTTTTTCTATTTGTGTAAGCACATAATTTTGTATTTAAAGATTAGATGTTGAGAGCGAAAACGTTTTGACAATGTCTTGACAACAGGAAGCCAAGAAACTTGTGCGCTACAGGGATGGGCAAGTCGTCAGCATGAAGGGGGAAAAGTTTTCTGAGGTCTCTAAAAAGGAGCCAGACCAGCTCAAGTCCACCTATGTGAACCTGAAGCCTGCCAGGAAGTATCGCTTCCACTGACAGGTGAAGCCAGGACCTCCACCTGCGGGTGGTACCTCCACCTACAGGTAGAGTCAGGGACTCTCTCAGATCTGGTGCTGTCAGGTGTTTTTAGTTTTACCTTTGTTTTAGTTCTACCACCATTTGTCAAGACCACATCCACTATCATTTGTTGGATATTAAGTTAAGTATACTAGAAAGAAACTTTTAGAGGGTTTTAATATGCAGTGAAATTTTGTAGATTTTTTTACGTACAAAATTTCTGTTTCTTTATGTACAATGTTATTTAAATCTCCAAACAACTTACTGAAATTATTTCCTTCTATAATAATTAGAATTTTGCTAGGTTTACAAAAACTTATTGATTTACAGCACTGTGGGTTTTTCAATAAATCTCTTTTGAAATTGGATTTAAATTGTCAACATGTTATTCAATTCACATTATTTTTTTTTTTTTTTTTTTTTTTGTGGGTTAAGTTCAAAACTTGGTAAAGAATGTACTATGTTATCATTTGCATTCAGATAGATCTCTTTACTAGACATACACTAGGCGTACAATTTGTTATTAATGTTATTAGTATTAATAGTTTATAGAGCTCCACGTCTATAACATTCCAGTGAGGTATAATATGAATATATATATTACAGTAGTATAATCTAGTTGAGTCTAGATATATTTTCCTCCATTACTAAGCCAAAACCTTGGAGTATTTTGCTTAAGAAAGCTTTTAAATTTCTTCAATAACACATTACTCAAGGCTACTTAGTTAGCATTTAAAGATTTCATTTGACAATCAGTGTATTTTTTGCAGTAGAAAAAAAATGTGCTGACTGCATAAGTAGCCAGTCCAAGTTGTACTACACATGTTTCTGTTACACAGGCCTAAATGCCAAGCCTCTTCCACCTACCAATTTCAGGAATCATTTGATACTCATCCCTAGTTGTCTCCCTTCCCAGCTGCTGCATTGATATCACACCCAACCAGGCATTCCTGAAGCAGAGATACCTGTGTGGGTCATGTGATCGTGCAACAGTTGTACAATTCTTCCACTGATGCCTACCAGACAGAATATTTTCAACTCCAGTCTTAGCCGTCCAATCTAGACACACAATCCATTTTCCTTTGCTGAATGTGTAAAGTGCTAGTCTGCTAACTAGACATTTTGTGTAAACCTGTTCAAATTAAAATGTCATTGAATAAGCTGCAATTGCTCAGCATGTTAACAAATTAGTCAAATTTTAAAAAAATCAGTATTAGAATTTGTCTTGGTTAAATATTTCTTTGGTTTAATGAAAATTTTTTGTGAAACTAATGTAGAATTTTCTGGACTATTAGTGCGGTGTTTAATTTTTCTATTAGAAAATTGAATAACAAGGATAATTCTGATCTACTGTTTTGACCAGGAACACCCACTAAACATTTAGATAGTAGGGGAGCCAAACCTTTATGAGATTGTTACTATTCTTTTAATTTGCATTAGTCACCTCAGAAGTGCCAGCTATTTTAAATGTATTAAACTCATGTTTGATCCAATTGATAAGCATTCTAGATCTACCAGTTATGTCTTCATTCACTACTTTTAATTTGACATGAATATTTTGTGTAATATGTGACTTCGCATTTAAAAGCATGTTAGCCTAGGAAAACATTTGCCTATAATGAAATAACTATTATTGCATCAAAGCTGGTTGTTAAAAACATCTATCTATATAAATATAAATAGTCTTTGTTTTGTGACATTAAGCTAAAAGTGGTTTTACACTTAAATCTTTTTATTGCAGATTTTGGTATTGAATATTTTTATTCACATGAAAAATAAAGTTATTAAATGCATTTAGAATTATAGTTCATGACCTCATTGCCTAATACCACTTAAAATAAATTCTCTGTGCAAAACTTATTTTTGTGAATATTTAATTTAAAACAAAAAAGCAATGAATACTGGTATTTTATTGCTTATGCATTTCTGCCTAAAGAAAGAGTAGAATATATTTATTATCCTTCAAAGCCTAAACAAAAAAGTTTTTAAATGTAATTGATAATTACCAATAAACTCTACATATATATAATAAATTGGCAGCAAACATCCCAATAGGATCTGTTCTCACATTTGAAATATTTGTTCTCTTTTATCTATGAATGCTGAGGTTTGTTCGTTAACACACCATACACAAGTTGTGTGTGCTGAACTTATCATTCATATTATACATGTTTTTATGATTATAATTATATGATGTGTTAAAAATGTTGATGTAATGCTCTTGTAAATTAGTTCAAAATGTAATTTTGTCTTGTCTGCTTTAAACTAGTACAAAATGTAATGCTGTTTTTTTCTATTGTCTCAGTTTTCTTGTTTTATCAATAGAAACAGATAAAGGTATTACTTTGATGGAATTTTCCAGATTTGACAGTCCTTTTTGTCAAGTCAGCTTCTTGCTGACTGAACGCATTTATTTATAGATTGATGGTATACGGTGTTGTCTTACAATATATTTGTTTGTTCATGTTTGAGATACTTCACAAGGTATTAAACAGCATTGCCAACCTATGATGTAATTGTAAGAGTATTGTTTCATGCAAAATAGCATGGCGTGATCCTACTGTTTGATTAGATTTCCACCAAAGATCATCTACTGGCCTCTACTTCTTAAAATTATGCATTCTCAACTCTTGTTACAAAGCTGTCTATTATAAATGACATGACCTCTCAACTCTATTACAAATATGTCAATTATAAATGACATGAACTTAACTCTATTACAAAGACAGTCACTGTTGTATTCAGTTTTGCCAAGAACATAATCCATGACAAGATTAAAATATGAAGGCAAATGTAACAATGCAAATAGTCTTGTTATTGTACAGTTATGTCTTAATGATGACATAAGGTACACACATGATACGGTACAGAAATCAAATGAATGTACATGACAATGGCATAGTACAACAACACATGACACAATGTAGCACTGAGGCTTTTATCGTCTTTTGATCTCACAAAGTTCACCAATAATCACCTTTAGGTCACGAATTTCGCCAATAATCACTTTCTCACATAGTTCACCAATAATGTCCGACTGGTCGCTTACTTAAAGTTCACCAATAATCTTCTGGTCTCACGAAGTTCACCAATAATCACCTGGTCTCATAAAGTTCACCAATAATCTACTGGTCTCACAAAGTTCACCAATAATCTTCTGGTCTCACAAAGTTCACCAATAATCTACTGGTCTCACAAAGTTCACCAATAATCTACTGGTCTCACAAAGTTCACCAATAATCTTCTGGTCTCACAAAGTTCACCAATAATCTTCTGGTCTCACAAAGTTCACCAATAATCTTCTGGTCTCACAAAGTTCACCAATAATCTACTGGTCTCACAAAGTTCACCAATAATCACCTGGTCTCACAAAGTTCACCAATAATCTTCTGGTCTCACAAAGTTCACCAATAATCTACTGGTCTCACAAAGTTCACCAATAATCACCTGGTCTCACAAAGTTCACCAATAATCTTCTGGTCTCACAAAGTTTACGAATAATCTACTGGTCTCACAAAGTTCACCAATAATCACCTGGTCTCACAAAGTTCACCAATAATCTACTGGTCTCACAAAGTTCACCAATAATCACCTGGTCTCACAAAGTTCACCAATAATCTTCTGGTCTCACAAAGTTTACGAATAATCTACTGGTCTCACAAAGTTCACCAATAATCACCTGGTCTCACAAAGTTCACCAATAATCTTATTGTTCAAGCCGGAGGCAAACATTTTCAGTTAAGACAACACCACATCGTTACTTGGCTCCACATTTAATGTAAGAAACTAAAACGCTTGTGACTGCATGATTAACCATGTGCCATTCTATGAGCTGTGCATAGCTTCACAATTTTAAAAATTGCCATTGTGCTTTGGTAGTTTTCAATAAAAAATTTATTGATTAATATTCAGTGCGTTGTCTAGCGGTTTAAAGTCTACCGGTAATGCATATTGCAAGATCAAATTCTATGGACATTGAAGAAAAGAGTAGCCAACGAAAAAAATACAAAAATAACGACCACAAAGTTTCAAGAGTTAACTTGCATCAAGAAGGTCGGCACCTTACAATTTTCCACATTACCGCGTCATCTAACAGTTGTATGTAATAGTACAGACATATCTACAATAAATGGGACTATACACTTTAGGTGGAGGTTGACACCCCACTTTGTGACGCCACTTTTGGTGGAGGTTGACACCCCACCTTGTTACGCCACCAAGATGTCCAGTTATTTTTAACTCAACCAAAAGGTGACCCCATTATCGTTTCTCGTCCAGCGTTGCCCACTCAAGCAAGTGATGTAAATAGACCTGTCGTCTGCCGGAGATCTGCTTTCGTCTATCGATTCAAGCGAGACCTGGATGACAGCTCGAGGCTGGTTGACTCGCACCTCACAGTTTTTAAAGTGACGGGAGCTCTTGACAGGGGCAGTTGGACTAGCGCGTCACAGGGATACACGCGCGATTGGGATAGCTGGACACTAGTCAACACACTTGATTGGGATAGCTGGACACTAGTCAACACACTTCACTGGGATAGCTGGACACTAGTCAACACGCTTGATTGGGATAGCTGGACACTAGTTTGACTTGTAGACGGACACACGTTTGATTGGGATACACGGACACAGATTTTACTATGGCCAAAGTTGTTATCTTCAGTGCCGGATATCTTGTTCTGATGCTGCTGACAGGAGGCGATGCCATTAAAATTACAAGCTGCAGTAAGTTTATTTTTTTTAAAGTAACTCTACGGTCAGTTAGGTTAGTTGTACTTGTTGTTTAGCCATACCTTCATATTTTTTCAACACTAAACCTAAGAGAAATCCTTATTCTTAACCTAACCCTGAGAATAACCAAAAGGCTTATTACATTATCGGCTTTAAAAAGCAGACAATATGACGTTAAACTAATAACTATCTATATGAGAAAATATTACATTAGGTTTAAGCTTTAACCACCTATATATACAACAAGACCTTAAACCACCTAATACATTTGGAGAATTTTTGGCTGACTTTATAAAATTACTTACTTTTACACCTAAAGTAGGCTTTATATTGCCGTTTGATGGGTGCTGTACAGCTGGTGGCAGGAAGATTTTATATTACAGGGCCAAGTTCTTTCTATATCAGGAAAATGAACACATTTTTAACATCAATGTTTTATGTGCTTGTTTTATTCCGGACCGATATGTTTACAAAGGATGGCTGTATTTATAATAGGCGAATCATACAAAATATGTTAATTACATTAAGATGTTTTAAAACAAGATGAAAGACCCAGAGGTATTCTGGGAAAACACATTTTAAAACTTTAAGCCAGTTGTTACTACTTTTCACCAAACCATTTTAAAAGGCCGAAGTTTAACAAAAATAGGAATAAAGAAATAAAAGGAAGTGTTTTTTATTGTTGATCTGTAACTCCGCCTCAGGTAAAATTACAAAAAGATAAACATCCACACCCAGTCGTATTAATTTTATACATGCAAAACCACCAATAAAAAGTTTTGTAATGCAATCCACACCACATTCTACGTTACTGTCAACTATGGACCTCTAACACTGCAGTTTTTCTCCAAAGTTTGACCTAACGGTAGAGGCGACAAGAAGCCTACTGTAACTAACACTACCTACAGTTTTTCTCCAAAGTTTGACCTAACGGTAGAGGCGACAAGAAGCCTACTGTAACTAACACTACCTACAGTTTTTCTCCAAAGTTTGACCTAACGGTAGAGGCGTCAAGAAGCCTACTGTAACTAACACTACCTACAGTTTTTCTCCAAAGTTTGACCTAACGGTAGAGGCGTCAAGAAGCCTACTGTAACTAACACTACCTACAGTTTTTCTCCAAAGTTTGACCTAACGGTAGAGGCGACAAGAAGCCTCCTGTAACGGGACACCTGGGATTACCTTTATTTGCCCACCTGTGTGGGGCTAGTCTAAGTGTCACTGTAGTGTCATAGACAGGGTGTCAGGTAAAGCGTCACACAATGGCCACACAAAGTTGGAAATACAATTTTAAACTGCTAAATTTGCATTTCAAAGGGAAACTTGGAATTAATATAAGGAATTTTAAATTTTTCATGAATAACTTTTAACTTACTAGATCTAGTCGAACCTAAAAAAAATTGTTTGTAGAGTAAATAAGTGGTCGGGCGAATGTGCGCATTTTTTGCTAATCCGAAAAGTCGGGACAGATGAGGCTCGTTAGCTGAGGATCGCAATCCATCAAGGAAATAAAACTCCAGAATCAAACAGGAGTGGAACCCCTTTAGCGGCGATAGGAAAACCAACCCACAACTATGCTAGCTGTATAGGTGACACCTGTCTCTTGGGTCCATCAGTTGTATGGAGAGTGGGGGCAACATCGGGCTTTTCTCAACTTACTGCACAGTGTTTGATTTCCATGGCGTAATCTTCCAATCGTCCATCAGCTATGCAGCCATTTATTTAAATAAAAGCGATATAATGAAACATTTGTTTGGTAAAAACCGATAAACTATTTTTTCATGGGTTGGATAATGAACACAATTTTTATACAAAGCTCAAAGCTGAATCGGCAATACATGACGCTATTGAATATGTGGTAGAAACTCATTCCTGTTATAGATGCTACCAACGTCAAATAAAGAATTCTATTCATATAATTTTACTACCGGAAGGTCACTAAGCATAGAGGTCACTAGGGTACTTTCTTGCAGTCTGCTACTAGGCTACCTGCTACCTGCTAGTGATGGCTACTTTCTTGCAGTCTGACAGGTACTAGTCTACCTGCTAGTGAGGGCTACCTTTCTTGCTGTCTGACTGGTACTAGGCTACCTGCTACCTGCTAGTGATGGCTACTTTCTTGCTGTCTGATAGGCACTTGGCTACCTGCTAGTGATGGCTAATTTCTTGCAGTCTGACTGCTACTAGGCTACCTGCTAGTGATGGCTACTTTCTTGCAGTCTGACTGGTACTAGGCTACCTGCTACCTGCTAGTGATGGCTACTTTCTTAGCAACTGTTTGACAAGACCATAGCCGACATAGCCATAGGCGACAAACCTATGGGCAGAAGTTATGGGCAAACATCGGGATGGTTCGTTTGTCGCCGTCTATAGCAAACATCAGGATGTTCGCTAATTGAGCAGTTGTGACGTCGTCTTCACGTTTACGTTTACTCTGGCGTAGAAAGGGGGAGGGGGGTTGAAAGGGCAATAGGTTTTGTTTTACAACTTCTTGTAAAAGGCGGGGGGAAGTGCAGTTACTGCAATGGTTAGAAATAATGATTGATGTTTACACTGGTGTATCAATGAAATAAAATAAATGTAAGAAAGTAAGAAAAACTGAGTTAGTCTGTTCAGGGCTAGTCGAGTCAGTTAAGTCAGTTGGGTAAATGGAGTGCGCTCAGTTTTGTAAACATCAGTAGAAAGGGGGCGGTTGAATGAAATTTTACACCATGAGTTACGTCATTTCTTCAACGCTCCCTTATAAAAATGTTACACGCATTAAACAAAAAATGATGGATGATGTGCTTTTCTGACGACACGATGACATGCTGTCGTGACGGTGTGTGTGTGTGTGTGTGTGTGTGTGTGTGTGTGTGTGCACTTGTGATTAGACGAAAATGGAGGGTGGTGTATGGGGAGGGGGGGGGAGTTTGTAATGCTCCAGTAAACCATTTTAAAAAAAAAATTATATTGGTTTTATAAAACACGCATAACATGACGTTCATTCTATATAAATAATAATTTCTGTCTAATATGCGTTGTTTCAAAGCAATTATTTGATTAAAAATCGATCGATTTTCAGTTAATTTATAAGTTTATTGGGTTTGGCATAATGTAAGTATTTAGCATTTTTGACATGCGTAAGAGTACTAAAAGTATTGTTGTAACCATACGCCGTTAACAAAGTAGACCATAACTTGTAGTAAAATAGACTACAATTCTTGCGGGTAAAGCTCCTAGCTGGGTGTACTCGGTGTTTAAGAAATCAATTCTAAGTCTTGACCCTGAAGTAGTTTTACAGGAAATAGCAGCAGCTAAGGCCAGCCCTCTGTTCTCTACGGGCAGCAGTCTAAATAAATAACCGTTCTATTTCCGCCGGAGGAAATAGCGATTCTACCCGCACCAGATCTGCCGTCTGCTGGGTTTGGTTGGGATGGGAATCAGACAAGAGCTAAGTGGATTTTTTTTATTGCTTTCTGCCTGGTTCAGTTTCAAGCAGTCCCGTTTTCAGTTTCTGCTGTTGGAAAAAAATAAAAATAAAATTCAAGTTCAGCTTGAAGTTTGAGAAAGATGGGATCCTTTGGTGGATCCTCTCATTGAGAGATGGGTTCTCCTGTCATATATAGGTTTCTATTATTTCAGATAACAAAAATAAGTTTGTATTATATATAATTTGTTTGATATTCCAAGCAGAAATTAACAATAATGGTTATGGAGAAATTCACACTTGTTAAGTCACAAACAATTTAGATGTAGGGCCTTATAACATTTTTTTGCCTTTTTTTTGAACCGAGAAATGAGTGTTTCTGTTTATTAAGTCAATTAGCAGTACCATAATTTTAATTAAACACAATTGACCCAAAGGTTGGGCTGTTTAAATCAAATACAATTAGAGCAGAAATCGAAAAGTTAAAATGTTGTAGAAAATATACATTTATGGAGAGCTGCCGATGAGATCATTTGGACTATTATGTCCAAATTTGAGAGCTGTATTACTGTACAATTACAAAATACTGATTGGTTGTTTCCGATCTTTCCTTTAGGCATGTCAGATTTGACGTTCTAATTAATTGATTGATTCGTTGCGCCTGAGGCTATGTTAATCAATTTCAATTAGCCAACAGTGACTAGTATGTTCCATGGCCTGGTCTTACAAAGTGTGGGCCTAAACCAGGGGTTCCCAACCTTTTTTTTACTCAAGAGCACATTCTAAAATATCGGTAGGGTGGCGGGCACCACCTATTTTAAATCGACAAACTCCTTCCATAACTTGTCATTTTTCCATAATTTATTTTATTTTCTTATATTCATGATGTATTATTATATTAATAAATAATAAACAAAAATGTTTCAAAATAATAAAATAATTTGTCATTTTTTTCAAATTGCATACACACAGAGAAAAAAAATTAAAACTGTAACAAATGAATAAAAATAAATCATATTTTAAAATAATGTTTATGAAAAAAATTCTGTCGAATAGTGAAAGGCGGGTACATACGAATCGTTCAGCGGGCGCCATGGCGCCCGCGGGCACAGGGTTGGGAACCCCTGGTCTAGACGGTAGAATCTACAGCGTTATACTAAATTATACTATCAAACTTGGTCACTTGCTTCATGCAGGGATTCGAACTCGGATCACGATATGAAGTGGCCCTGATTTGTGACGTGTTGTCTCGACATTGATTAAAAAATTGTCGTCTGCAGGCAAAGACCCCGCCGCTGACATCGTGAAGGTCAAGAGCCTGGACTCCAGCCCTAACCCGATCAGAATACCTGGCAACTTGACCCTGGCCACCTCTCTTGTCGTCAGCCAGCCAATCACAGGCAACATACAAGCTGACGTCACGCTGAGCAAGAGTATCGCGGGGATGTGGCTTGACCTGCCCTGCTTCCCCTCGCCATTCGGACCAATAGGAACTTGGTGAGATCACGTGATGTTTACAGCTTTGAAAGAAAATCATTATGGACAAAAACAATGAGATTAAAACAGAATTAAATGTTAGCTTAGGATCAATGTTAAAATCACTTGGTTTTAGTATACCACTTTATAAAAATCTTTTTTTTTTTACTGAAATGAAGAAAAAAATCGCCCAACAAATGAAAGTTTCCCAGTTTATTAAATAGACGCACCACATGAGCTGAAAATGTCTCAAAAACAAACATCTGCTCCCAAGTGTGCTATTTGCACAAGGCAAAATGTTTTTTCTCTGACCTCTGTCATTTACATGTGTCTAATTCCCCCCCTCCCCCCACCCCCACCCCCCAGCACATACAGAGACTTGTGCGGTTTGCTGGGTAGACTCAATGGCGCATGCCCCGCCCTTCTGACCAGCAACAACATCCCGTGCGCATGTCCGATTGCAGCCGGAAGTTACACCCTGAAGCAGACGACACTGCCACTAGAGATCAAACTTCTGGGAACCGACTTGCCAGGAATAAGTGTTCGTTTGGTCTTTATACTATTCCATATTTATTCGTTAGCCATTTTAAAGTAATGTTTGTTTGTTCATTTAGCTTGAAAAGTTTTTGTTTGTTCGTTTGGTCTTTTACTATTCCATATTTATTCGTTTACCATTTAGCTTGATAAGTTTTTGTTTGCTCGTTTGGTTTTTTTTAAAATGATTCACTTTTTTAGTTTCACCTTATAAATAGATTTCGATACTTATTGGAAGTAGTAGATACTATTTTTGTTACAGTAACAATAAAACAAACAAAAGTGCTCTACATTTTATCTGAAATATTAAAAACAAAAATTCACAAAAATATTTTTTTCCAATAGGGAGACTACCAGGCCAGCATCAGGGTCAAGGACGCAGACACCCAGACTGAGATCGTCTGCTTTGACGTCACGTTTGAAATCGCCGATCCACCTAGGCCAAAGATTTTCCGTAGCCTTGGGCGCTTCCTGTCAAATATTTTTGGTCGCTAGACCTCGGGCGGGCCCGTTGTTTAGTCGGCCACTAGACATTTGGTCCATAGTTTAGCTGTCCATTAGACCATTTGCCTAAATGACCACTAAACCGTGGACCCTTTGTTTAAGTAGCTGGCCACTAGAGCATTGGCCCATTGTATAGATAGCAGACAACTAGACCATTGGCCTAAGTGGCAACAAGACCATGGACCTATTGTTAAGTAGCTAGCCACTAGACCATTGATCCATTGTTTAGCTGGCCACTAGACCACTAGAGCCTAAGACTACTGCTTACTTTAATAACTTTTTTGTACTGGCGTTCTATTTTTATCCCCGTAGACCTGCCTGCATGAGATCTAAAATGTTACCGCCAGCTAGTATTTCTGACAACAACACACAGCCATAATTTGACCTCAGCTAATATTTCTGACAACAGTACACGGCCTGGTTTAATAATCAGTCAAGTAACACCTGATTCTTAACCGATTTTAAATCTCTCTTGATATGCTGCCTAGTTTTGCCTTAAAACCCCGACAATCTACATCTAAAAAAAAACCTTCGTGAAATGTAAACTTGGCATCATGTGTTCCCCCTACCCTCACCACAACACGTAGTGATTGTGTAAAGAAAAAAAAACTTGTATCGAAACCTCCATCAAATAATGTATGTAATAGCTGGAGTAAATTAATATCAATAAAATTTGACTATTTTCAAAAGTCATTTTCCTTCTTTCTTTTATTTCAGACGATTTTATGCTGTTTTGTTGTTGTTTTTAATGGAAGCATCTTTTAAACATAATCTTATTTAGAAAACTATGAACGCCTAGGAGCATAATCAAAACAAATAAAAACACCTGAATAATGATGAGCTTTCAAACGCACTGAAATTAAGAAAAAAATAAAAGCTTGTTATCAACACGTTTTTACAAGCGTTTATTTAACTTGCACCCTCTGTCGTCAGCCTGTCCGTCATCAGTCTGTCTGTCGTCATAGATCGAAACGGGCGAGCGAAATTTCTGGCACTTCTAAGTGACAGATATGTTTCAAAGTTGGCACGTGGGTCAAGAAAATACAGTATGATATTAAATTTGAGTTAATTGGATGACTAATTAATTTTTTACGAAGTAATCAAATTTTCTTAAATTAGTTGGCTGTTTCGCTATTATTCCGCACTATTATACGCGCATTGTCATGTTCATTTGGTGCACAATAGTTTTTAGTCATACTACTCTATTGTTTTAAACATTTTAAAGTACTGAAATAAATGCATAAAAACGTTTTAATAATACGCTTTTATGTAATAATGCACTAAAAAGGAAAAAATAAATGGTTTTCTTTCATTATATAATAATACACTACTATTTAATTAACTATAAAGAAATCTAATACATCTTTTATTTGATTTAGTGTCTGTTTATATTCGCTTTTAAAAAAAATTGTGGGCTTTGGCAAATTTTAACCAATTTTTAAAACAGCCATCGCATTCAAATAGTCCAGATATGTTTGGTAAAAGTCCTCAGAACCGCCCCCCCCCAACACACACCCACACACCCACGGCTGGTAACCTGTCACACCTCACATTTATCCCCCCTCCCCCAATAAATAAATAAATAAATGTACACTTGCTTAGAGTTGTGTGAGGTTACTAAGAAAACACCCACACTATAAGGGACATAATTTCTTTTAATTAACTCCCAAGGAAGAACACAACAAGAATTGCTTCCCCCCACCCTCCCCAACTTTACGCATTAAATATGTTAATCAGATCAAGCACGGAGTCGGTGTAGTAGCAAGCTTGCTCAGACAGATAGTGTAGAAACACACCTGACCGTGTGAATACAATCGTGCTGAGGCACTTGATGCCTGTGTTAATACACTCCATGTCAACAGGAAGGTGGCAGATAAATAAAATATCTGCACTAAGAGGGCTCCTGTTTTATCAGAAAAAATCTGCACGTGATATGGTATTGGTTGTTTAAAATACGTTCTTCAAAAACGGAGGTAAAAAAATTGTAACCTTAAAAACTTTAACAAATAGATTTAAAATAACTTTCTAGAGTTCAAGAATAAAAAACAATTTAATACTAGAATTGTGGTTAGCAATATTTTTCATGTTTAAATTACCATATCCAGGGGCGGAACTACAGTGCCGCCAGACCCCGCAATGCGGGGGGGGGGGGGGGGGGGCCCACGCCATTTAGGGGCCCACAGCCGACCATAATATTTTTTTTAAAGTTAAAAAAAATTAACTTTCTTGCATTTTTGACTTGATGGTTGTTTTGCAAAATGATTACCGTAGCGGCGGTTGGATTATCTTTATTCTATAGACATCACCCCCACGCGCTTGTATATTCTTTTTCCCTTGGTTTTTAAACCACTGTGAAAGCCGAGTCCTCTTTCTCTTACAATTTAACTTAGCAAAGATAAGCAAACGTTCAAACCACTTTCATGACTTATTTCCCTTTTTTAAATAGTCAAATAGGGGTGCTCATAAGCTCCTTTTAATAGATTTGTACTAAACAAATTAAAAAGCAATTACTTCTCTTATTTTTTTTTTTATAAAATACTTATTAAAGAATGTGCATTGTATACAAAGAAAATGTATTTAAAATTAATAAAATAGACACCAAAAAACATAAAAATAATCATAACGCGAGACACCATTTCTTCTACAAAGCTTTCATGTTTTATATTCTTTTGGCCGACTAGAGGTTAGGAGGTCTTGTAGCCTAGCACAGATAAAGTTTGCCTGATTTTCACAAAACACACATTGAAGCACTTACACACATGACATGATGTTGTATTTTGTTTTAATAGAATTTTAAAAAAAAAATCAAAACTCGAACAGGCCAGCAATGAGTAGCATATGGTCGTATTTTGTGTTTGTATATATATATATATATATATATATATATATATATATATATATGTATGTATATATATATATATATATATATATATATATATATATATATATATATATATATATATATATATATATATATATATATATATATATATATACATATATAGGCCCATATATGTGGGGCCCAAAAAAAATTTTTGCGGGGTGGCCCCTTTTTTCTAGTTCCGCCACTGACCATATCAGAAGATATATTATTATTATTTTGATACTGATCAAAGATTTAATGATCTAGACTTTGTTTATAATTATGCTATGTATGTTATGTATAAAACAATATTCAGATGTATATAATCAAAGCAACAAAATAAGTAATTTGTCACTCATATACGTTACGTACACATTTGCTCTGCTATATTTTTCAACCTAACCTACGACGCCTACACTATCTGTACAGTGACCAACTGGCCCAGAATAAAACGTCGATGTCTTGCTGGGTGCTTCTCGGTCCAGTGGAAACCTACATTCGTTATGTGGGCCGTTACATGGCTTTGTGTTGTGGATACTTTGTGTTCTGAGATAACGTGTTTGCACACCAGTTTGAAACTTGCGCATTTACACCAAGTTGATACATGTGTATTTACAAACCAATTTGCAACTTGTTTGTTGACCCACTAAGTTGAACTTGTGTGTTTGGCACCAAACAGAATCAGTGCGTCTAACATTAGCGTGAAATTGGAGAGAAACGGAAATAAACAAATTCCTGAACACATGTTTTGTGTGCCCTAGACTTGTGAATATGTGTGCTTTTACAATAGAATCACATCACATAATATCGTAACAAAGACATTTAACTTGATATAACGTGAAGTTACATTTTCATTTTCTTCAACACTGTGATTTTCACAAAACTACTGTGGTCTACACATCATAAAATGGGAGCTTTAGTCAGTTCCATGGAACATTTAGGCACACTTCCGGAATGCCTGAAACATTTATCGGAAGCCGCGCCAGAAAAAGAACTGTTCGTGTTCTACAGTGAAGACGGTCGACGTGTCTTGACAGCGCTGGAAGTCTATCAGATGTCTGGACGGTTCGCCAACAGACTCAAACAGGAAGGTTTCCAGCGTCATGATGTCGTCTGCAACACACTGCCCAACTCTCCAGAGCGGGTCATCACTGACCTTGGCATTCTGTTTGCTGGGTGTACGCCCATGAATGCTCATGTGAGTATTTGTTTGTATTTTTCTTTTACAACAGTGTAGCTCTGTCTCTCTTTCTCTCTCTATCTGTGTCTCTCTGTGGCTCTGTCTCTCTCTATGTCGCGATCTCTCTCTCTCAGTATATATATATATATATATATATATATATATATATATATATATATATATATATATATATATATATATATATATATATATATATATATATATATATATATATATGTTACGGTCAAAGCCCGAAGTGCGGCCAAAGCGCGGATTGGCCGGCCAATCCGCGCATTGGCCGGCTCTCTTGGCCAAAGCCCGAAGAACTTAGCACTAAGATCGTATTTCGTACATTGGCCAGCCAATGCGCGCACTGGCCGGGACGTACTGGCCAAAGTTCGAAGCGCTTAAACTTGACAGCGTATTTTGTACATTGGCCGGCCAATGCGCGCACTGGCCGGGATGTCCTGGCCAATGTTCTATCTAGACTAAGTTGTGATCGCATTTTCATTATTCTGGTTGATTTTCATTGAGAGTAACGTATTGTTTAGCTCTTGTTTGTATAGCCTTCTATATGCAAGGCGACATGGATCAAAAGGGCCGTCAGACCATGAGACAGACATAGCAGATGGCTGTCAAAAGAAAAAAAAAATGTAAATCCATGTTAGTTTCCATATATGGGCTCTGGATAAAATAGTTACTGAGGAAGATCTTGAGAACATTGAAAAAGAAATGGAGGTTGCCATAAATGCAACGACATCCTCAGCTAACACATCTGCTGCCGTGGCGGAACGCCCAGACCAGTTGCGTGACAATAATGTGGCCAACAGATTCTATATAGTTTGTGAAAAACATTGTAGTGCAGATCATTCTTTTGGATCCTGTGGCAACGATGTCCATGCTATTTGTGGAATACCCAATGAAGCAGAAGAAGGGTACGGAGGGAACATTACCTGCAGATTGTGTCACAACAAACAAGACATCATGAAACACAGATCAGCAGCTCATACTGGCTTGCAAACTCACGGTGCTAAGATGCTTAAAAATTCAAATACAAAATTTAAAGATGGTGAAGTGGGTGACAATGTACGCATCCGTTTTCCAGATGTTGACAGAGGTCACGGTGATCCCAGAAGCGTGATTGCAGTTGTCATGAGCGTCGAGAGCGGTTTCTACAAATTAAGAACGGAACATGGTGTTCTAAAACAACTGTATGCTAGAAGTGAGTTTTCAATTCTTCACGAAAAACTGCTCTTATTGTCATCAGTTGGCACTGAGGAAAAATCACTACGAACCATCGCATCTTCACAATCATTGACTGGGGGCCAAGACTACATTTACTGCAATTGCACAACTAAGTGCACAACAAATCGCTGCAAGTGTAAAAATAACAAGCTGCTATGTAATTCTAAATGCTATAAAAGTTCAACTTGTTGTAACAAATGATGTTATTGATAGATTGAGACTATAGTACAATAAATAATTTGAATGTTTCTGTCATTTACTTTAATTAATAATCAATAAAAACTTAATTTCATGATCCTTACAGCATAAAAAAAACAAAATCTGCTCATGATCTTCTAATTGGGACTTTGGCCGGTCGTCCCTAGCCAGATGATCTTCTAATTAAGACTTTGGCCGGTCCACCATAGCCAGTCCGCGGACTGGCCGGCCAAAGACCGAAATCAAGAGCTATTTTAGACTTTGGCCGGTCCACCATGGCCAGTCTGCGGATTGGCCGGCCAAAGGTCGAAATCAAGCAAAGTTTCGGACTTTGACCGACCTATGGGAGGCGATATTGGCCAATGCGCGGATTGGCCGGCCAATCCTAGCATTGGCCGACTTCGGGCTTTGACCGTAACATATATATACATACACATTAAAGATTTCGATACTAATTACGTCTTAGCATGACATTAATGAACAAAGCAATTAGTTACCAATGCTGTTGCTGATGTGCTAATCAAAATACTGATCTATCCAAGGCCCTACTTGCCGACGGCTCTGATTTGTTCCATGTCCTGAAAGTGAGCAAATGTCGAGCAGTGATTGTGTCTGACGAGGCCAACTCTAACGCCCACAAAGTCCTGCAGCCTTTCTACAAGAGCGACTCTACGCAGTCCTTTGTTGAGCTTCGACATGAGCACCTACCATCTCTGTCAACAGCCGTCGTCGTGTCTCGCCGGCAAGAAAATTTGATATATATATATATATATATATATATATATATATATATATATATATATATATATATATATATATATATATATATATATTTATATATATATATATATATATATATATATATATATATATATATATATATATATATATATATATATATATATATATAGTTAGATTGAAACGAGAGCGCATAACACAGAACATATAAAATCTCTTAATGTTTTTGAACATTGTTCACAGAACACTTTTTACTGTATTGCTAAAGAGTTTGTCGTCTCATAGGTCAACGCCACCATTTCTGGCACTCATGAGCTCACCTGAGCTAGAAATCTTCAGTGAGACCCTCGAGCCGTCAGACCTGGCCTACGTGTTCTGTACTTCCGGTACCACCGGCTTCTCCAAGTTGGTGCCTAGAACTCACCACGAGTTTCTCAGCTGGACGCGCATGTTTCTTGACAGTTTGTTTCCGGGTCAGCGGGTCGCTCACCCGCGTGACGTCACAACTACAATTTTCGATGACAGACTTCTAGGTAACAGTTTTAAACTTTTTCTTTGTAATTTCCTAGTAGTGGGACGCGTGGTCGGATGGTAGAGCGTGCGAGTTCTAACAAGAAAGTCGCGGGTTCGGATCCCGGGTTTGAGTCCCCCTGTAACATCGTGTCATTTGACCCCCAGGCTGAATTGGTGGGATCCCACTGGTGACCCCTGTAACATGGTGTCATTTGATCCCACTAGTGACCCCTGTAACATCGTGTCATTTGACCCCACTAGTGACCCCTGTAACATCGTGTCATTTGATCCCACTGGTGACCCCTGTAACATCGTGTCATTTGATCCCACTAGTGACCCCTGTAACATCGTGTCATTTGACCCCCAGGCTGGATTGGTGAGATCCCACTGGTGACCCCTGTAACATCGTGTCATTTGATCCCACTAGTGACCCCTGTAACATCGTGTCATTTGATCCAACTAGTGACCCCTGTAACATCGTGTTATTTGATCCCACTGGTGACCCCTGTAACATGGTGTCATTTGATCCCACTAGTGACCCCTGTAACATCGTGTCATTTGATCCCACTAGTGACCCCTGTAACATCGTGTCATTTGACCCCACTAGTGACCCCTGTAATATCGTGTCATTTGATCCCCAGGCTGGATTGGAGGGATCCCACTGGTGACCCTGTGTAACGGTGTGACCCGTGTGCTGATGGACGTGTACGCCGGACCCACCCGGGTCACGGACAAGTGGGACGCCTGCCTCAGGGAGAAGTGTCTGTCCGTCAACCTCATGCCCAGGGACGCGGAGGTCATGGTCAGTCACGCTACCACACAGGGCACCTTGAACCAGGACGTTGTCATAGCAACGGCAGGACAACCCCTGACCCAGGTACGTGTCTAATGTCAATGACCTTCTTTTGATTAGATTTCAATTGTTATTGATCTCGTACATGTTTATTTTAAGTTATAGAGTCAAGCTTTTGTTGATCTGATATGTCTCTAGTCCAATACAAATATACACAACTAGGCATGCTGCCCAGCTTCGCTTAGGCTTTCGAAAACATTGAGAATTTGAATGCTTAATTAATTCGCCCGGAGGTCGGTCTACGACCTCAAGAGTTATGAAGAGGTTCCTCCGTGGACATTTTTTTTCGATTTATAGCTCATATAAGGTACCGGTCAGTCGAGGTCAGTTTTGACCCCCACATCGTAGACTTTTCGGCCAACCGGCCCCCGTGTTCTGTCGCACCAAGGCAAGATCATGCCAAATTTGAAGCGCCTGCGGCGCCGGGAAGTGCCCTATCGGACACCCGACAATCTAGATCTAGATCTAGATTCCTAAAAGAATTTTTTTTTTAAGTTTAGCCCGAGCATAATAAAAAAGAATACATTAACCAAGTTGACTTGCTGTGTCTCGTAAAATACGGAGAATGAAACACGTATTTTAAAATCTTAACTTACGCGAATATGCCTATTCTTTCAAATTAATTTTTTATCCCAAATTAGCCAGTTCATAACAAAGATTTTGTATAAAATAAAAAAGTCTTGAAATAGTTTAGTCCTAATATAGAAATTTATTTTTGGAATTGATTTTAGAGAAGTTAGAGTCTAAATCTAGATCTTAGCCTCTACGTCTAGATCTAGTTATTGCGTAGATTTAGATTTAGATTTAGTCTAGATCTAGAATCTCTAGATCTAGAATCCAAATACATAAAATAAATTTTATGAGTTTAGGCCGGAAAAATTGTATTGTATACATTTCATAGTGTACGTAGATCTAAATCAAATTTGAATGAAATAGTTCATTTCTTTTCATTCTAAACACGGCAGATGACGTCATTAGTTAATGTATAAGCAATAGTGACGTCACAGATTTATGCGTTCTTTTTCACATATATTAATGCTTTTCCGGGTGCATAAATAATACTGTTTCTCTACATTCGAATACGCCTTTAATTTTTATTTTTCTTCTTTAACTAAAATTGTGGTTATACATTTAAAACATCTCACATATTATTTTCAACAAAAGTCCGTAAAAAGTTCTTCATATATCGCTGCCGATTCTGACGTGATGTCCGGCGAAAATATTTTGCGGACAGACAGAGAGAGAGAGAGAGAGAGAGATGTGCGAACGTGGGGATTTATATATTAGGATTAAAATGCTATGTAAATATTCGAATATAAATGTACATAGTCCTATATAAATGAATACAGTATTTATATCCTTCTTAAAATACTTAGATCTAATTACTTTTTATTTTGTATCTATTTCAGGCACAGATTAAGAAACTTTTGTGTTTGTCTAAAAAGGTTTTCGTAACCTACGCTTCGACTGAAACGGGTACCATGTCAACAGGTGCTGTTAGTGGTAAGTATGACGTGGTAACTATGGCAACCAGTAAAACCAGGCGATACTTATGAAGTGGTGACCATTGCATGGTCGTTTGTTTAATTTTATTGCTTCAAATGTTCTAATGTCGTTTAAATCAGCCAGAAATTTAAAAATATTAATGTTTATGTAATCAGAAGAAGTACGTACATGCAATCAGATTGGTAGAGGGATAAGATTTTTTTATCTGAGACTCGGTCCTGTTTTTGTACCAACATTTACAGCAAATCTAAAAATAAACTTGTTAATGAAATAAGTTACCAATAATTCAAGGAAACGATTTTCAGACAGCACATTTGAAAACTTCTACTGCGGAAAGGTGAGCCCACACCTGTCGTTAAAGATTGTCAACGAGGCAGGTGAAGTCTGCGAGCCTGGGACTTTTGGAAGTATTCACGTAAAAGGTGAGAATAAAAGTCAGCCCAGCTTTCACATACCTGGTAGTGACATTACTTTAACAAAACTGTATTTAAACTATGTTAAGTTTGTGTTAGATTTAAGTTTAAGGTGGTCATACTTATGACTAGAATTAGCTTGAATGTTAGCATTAAGTTAAAGTTAGGGTTTCAGCTAGGCGTGATTCTAGCAAGAACCACCACACATACACCCATCACTTTAGGTAACTGTACACCATGACGTGTTTGCTTCTTTGGTGGTACATCCATTGTCCCTCCCAATACGCTTTAGGCCTAGATAATGTTAAGGACCACTTAATTCCAACCCCAGTTTAAACGAACAATCTTCTTAACAAAAGAAAACAAATATAACTTGACATCTACACAGGGCCCTTTGTGATGAAAAAATATTTCAACCAGTGTGATGACCCTGACCCCAGTACAGTCCAGGCGTTCACGCCGGATGGTTGGTTTATCACTGGGGATTATGGGAGCTTGGACGCTGAGGGGAACCTCTACGTCATGGGCAGGAACCGTGACGTCATCATGCATGGAACCTACTTCGTCTACCCGGGTTGGATAGAGAAGAAAATTCTAGAACACAGTGAAGTGATCGATGTGTGTGTTGTACCGGTAAGTCACGTGATCGATGTGTGTGTTGTACCGGTAAGTCACGTGATGGAGGTATGTGGTAACGTAATAAAACGAAAACAAAATTTGAAATACAAATGATCGCCCTTGTCTCCTAGGTCTCAGATCCCAATACCCATCACAGAATTTGCGCCTGTATCAAACTTAGTACCGGAAGTCAACTGACGGAAAGTGACGTCATAAAACACCTGAAGCAAGCATTTTTGACGGTAGATGATGCGTTGTCACCAGTGCCTGAATACGTCATGGTAAGTTTGAACTAGCTTGTTTGTTACGTTTTCCTCTCTCTCTGTTCGGGAGGTGCAAAATATGACTTGCTCTGGCCCTCTCTGATATATTTTTACACGAAACTTTAGATAATTAATTCTTCGATTTAAATCACTTAATTAATTACAGAATACATTGATCAACAAGCTACTACAGATACAGGTAGATCATCGTAAATGTAGTTTATAATTCACTCACAAATTATGCAACTGATTTTTGCAATTATTTTGAAATTTATTCAGATATTGTAAAACGACTTTCCACAAATATTTTGACAATCTTTCAGATATTGCAAGATGAATTTCCGGAAATATTTTGACAATCTTTCAGATATTGCAAGACGACTTTCCTGAAATATTTTGACAATCTTTCAGATATTGCAAGATGTCTTTCCTGAAATATTTTGACAATCTTTCAGATATTGCAAGACGACTTTCCTAAAAATATTTTGACAATCTTTCAGATTTTGCAAGACGACTTTCCTGAAATATTTTGACAATCTTTCAGATATTACAAGATGTCTTTCCTGAAATATTTTGACAATCTTTCAGATATTGCAAGACGACTTTCCTGAAATATTTTGACAATCTTTCAGATTTTGCAAGACGACTTTCCTGAAATATTTTGACAATCTTTCAGATATTGCAAGACGACTTTCCTGAAATATTTTGACAATCTTTCAGATATTTCAAGACGACTTTCCGCTGACACACTCTGGTAAAGCCCACAGAGAGAAGATCAGACAGATGGCAGAAGAGAAATATGGCCGCCCATCTTCATGAACATTTTCCCACGTTACATGTTGCACATATTCCATATTGAACTTGTTGGCTACAGTGTTTGTTTCAGGCATCACTTGAGGGGGGGGGGGGGGGGGAATAAGCGCGCCCGAAAGTTTCAAGTGCCCCCACCTCCCTGGAGAAAAAAAGTAAGAAAGAAAACTTGTTAGCTATGGTTTAATTGTAAGGATCTGTGCGTTTGTACGCTGGCCGTAGAGTGGTATAAAAAGGTGATTAAAAAGTGAAGATGAAGTAAACTAAAAAAAATTGTCAAATTGTCAAATAGACGCTGATTTTCTGTAGTAGATGCTGGGTATGGAGTATAGAAATAAATATGGACTCCTCGTAGGCCAGCCTCAAGTATTTTTTCATCTTTAGGTCAGCTATGTCATTAAACATATGGATCTGAAAGAGAATCATGTCAAAATTTCTTCTTGTTTTAAAATAAATTCTTATCAAAGCTCGACATATAATAGTGTAACATTTTCTTTGTTGTAAATGTACTTTACTTTGTATAAAATATAAACAATTATTTCTTGTGGTCTAGAGGTAGAGTACACTACTGTTAGCACGCAAGTCTCTATTTCGGTTCCCGAACTGGTGTCATAGCGACCTCTCTCTGGTCATCTAGAGTGTGCATAGGACTGCCCACACAACCATTTCACATACCGATATTTCTTAAACTGATAACTCCACCGACTTTCAGGTCCGAAAAGGTTACGTAACTTCTACATGCATTTTAATACATATATATATATATATACATATATATATATATATATATATATATATATATATATATATATATATATATATATATATATATATATATATATATATATATATATATACTAGCCGTCCCGGCCAGGCCCTGCTCTGGCTTATGTGAAAAACCTTTCTGTTACAGACTGTTACCTGTGTGTTTAGTAATCATCATAAACCCGGCATTGCCCACCCAAACCACAACCAACCAAAACAACAAAACGCAAACATAACGCTAACACAATTACAAATACAAACGAAAACAAAAACCTAACAACAAACCCAACCACAATCACAAACACCAATGCAAACACAAAGAAAAAACAAACAAAAAAGCAAACGAAAACAAAAACCTAACAACAAACCCAACTACAACCACAAACACCAATACGAACACAAAGAAAAAAAAACGAAAAAGCAAACAAAAACAAACCAAATCCAAACGCAAAACCAACCACAAACACAAACCCAAAGAAAAAAACACAAACGAAAAAGCAAACGAAAACAAACCAAATCCAAACGCAAAACCAACCACAAACACAAATACAAACACAAACCCAAAGAAAATAAACCGGTAGTGATCTCCCCTAAACTTTCTCGAATATTCTTATATAAAACAACAGGGGATGGTAACTTGGGATATAGTTATGATTTTTAATCCATTTTAAATACTGAAACTTTTAAAAATAGAATAGAATCTCAGTAAAAAACAATTGCGCACCAAGCGAACGCCTAATAAAGGTGTGTATAATAGTGCGCAATAGTATTAGTACTTAATAAATTTACATTAGTTTTTTGAGAAATCGGAAGTAGCGTAAATTACTACTTCCGGTCAACGGAAATTACTCAAAATTTAACAGAAGGTAGAGAATTAGATCTTTTACTTACATGTGAAATTTCATTTATCTATCTGAAATAGTACTCAAGTTATAGGCTTTTGAAAAATTCAAAGTAGAAAAAGTACCACTTCCGGTTGTCGGAAATCGCTCAAAAGTTGATACGGATCTACGATTTTGATATAATACTTATATATGAAATTTCATCAACCTAGCTGTAACGGTACTCAAGTTATCGTGTTTACACACGGACACACAGACACACACACACAGACACACACACACACAGACATACGGACAAGATTGCAAAATTATGTTTTTCCGTATCAGTGAGGTGTAAAACGTCGAGATTTGTAGAAATCTCGATTTTTTTTTTTGCACGATTACAATACTTTCTCTATACTACGTATATACGAGAAAGTAAAAACACAAACGAAAACGAAAAAAGAAAAAACAAAAACGAACCAAATCAAAACGCAACCACTAACGCAAACCCAACCTAAACACAAAGAAAACACTAATGCGAACATAAACGCAAAATGCTCACAGTCTAGCCCTGGGCAGAATCGCCTGTTTCAGCTTAATAATCGACTACAGTATCCCAACCTATTCATAGTCTTTTGCACTCACTTAAACGAACGTAGGTGCCAAACCAAACCAAATGAACAATTATAATACTCCAAGCTTATTCGTAAAATACCTACAACATTTGCACTTGATCAATCCCCGCTAATTATGTAATTATTTTTTTCCCAACACCAAAACAAAGTAATAAAAAGTAAATTCTTTTCCACTAATGCAATGTTTTATAAAGGGAAGTAATTGTGTTTTCCTAATTTATCAAAGGGAAGTAAGTGCTAAGGGACTAAATATAAATAATTTTCAGACATAATTAGAATTTTTGTTATTTTTTAAAAATTATGTTTAATGAACATGCCGACAATTATTACTATCAGTTTGAAAAATGAAAACTATTTCCCAACACTTTCAATAGTAATTTTTTAACTCATAAATTTAGACTATGAGCACAATAATAGTCTAACACTTAAATCCATGGAAGTATGTCAACGACAAACAAACAAACTTATAATTACATACAGAATTGAGCTTTATATATTAGGTATCAGCTATGTAATCATGATGATAGACAGGTCATGGTTGGTGTATGTTGATTAGAAGTAGATCGTATGCACCGGGCGATCATCTGAAATGTGAAGCGAGACTGACTCCTTGGCTGATAAAATTGATGCTGTCGTGCCAAACTTATAACAAGGTTTTCATTTTGTAAAGTTTTATTTACATCACAGAGACGGAGTGGCCGGGTGGTAGAGCTCATGGCTGCAAGACTATTGAGTCCACTCAGCTTTGATGGGTACCTGACTTATATTAGGTCTATTGAGTCCACCCAGCTTTGATGGGTACCTGGCTTACATTAGGTCTATTGAGTCCACTCAGCTTTGATGGGTACCTGACTTACATTAGGTCTATTGAGTCCGCCTAAGGGGTCGGCGTGGTCGAGTCGGTAAAAGCTCATGGTTGCTAAACCGAAAAGTCTCGAGTTCGAACCCTCGGGCAGATGAGGTCTATTGAGTCCACCCAGCTTTGATGGGTACCTGGCTTACATTAGGTCTATTGAGTCCACTCAGCTTTGATGGGTACCTGACTTACATTAGGTCTATTGAGTCCGCCTAAGGGGTCGGCGTGGTCGAGTCGGTAAAAGCTCATGGTTGCTAAACCGAAAAGTCTCGAGTTCGAACCCTCGGGCAGATGAGGCTCGTTAGCTGGGGACAGCCACTCTTCTAGGAGAGACAACTCCAAAATTAAACAACTGCTGCCTTGTAGTTTGTTCTTGGTTGGACAAAGGCTATGGAAGCAAATCCAAAAAGAAAAGCAGGCTGAAATCGGAGTCAACGGCCTTAATGGCGCAAAACCAGTTGACACGTAACGCTTAATTGTGTTGGAGGCGTGGTCGAGTCGGCAAAAAGCTCATGGTTGATACATTCGAACAGTCTCGAGTTCAAACCCACTGGCAGATAAATCTCGATCTCCTTCAACACTAATAATTAAGAACGAAGAAGAAGAAGAGTCCGCCTAGCTTTGTTAGGTACCTAACTTACATTAGATCTATTGAGTCCACTCAGCTTTGATGGGTACCTGACTTACATATAGCAGTACAAATTGTTTATAAGCTTTTAATATCGAACTATTGTTTAAAAAGTGCATATTCACTAAAATTAGAAAATAAATATTAAAAAACAAATATAAAAAAAAACCCTAATAATCTTTTAAATTTACTGAAAGAAAACAATTACAAAACAATTTCTTTCTTTCTTTAATAAATTATAAAAGCGAAATATTTCATGACGATCAATGCTTTCACTAAAGAAAGCTAGTTTGGTCTATTTAAAAAAATAAAGGTCTTTTATATTTGTTTCATTGTCTGTAAGAGTTGTGGATTTAATATTGGCGCCAATGGGTTGATTGTATCACACACTGACTAACCCATCACCTCCCCCCCCCCCCCACACACCCACCATCTAAATAGTTACACCACCATACTAAATGTTGTCACGCCTCTAAAATAACTAAATCGTATCACACTTTGAGTGCCGCCACTGAGCCCACGTATAATTTATGACGGACATCTGTTCATAATTGAAAGTAGGGAAAGCCGAGACAAAACATTCAATAAAAAAAAACATTTAATAGCGCAACAGCCATATCAAACATCAGGTCAACTTGATAGGTCAATAAAAAAAACATTCAATGACGCAACAGCCATATCAAACATCAGGTCAACTTGATATTCTGTCGCACAGTTCATAGACTGGAGCTTATGTGTGTACATTACACAGGTGTTGTGTTCAGGTGCAATTCTAAGGTATAATGTCTAGTTGTAATATTCATTGTGTTATCATCATCATCAACATCATCATCATCATCATCATCATCAACAACATCATCATCATCATCAACAACATCTTCAACATCATCATCATCATCATCATCATCATTATCCTCATCATCCTCATCATCTTCATCACTATCATCATCATCATCATCATCTTTTCCCGTTCGTGGCCAATACACATGGGGCAGTAGAGTGTATCTGTTTCAGAGACCTCGGCAAATGAAGGGATGGTGTTGTCAGCACTATGCCCAGCCACTTTGCTTTCCCTAATGTGAGTTAGATACCCATCAGAACTGGGTGGACTAAGCGATGCTCTACTGACTTGAACACGGATTTGAACTTGAGACTTTCGGGTAAGCAGTCTAGCTCTCTACCACTAGATGATGCCGTCTCATTCATTCTTTAGTATCCTGGTGTAATCTTTGAGTTGAGTAAATTGGTAAACTGTGTGTAAAGATAAGCCGGCAAGTTCTTTTGTAATATCCAGACATATGTTATGTATAGGTGTAAAGTATAAGTGTAATGTGTATGTGTAATGTGTAACTGTAATGCGTAAGTGTAATGTGTAGATGTAATGTGTAGGTGTAATGTATAGATGTTCTGATGTAATGTGGTATTAATCCCAGTGTAATGTGAAGCTGAAAGTCTCAGTGTGAAGTACTGACCATATGTAATTTCCTGGTGTAATGTTCAGGTATAATGACCAGATGAAATGTCCAGGTGTAACGTCCAGGTGTAATGTGCACGTGTAATGTCCATGTGTAATGACCATGTCTTATATCTGGATGTAATCAACAATGTCCTCAGTACAGATAAATCACTGGTGAATGAAATTAGTGTCGTCACCCACCTATGTATAAAACATGTGATATCTGTCGACGTGGAAATTACGTAATCTGCAACACCTGACCTCAATCTCTCCGGAATTTAATACAATAATTCGTCTCGGTTTTTGCCCATTTGTATTTTTTAAATTTATGTCAGTCATGACGTCATTGGCTAGCACAACAGGCGATGAGTGGTGATGCAGACATTTTGTCACACCAAAACCTTTAAAAGACGCTGATTGACCGAGATCAATGTTCAAACTTTCATCAGGAAACGTGTGTCGCGTCCTTTCTGAAAATCATCCAAGAACTGCATTATTTTCTTACGCCGGTGAAGTTTTTAACAGTTTACTACATTTACACTTTAAAAAATCATTTTACAATTTGTTTTTATAAGTCAATAAATCAGTTGGGCGTTCAGTTGTTTTATTTTCCCAACCAGGTGACCAAATCGTTTAATCCACGTAAACCAGCAGACCGCTGACCCACCTGTTAATCTACGACCAGGTGAAGCCGCTGGAATGGGAAATAAGGTCGATGCCATGTCCACGCTGGACACGGTGCCAGAGCGGGTCAGGTACCTGTCAGAGGTGGCCCCCCACAAGGAGCTGTTCGTGTTTTACGACGGCCACCAGAGGTCAGCGTACACCGCAGCAGACGTGTATCAGATGGCGGGACGGTTCGCCACCAAACTTCGCCAGCGGGGCTTCCAGCGTCACGATATCGTGGCCAACACCTTACTCAACTCACCTGAACGTGTGGTCACTGACCTCGGCATCATCCTGGCCGGGTGTGTGGCCATGAACTCACAGGTCAGTTCTGTGGTCAAGTTGTAACACGTAATTATTCTAATTTGTGACCTTTGAAAGTTTGTTTTAATTTATACACATTTTTAGGCTATTATAATACAAATTGTTCTAACAAATTTTACACCATGCGTGTACTTTAACTCAATGTTGAATAAACCCCACAGCCATACTGACTATAGCATGTGAGTAAATGTATGCCTTAACTAACCTACCGATCAACACATCGACCTACAGATTATACTAGCAGACGGTAAAGACTTCGTGCACGCGGCGAACAAAAGTGAGTGCAAAGGGGTCATCATGTCGACTGCTGGAAACTCCCCCGCCTGGTCGCTGCTCAAGGGTGACGTCACGGAGGAGAAGCCATCTTTCTTTGCCAGAGTAGCCAATCAGCAGTTGCCGCACTTACAGACGGCCGTGCTGGTGTCTCGCGCCACTAACGGGTAATTTGCCGTCTGATTTTTGTTTAATTTTTTTCAATTTTTCAATAAAAAGATACAGTTTGTCACAAACAAATCCCTGAATCACATCGAGACAGGCGTAAAAATGTTACTTAAAAAACTACTACACACCAGCACGTTTCTTCTGAGGCGTAGCGAGGGGGGGGACATATGTCCCCGGGCGCCGACCTTAGGGGGGGGGGGGCGCCAAATTGAAAGTTTGAGGGGGGTGCAAATGAAAAGTTCGAGGGGGGGTGCAAATCAAAAGTTTGAGGGGGGGGGGGGGGGGTGCAAATGAAAAGTTCGAGGGTGGGGTGCAAATCGAAAGTTTGTCCCCGGGCGCCGGGAAGGGTCGCTACGCCTCTGCGTTTCTTATGTTGGGGTCTGAGCTAGGGTCAGGTTTTGGGCTACAACCTAATTGGGGTTAACATAAAGTAAACGATGCCAATACACGAAAACAGGACCTTTTTATACGTTAAATCCTTGTAGGAAAAAATATAGTTAAGACATTACGTGTATATGATGATAAAGTAGTATTTTTCTATATGTAAAAGAATAGACAAAAGGCATTCTAAATCCTGCATTAATTCTATAAAATATTTCAGAAAAAAAGAGTTTCTTCCCTTACATGAAACGAGTTAAAGATATACATTTTCACCCCTGTCCTACTTTTTCTGAAACCAGACACGGGCTATCTTTTCTGGAAGAATTAAAGTCCTGCACAGACGAACCTTTTGCAGAAGACATACGAGCAGACGACACAGTCGTCATCTTCTCAACTTCCGGTACCACCGGCTACTCCAAGCTGGTGCCTCACAGCAACCACCACATCCTGCAAATGTCCAGCGCCATGGCCGAGGCCGCCAGGGGGAGGGGGACAGTGGCTCACCCGGGTCTCAACACACAGCCGTTTTACAATGACAGGCTACTGGGTGAGTTCATAGCATGACAGGCTACAGGCTGCCAGGGGGAGGGGGACAGTGGCTCACCCGGGTCTCAACACACAGCCGTTTTACAATGATAGGCTACTGGGTGAGTTCATACCATGACAGGCTACTGGGTGAGTTTATAACATGACAGGCTACTGGGTGAGTTTATAACATGACAGGTTACAGGCTGCCAGGGGGAGGGGGACAGTGGCTCACCCGGATCTCAACACACAGCCATTTTACAATGATAGGCTACTAGGTGGGTTTATACAGTCGCAGGCTACTGGGTTAGTTCATACAATGACAGGGTGCTGGGTGAGTTCATACAATGACTGGATGAGTTCATATAGTGACAGGCTACTGGGTAACGGGTAAAAAAATGGCTACCGAGTGTCAGGCTCAGAGTTTCTGCTCCCCCTTCCTCAGAGCATGAAAGAAACTGATTTTAACGGCATCCACGGTGACACTTGTTCTGTTCTATTTTAAAATGTTCAACGTTACCTTTGCTCCCCCCCCCCCCCCCAGGTTGGTCCGGGGGGTTCCCCTACACGAGCCTGTGTAACGGCGACACCCGAGTACTGCTCGACTACTTCACCGGTACCAAACGGACCGGAGAACTGATGTACGCAGCCATGGTGAGCGAGGGCTGCAAGATCTGCGTCACGTCTATGGGGGAAGTAGAGGAGCTCTGTAGGGTGGTCCAGGGTCAAGGTGACCTGAGACTGGACACTTTGTTCTGCGGTGGACATCCGTTAACTAAGGTCAGAACTCTTGTCTGATGGGGGGAAGGGGTTGTTTAAACACTTACCATATTTCTATCTATACTGCTATACTGACTGACGAACTGAACTTTTGTCTGAAGATGTTTGATACGTTATAATTCAACATAAGTAAACAGAAATCTAAAACATATCAAACAAGACCACCATAACTACATACCACTTCCAAAATAGTTGCCTAAAGTTCAGATCCGGTATATTTGACAGGTCCAGGTGGCTAGAATGTTATCTCTGGCTGACCATCTTGTGGTGTCCTATGGGAGCACAGAGACAGGGGTGATAACCTGGGGGCACCTTAATGGTAGGAAGGTTTTATGGGTTGTCCTCACTAGTAATAAAGAAAGTTGAGTTACAAGGAGAAACAGCTAAACTATGGCAAATATTTATTTTTTAAATATAAGATTTAAAATAAAAATTGTAATGATAAAAGCTACAACACAGAAAATTGAAAGCTTATTGTGTTTGAACAACAATTAATGAAATATTAAATAAGGAAAATGATAAAATACTTATTAAGAAGAAAAAGACTAAGGAAAGATACCGAATTATTTCAGAGAAAAACAACACAAGCTATAAAGTCGGTAAACCTGTGGTTGATGCTGTACAGATACGAATCATAAACGACAATGGAGACTCGTGTCTTCCAGGAGAGGTTGGGACGGTTCAAATTTTAAGTAAATACATTTTTCTTAGTGAAGTATTTATCAGTGAATTAACTCATCCCACTGCACGAAGTTCTAAACCTGCCTACTACTCTATCCCCTGTGGCTTCCAACACCAGTTTCAACATGCTTTTATCCGTTCTAGCCAGGCGTGTCCTTTAAATCCCCGCTATAGGGCTGGTAAGTAGGTCAATTAACAGTTCTATGGCTCATGCAGGTTTTATTGTGACGTAGAACTGGTTGGTGACCTACTTACCAGCCATATACGGTCTGTCTATCAAATGTCTTTTCGTGCATTGCTATAAGTATGCGCAGTGTTTCTTTCAAACCTTTTTCTTCGGTGGGGGGGGGGGTAGGGGGGGGGTAGGGGGTACTAGAAATTTTCGGGGGGGGGGGGGAGGGGCGGCACTGGTTGGTAAAAGTATGTATCTACTGGTTTACTGGGTAATTTTTGTAATCTGCTGCACGATCGAATCATTCAACACCAAGAAAACATTTGATGAAAGCTCACATTCCTGCCTTATACCTGTCTTAGGTTTTCATTTGTATCACCTGAGGCGTGATAGTTCAATTTTTGACATGACATCTCTATCCACATTATCAAATGAGTTTTCTGTCTAAAAACAAATCAGGCGTAGCCATTTCCAGGGGCTGTTCAATGATGCGTAGTAACGGCGTCGGTGTATGACTTGTTGAAAACGCCTGTTCTTGTCTAAATATTGTTTCCTAGTACTCTCTTAGTCTCTGTACCCTCTCACCATTCTCGCTCCCCCCCCTCATAGGTCCTCTGACCTTCCGTGGCTACCCTCTCTACTCACCCCCATGTCCTCTGACCTATGACCTTCCGTGGCTACCCTCTCTACTCACCCCAGGTCCTCTAACCTTCCGTGGCTACCCTCTCTACTCACCCCCATGTCCTCTGACCTCTGACCTTCCGTGGCTACCCTCTCTACTCACCCCCAGGTCCTCTAACCTTCCGTGGCTACCCTCTCTACTCACCCCTAGGTCCTCTGACCTTCCGTGGCTACCCTCTCTACTCACCCCCAGGTCCTCTGACCTTCCGTGGCTACCCTCTCTACTCACCCCCAGGTCCTCTGACCTTCCGTGGCTACCCTCTCTACTCACCCCTAGGCCCTATGACCTTCCGTGGCTACCCTCTCTACTCACCCCTAGGTCATCTGACCTATGACCTTCCGTGGCTACCCTCTCTACTCACCCCTAGGCCCTATGACCTTCCGTGGCTACCCTCTCTACTCACCCCAGGTCCTCTGACCTTCCGTGGCTACCCTCTCTACTCACCCCCAGGTCCTCTGACCTTCCGTGGCTACCCTCTCTACTCACCCCTAGGTCCTCTGACCTTCCGTGGCTACCCTCTCTACTCACCCCTAGGTCATCTGACCTATGACCTTCCGTGGCTACCCTCTCTACTCACCCCTAGGCCCTATGACCTTCCGTGGCTACCCTCTCTACTCACCCCTAGGTCATCTGACCTCTGACCTTCCGTGGCTACCCTCTCTACTCACCCCTAGGTCCTCTGACCTTCCGTGGCTACCTAAACCGTCTGGAGAGCCCCGACCCCCAGACGATGAAGGTGCTCAGGCCTGACGGCTGGTACAGCACGGAGGACAACGGCTACTTTGGTCAAGATGGCGACCTCTACATCCTGGGCAGGAAGAATGACGTCATACAATATGGCGTCTTCCTACTCTATCCTGGTTGGCTGGAGGAGAAAATAGTCGCACATCCGGAGATAGCAGAGGCATGCGTAGTCCCGGTAATTTGTCACGTGATGTCCATCTTTGCTTAATGTTCCACTTTAAGGTGGATAATGTTCAGTGATACACTGTGCTTATATATATATATATATATATATATATATATATATATATATATATATATATATATATATATATATACATTCATATTTGTAGGTCTCAGATCCTCTGCTGTTTCACAATATCTGCGCATGCGTGTCACTGACAGAAGGAAGTGAACTCACGGAGGAGGAGATAAGAACATACTGTAAAAATATTTTCCTGAAAAATGTCAATCAAGCGCTGACTCCTGTGCCAGCTTATTTTCTGGTAAACACATTCGTAACTTAACAACTCAATCAGATATTTTACAAATACATCCGGAACTTAACAACTCAATGAAATATTTAACAAATACATCCGGAACTTAACAACTCAATACGATCTTAACATCTAAATATTGCACTGCTTATTTTCTGGTAAATACATCCGGGACTTAACAACTCAATAAAATATTTAACAAATACATAAGGAACTTAACTCAATAATATATTTAACAAAAAAATACTGAAATTAACAACTCAATATGATATTTTACGAATAAAATCGGGAACATTGCAACTAAATAAGATACTTAACAAATAAATAGAAAATTTTCAACGAAATGTTCATCTGAACTACTATACTACCAGAATCTTGGTTATTAAAAGGCACATGACGTTACAACAAGCCAGGTCAGGAAACATACAGCAACTGAAATGAGAAAATCAATGACGTTATTTGTGTATTAAGGTTCCTCTTTAGGTCTAGCGATACTTGGGCAGATGAAGTAGAGTTCACCTGTTTCTGAGACCTCTGCGCATAGGGGATGTGTGGTCAGCACTTTGCACAGCCGCCTTTACTTACCCTAACATCAAATATGGGTGAACTCGAGGAAGCTCTACTCACTTGGACGCGGATTTGAACTCGAAACTGGCGGGTTACCAGTTTAGCGATCTACCCCTTATGTCACGTCGTCCCATTATTTATGTTAAATTAGGAGATTCGTTAAATTATTTTCATAATGAATTAACTAGATCAAATGTTATAGCATGTATACACATTCATACTTTTTGTTGCTAAACATCTTCACACTATTTGAACAGATCTTGCCAGAGGGTATTCCGCGAAACAGCAACGGCAAACCAAATGTACAAAAACTGAAGGCGATGGCTGAGGAAAAATTTGGCTGCACGGCTAGACACGCAATGTAACTGATGCTCATATAATTGTCAGCCACATTCTGTGAGGGGTGAGCTCAGCTACACTTTGTAAGGAGTGAGCTAAAATTGTCAGATGCACTCTGTGATGGGTGAGCTACAATTGTCAACTACACTTTGTAAGGGGTGAGCTACAATTGTCAACTACACTTTGTGAGGGGTAAGAATCACTACAACCACTAAACTCTACTAGAATCACAGAAGTCAGATGCATTTACTGAACGCTACCACATAAACAACGTGTGATACTTTCACTAAAGTTTGCTTTTCCAAGTCTGATGTCTTCAGAACAGATGAAACTGAAACGAATCAAGTTCGTTTATGGCATATAGGCACTTTGTAATTATTTTGCTAAAATCATTACTCGCTGGTCAACTACATTTAAACATAGAGTGTTGTGATTTAAACGATAAATGTATAGATTTACATTATCGCTCACGAAATTTGTTACGCCTTTCAGTGACCTTAAAAAATTGCTTAATTCAAATTTTAACACTAGGAATGTATATGTTGGCGATCACGGCTGTCTGTATTCCTGTATAAAATTATATATTTAGAAATTATATGTTTAGAAGTTATATGTACATTATTTTAATACAATATAAATACTGTAAACAAATTATTGTTCGAGTGAGCTGCCTTAAAGTGAGTGACTAAATTTAAAGACAATGAATCTGATTGGAATGTTGAAATTAATCTCAAGCAAAACTCAGTGAAAGAAACATTATTTTCTGGGTAAACGGTTTAATATAGTGAGTCATCTACACCCATATTCGATGATTGAAGTACCTGCTTACACTCAGCTATTAAATTAAATTGAGTCAACAAAATATATATAACAAAAAATATCATATATATATATATATATATATATATATATATATATATATATATATATATATATATATATATATATATGCGTGTGTGTGTGCGCGCGTGCATATGTATGTGTGGGTGTGCGGGTGTGTGTATTTGTGTGTGTGTGTGTGTGTGTGTGTCAGTTTCCTCTATATTAAACAAGACAATGCTTATGACTGAGTGGAAACTTTGGACTAGTTCATAGACTAGGTGTTTGTCATTAGTCAAGGCCTGTGGTAGTAGTCGGAAATTTTGCCTCGTCAAATTGAGTTCAAGCTTATGTCAACAGATCCTGAATGGCTTGGGTGGTGACACAGGGGGTGGGGGTGTAGTGGTGTGGTGGTGACACAAGGTGATGCGCGTAGTGGTGTGGAGGTGACACAGGGGAGGGGGTGTAGTGGTTCTTACTAAGACGTGATACATCAGCTAAATTTCGTTACTTCACTAAAAGTTTAAATATTCATTCATTCATAACTGGGTGATATCGGAGGTGACAGGCAGGTGGGGGGGGGGGGGGGGGGGTAGAGTGGGGCGTGGAGAGGGGGGGTCTAGTATAACTGAGGGATCTTTACATAGGGTGGTAGGGTGTGGGGGAGATCTAGTTTGACGGAGCGATCTTTACATAGGGTGGTATGGTGTGGGGGAGGTCTAGTTTGACGGAGCGTTCTTTACATAGGATGGTAGGGTGTGTGGAGGTCTAGTTTGACGGAGCGATCTTTACACGGAAAGTGCTGTATCATACACAGTATATCTACTCATGAAAAACGGATGTGTCATTCCAACAATTTAAATTGTCATTCCTAAAATTGTGAAATAACAAGGTTGTTTTTCTAGGCCTATGTATTTTCAACTTACAGACGTTTGTATTGCAATACTTGTACATATACTAAACAATGAATTAAGAAAGAAACATTACATTGTGATACATGAAATGTAATTAATTTTGAAGACTTCTAAGGAATCGATCATGAAGACCATATATTTTATTATCTGTTCCTGTTTTTTTACTTAACTTTTGGAGATGGTGAAATCGTCTAGAAAATGTATGTCGATTTGTATAAGACTTGTTATAATAAATGTGTATCAACATAATATTCTGGAATTGTTTTTATTCCCTTTTTATACACATTTCGAGCTGTGCAGCTGATCCATACAGTTTATTATGGATTTGATCCCCTTTACAGTTTAAACTTTAAGCTCTGACGGGCAAATTTTGTGGACTAAAGTTTGTGTGACTAACGGAACTAATTTTTACAAAAAATGACCTTCGACAGTGAAACCTATGTGCACTGGCTTGTGTCGGGTGGATTCGTCATGGGGTATACTCATCTATACATACATATACCAAAAAGCTAAGCTCCCATTTCAGATGTTGTTGAGTTTGGGCAGATGTAGTAGAGTTTATCATAAATATACACCTGTTTAGGATTTATTTGTCATGAATAGTCAGGTATCTATCATGAGTGTACATGTACGCCAGGTGTCATGATTGTACATGTAAGTCAGGTGTCATGATTGTACACGAAGGTCAGGTATGTATCATGACTGTACACGAGGGTCAGGTATGTGTCATGATTGTATATGTAGGCCAGGTGTCATGGTCAGAGGCGTATCCAGGTTTTCGTTGTAGGGGGAGCGAAAAGAGCAAAAAAAGGCGCCGAATTATTAACACGTTCTATATACGTGTATTATATATATATATATATATATATATATATATATATATATATATATATATATATATATATATATATAATTACTAGCTGTATGTCATTACTTGGCTATGATGTAAAATAAATTGAATGTAGCACTCTGAAGAAATAAGAAAAAACACACAATGTAGGCCAACCAAAACAAAAATTGTATCAATCTAAACAAAAAAAATATACACACACTACAACCAAAAACAATGAACGTAACACAATCTGTTTTGTGATTCTTGTAAAAAAAATTCTTACATAATAATTCCTGGGAAATTATTTAAGACAAGTGAAATAGGGGAAATAATCATTCTCTTAATATAAATATGTATATATCTACACATTTAATTATAAATGTCAAAACAAATAAATAATTACTTTAGAATATAATAAAATTGTTCAACACTATTCGTGTTTACAAAATGTTTTTGTCTATAATCATAATTTAATATATCGTCATCATAAATGCTAAAGTCTTACAGCATATTGAAAGTTTTTAAAATTAGAGTTGGTATAAAACCATGCTTTTCGATAAGATAGAAAAACATTCGGAATAACAGCCTACATTTAACTTAATAACGGTCTTTTAGTTCAAATCATATGTTTTTAATTAACTACTGCTTCTTTGCGTTGTTAAAGATCATTTTTTAACATAGTGATAGGTATGGGTTAGATCACTGTATTGCTCACACACCTTTTTACTGGTCATTGCAAAAACAATTTTACGTTTAAATAGCTAATTTTCTGGCGGCATGGTACTTTGGTACATTATTACGCGTTTTTCTACATGTACTTAACAGGTCAGTTCGCGGTGGGTTGGGGGGGGGGGGGGGGTTAAACTTCATTCACCACTGTCCGGTCACTTTAGGTCAATTATCCAACCCAGTGTATACCTAGGTGTGACATTAATGTCACTCTACACAATTGTGGTGGTGAGGTGTGTGTGGGGGGGGGGGGGAGACAACCAACTCAGAGTGAACATAGCGTCAGATGACTGCTCAAAACATACATATATATTACACAAATATATATTACACAAATATATATTACAGAAATAGATTTAAATAAGTAGCAGTGGTATTATGACAATATTTTTTTTACAGGGGGTCCATGGGGGAGGGGGTTGTAATTGTTTCATATAATTTGTAATCGTAATCACTATCGCCCAAACTGTAAGAATACTACTACTTCGTCGTGATGACATTGTTGACCTTGTCAAAATTTCCCCACCACTACGCAGTTTGCTCATAAGTAAATTTAAATAGAGGTGCCACATCAGTTGTATTTGTTTCTGTATTGTAATTTTAAAAAAAAATAATCACACGATTCAAACTGTATATATAAAGTAATTAAGTAAAAAGTTTTATGTATAGCATTTTCTAATTCAACTAGGCATGCTGCCCAGCTTCGCTTAGGCTTTCGAAAACATTGAGAATTTGAATGCTTAATTAATTCGCCCGAAGGTCGGTCTACGACCTCAAGAGTTATGAAGAGGTTCCTCCGTGGACATTTTTTTTCGATTTATAGCTCATATAAGGTACCGGTCAGTCGAGGTCAGTTTTGACCCCCACATCGTAGACTTTTCGGCCAACCGGCCCCCGTGTTCTGTCGCCCCAAGCAAAATTTGAAGCGCCTGCGGCGCCGGGAAGTGCCCTATCGGACACCCGACAATCTAGATCTAGATCTAGATTCCTAAAAGAATTTTTTTTTTAAGTTTAGCCCGAGCATAATAAAAAAGAATACATTAAATTAACCAAGTTGACTTGCTGTGTCTCGAACCCGCACCACCTACGTGGTTTAATGTACACTATCATCTCCGCTATTTAGGCACCTTATAAAATACGGAGAATGAAACAGGTATTTTAAAATCTTAACTTACGCGAATATGCCTATTCTTTCAAATTAATTTTTTATCCCAAATTAGCCAGTTCCAAACAAAGATTTTGTATAAAATAAATAAGTCTTGAAATAGTTTAGTCCTAATATAGAAATTTATTTTTGGAATTGATTTTAGAGAAGTTAGAGTCTAAATCTAGATCTTAGCGTCTACGTCTAGATCTAGTTATTGCGTAGATTTAGATTTAGTCTAGATCTAGAATCTCTAGATCTAGAATCCAAATACATAAAATAAATTTTATGAGTTTAGGCCGGAAAAATTGTATTGTATACATTTCATAGTGTACGTAGATCTAAATCAAATTCGAATGAAATAGTTCATTTCTTTTCATTCTAAACACGGCAGATGACGTCATTAGTTAATGTATAAGCAATAGTGACGTCACAGTTTTATGCGTTCTTTTTCACATATATTAATGCTTTTCCGGTTGCATAAATAATACTGTTTCTCTACATTCGAATACGCCTTTAATTTTTATTTTTTTTCTTTAACTAAAATTGTGGTTATACATTTAAAACATCTAACATATTATTTTCAACAAAAGTCCGTAAAAAGTTCTTCATATATCGCTGCCGATTCTGACGTGATGTCCGGCGAAAATATTTTGCGGACAGACAGAGAGAGAGAGAGAGAGAGAGAGAGAGAGAGAGAGAGAGAGAGAGATGTGCGAACGTGGGGATTTATATATTAGGATTATTCGTAAGCAAATACATTATACAGTTGCCTTAAACTTAACACCCCTCTTGCCAAGTAGTACTACCCGTAGCGGTTTTTTAAACATTGCAATGCATCATAATGGTTGTTTTTAGAATGGCAAACTGATGCAGCTGTTAATACGTGTTGTAAACGTAGACACTACTAGACTAGTACAATAATGCTTAATAGCTGCATGAAAAGAAATCTTGTGTTTTACATAGATGTGCCGACCAAAATATTTTTTAACAAATTATATCATTGTTTAAAACTTTGAGTTTAAAAAGTTTCCAAAAAGGCGCCACTTTGCTGAAAATGGCCAGAGGGGGAGCGGCCGCTCCCCCAGCTCCCCCCTGCGTACGCTACTGGTCATGGTTCTAACCGCTCTACAACTGATCAGATGTTCTACAGACTATCAGGTGAAAGAACAATATATTCAGTGTAGAAAGTCGTAAAACAAAGATGTTAAACAAACGTGGGGTTGGGAGGGGGGGTTCCATATTTTCTTTTATTTAAACCTAATTTAAATAAGGCCTTGTGTTTGAACGTGTTCGTATGTTTACAACAAAAGCTGTTGTCACGGTGCTGGTGTCACGTGATGAGATACACGGCACATGGTGGCATCACTGTAACGACATGTGTGACAAGTGACGTGACACATTGCTTTTGTGACGTGACACTGATTGTGTGACGTGACGCATTGCTATTATAACGTGACACTGAATGTGTAATAAGTGACGTGACGCTTTGCTATTGTGACGTGACACTGATTGTGTGGCAAGTGACGTGACGCGTAGCAAGTATGACGTGACACTGATGTGCCACGACTCCCCCCCCCCCCCTGCAGGAGATATTTATTTTGCTCCTATCTCTACATGTCGTTAGGGCAGGTCAGATGAGTTCACAGAGTGCATTGATCATATATTTACTCTGTTGTTCGATCTAATGACGTCATCGGTTGAAATTATTCAATATGACTTAATACGAATGAGGTCACTAGACCCGTTTAATATTTAAAGTGACTTAGGTAGCCTTGAGTCACTCAGGGGTAACTCAGCGTTTACAACTGGACTAAAGAATTCGTAGACAATATATAAACCCCAGATCTGCCTTGACTATGTACAGGGTCGATTCTTTGCGTCTAACGAATATTGCATTAAATATTTCATCAACGAGAACTTTATATTTCAAATATCAGCGTTTTATTTTTTTAGGTAACTAGATCTTGTTATTTACTTTAGATTTCCTGAAGTTCTCAAACTGTCATAAAATAACATATAACGACTTCCGTAATGCACAGCAACGTATTCTGTAATGTGAACGTAACTTAGCGTCAGCTTATAAACTTCAAGTTAATAGTTACAATCAAAATATTCAACTGCAATTATTGGCGTTCTGTTCATAGCCATGGCATATTCGTAGGATGAATTATTTCTTGACAAATAAAAAGTTCCTTGCTACTGAAAATACTACGTCCGTTGTGTTTATTTTTCTACAATGTAATTAGCATCTCTTGATTTGTAAGTAAGCTTCAATGTCGACATAAGTATAACATGGTCTCACTAAGACCTGATACAACAGTTAAAGTAAGTTTACTTCAAAAAACTTTTGATAGATTTATTCACCCATATTTGAGTGAAATCGAAGACCAAAGAATTATTTTCCGCGTGACTAGACACACATTGTAGGCCGTGGTACGTTCACCAGCATGGAGGTGACTGCATTTTTTGACACGAACTTTAATCAATACAGCTTCAAGTTGAGATGGTATGATGCTGTGATAAGAAGTTCCTAGTTTTTTAAAAATTTTCTCCGACAGAAGAGTGCGCTAAAAGATGGGCACCACAGTCAGCTCAATGAAAGACTTGGATACTATCCCAAAGCGGGTGAAATATTTGTCTGAAGCTGCACCACAGAAGGAACTCTTCGTGTTCTATGATGAGAAGAAAAGAAGTTCCTTGACAGCGCTGGAAGTCTATCAGATGTCTGGACGGTTCGCCAACAGACTCAAACAGGAAGGTTTCCAGCGTCATGATGTCGTCTGCAACACACTGCCCAACTCTCCAGAGCGGGTCATCACTGACCTTGGCATTGTGTTTGCTGGGTGTACGCCCATAAATGGTCACGTGAGCAGACAATTGTTCAATATTTAAATCAATTTCCCATTTAACTTTAGTCTTTAAAAAAAAAAAGAAATCACTTTAGCATATATTTGTTTAACATTGACATATCTATAAAACCATCTATAAATGACTATCACTAAATGACCATAACTAAATAATCATAACTCTATGATGATCAGTAAGCCTACTAGATAATCATCAGTGTTAGGATTAGTACTAACTTACCTGTGTATACATGTAGACAATAGTCGGTTATCTCTTTATTTGTATAGTATGTTTCTTCAGTCAACAACCCGTTCATATGTTTTAAAAAATATTTTACGTTTGACACGAGATAATAAAACACACCTAAAAACCCCTTTAAAGTTGAAACTCATATTGTTTGTCATTTAAAGGCCCTGCTTGCCGACGGCTCTGATTTGTTCCATGTCCTGAAAGTGAGCAAATGTCGAGCAGTGATTGTGTCTGACGAGGCCAACTCTAACGCCCACAAAGTCCTGCAGCCTTTCTACAAGAGCGACTCTCATCACCTGTTTAATACCCTTCACCATAAGGATCTGCCTTCTCTTACGTCAGCCATTGTTGTTTCCAGGGAAACCAAAGGGTAAAGTTTATGTCACGTGGTTTTAGTTTACAGCACAATGGAGCATTTCTAATGCTAGAAACTTTTGTTTTTCTGTTTACGATGTCGAGCTCCCTGCATAACAAACTATCAACACAACAGATGCTTTAATTCAACTTGCAAATCGAAAGAAATTTTTTTTAAATCTAGGTCAAGGTCGCCGCTGATGGACCTATTGAGGTCTTCAAAATTAGAGACGCTGACAGACTCTGTCGTGCCGGCAGACCTCGCCTTTGTTTTTGCAACTTCCGGCTCGACCGGCTACTCCAAACTTGTGCCCCGGTCCCACGAGGAACTGCTGAGGACGACGGACGGTCTAGTGGCCAGGTTCTCGGCTGGGAGGAGCGTGACCAGCCCCGGCGAGAACAAGGTCAAGATTTTCAACGACCGTCTGCTAGGTAGGAACTGTCTTAAGATTCAGTACCAAAGTACCACTTGTTTTTCTTACTGTTGTATTATTTATAGGCAACAAGCATGTGAACTTGTGACATTAAAACACGCGTTAATTATAACGTTAATTAATTTCTAGAAATTAGTACATCTCTTATAATTTAAGACTTACCTTGCATTAGCGAATGTAATTGAATTTAACACATAAGTCATTGTGTACACATTGGTAAGGTGATTGTGGCTCGTCAATACATTTCTACAGAGACAAAACTTGTATCGGGGACCTGCATGTACCATAGAGCCCAACCTTGACGGCCGGGTTTTTTTGTAGTCCCTGCATATTTTGTACTGTTGTAAATCTCGTCCTTTAACTGGTCAAATAAAACATAAAGAAGCTACCATACGATCTTGATCTCAGGTTGGATGGGTGGATTCCCAGCAGAGGTCTACTGTAACGGCGACACGCGGGTGTTGATGGACGTCTACCGGAGGCCGTGCAGCCTGGAGGCCAAGTGGGACGCTGCCGTGACGGAGAAGTGCGGCTCCTTCAGTCTCTCTCCCAGGGAGGTGGACGCCGTGCTGAGACACGCAGAGAAGCAGGGGACACTGGCACAGGAGATGGCCATCTCGACAGGTGGACAGCCGCTCACACAGGTTGGTGACATGAGCGACACCAGTTAGTGACATGGTTGTCGCCATTTTGTGACGTCAGCTAACACAGGTTAGTGACATGGCTGATACAGGCTAGTGACGTCAGGTGACACAGGTAAGTGAGATGAGCTGACACAGGCTAGTGACGTCAGCTGACACAGATAAGTGACTTCAGCTGACACAGGTTAGTGACTTGGCTGACACAGGTAAGTGACGTGAGCTGACACAGGTTAGTGACCCTAGGACGGTCGATGACACATCTAAGCTGCCCTAAAAACAAGCCCGCCTACAGGATCTTTGAGCTATTAATTATCTTCAGCCAATGAAGAAACCAGTTTAATAATGTCTATCAAATAAACACAACTTGTTGCTGGGATTGTAAAAAAAAAAGAATAATTACACTAATGAGCTCACTAACATAGGTGTATTGTGCTGTCAGATGGAGCAATACTTTTAAAACAAAAAGTTGCCAGTCATAAAAGCAACAATATCTATGATTGTCCTATATATTTGGTACATTTTAGCAACAAATATCAAACAGGAATACTTTTTTTTTAAAGTTGCCAGTCATGAAAGCATCAATATCTATAAATGTCTTATATATGTGTTATCATTTTAGCAACAAATAACAAAGATGTTGAAACTGTCCAAGAGAATTATCATCGGGTACGGTTCAACAGAATCTGGGGCCATTTCATCAGCTGTTGTCGTAGGTAAGCTTTGATTGGGTGAAGGATTATCTAGCGATAAACTGGCACATGTTTAGATTGTGTTGGTCAGACATCCTCTTGGTGGTACTCTGACAGACATTCTCATGACTAAACGAGATACTATCAAGAACAGTTTAATTATTTTTTGTGTTTTTGTTAAATAATGCAAGCGATTTCATAAAATAGTTTTTATATATATATATATATATATATATATATATATATATATATATATATATATATATATATATATATATATATATATATATATATATATATATATATATATATATATATATATATATATATCCAGACAACAACTACACCAACTTTAGTTGTGGCAAGCTGAGCCCAGACATCACTTTAAAGATCACTAACTCAGCTGGAGAGACTTGTGGACCAAACGAATATGGAACTATCTATGTTAAAGGTGGGATGTTACATTTTATAAAGTTAGATTAGTGTTGTTAAAATATGGAGCCGTCTATTGGATGACACATTTCACAGACATATTTCAGTAGTCCAGTTATCTTTTTACATAATAGCAAAACGAAACCAAAAATGCATTATTATTTCCTCCATTAACCTCAGCTCAATTTAGCTCCAGTTTGGTTCGAATACTATTTTTATGCTCTGTTTGCAAACTCCCAAACTTGTTCTGACAATTTTGTGGCAGGCAACTTTGTACTGAAGAAATATTTCAACCGTCTGGATGAGCCGGACCAGCAGACGACCAAAGCCTTCACGTCTGACGGCTGGTTCAACACCGAGGACTGCGGCTGTCTGGACGGGGACGGCAACATCTACGTTGTGGGGAGGAACAGCGACACCATCACCCACGGGCTGTTTGCTGTGTACCCCGGGTGGATCGAGAAGAAAATTCTGGAACATCCACAAGTAGAAGACGTGTGTGTGGTGCCGGTGAGGGGTTTTGTTGTTGTGGGGTTATGGTTTGGACTTGAATTATAACCGTGACTTCTCTGTAAAGTTTAAAGTGAATGATATAGATGGAAAATATTGTCATATATTATACACTTTTTTTCTTATACCTGTAACTGTGAAGATATACTTGAACATCTTCTGAGTGAAATAGTGTTTACTTTTATAATCCATTAATTTATTTTGGAATTCAAGTTTCTCTTTTTGTACTTGAAAAAATAAATACTTTTTTATAATTGTTGAACTATTTCCATCTTCAGAAATTGCATTGAGTGCCAATTAAGGCAAATAAATTAGAAATTCTGGAGAATATAAACCCCAAAGTGTTGCTTAATTTCCTATGATTAGTTTTGGGCGTGCGCCAATGTAAAAACAAAATTGTTTCCAGTTATTGTTTTAAATTTTTGTTTAGGTGTCCGATCCAGAAATACATCAGAAGATCTGCGCATGCCTGAAGCTGTTTCCCGGAAGTGGAGTGACCGAGAAGGAGATGAGGGAACATTTTAACAAGAAGATTTTTGCCAACGTTGAGCAAGGGTTGACGCCCATGCCAGAATACATCATGGTACGTCACACAACTATTTCCGTCCTACTAATTTTATTTTTGGTACAATCCGAAGCTGATTGTTTTTCATTGATTGCAAACTATTTCAGTTGTTCCATGACGACTTCCCTCTCACCCCCACGGGGAAGGCACACAGAGAGGAAATAAAACGGTTGGCTGAGAAAAAGTTTGGACGCAAGTAAAATAAGACGTGCAGCCACAATGTTTCAGTTAGTCTCAAGTATGGAGAGTATTTCTACTAGGGTAAACATTATACATCATGTGAAAATGTTAAAATAAGAAAGTAATGGATTATATGTTTAATATTCTTTGTTAGACTAAAGGGCGTTAAGAATACCGGGGAAGTAATCAAATACTGTGTTAACGGATTTTGAAAAACAAAAACCGAAAATATTTTTATTGAGATTATTATATTTATACATCTTAAATCTAGCAAATTCAACATTATCTTCAATTACTTTTTAGTAGCATCAACTGTAGCTTTAACTTTATTTTATCTCATAAACTCACACAATAACTTTTAACATAAATTATTTCTTTAATAATATTTTAAGCCATTAATCATTAGTAGGATCTCTAAATTGTTTTAGAAAAATTTTGTTATTTTTAATTAAATCTGTATGAGTCTTTACAAGCCGATGATGAAAACTGTAATACTAAAGCGAACATGCAAGGCAAAATGGCGCTGTAAATCACATGTCTGAGGAAAAAAATTTCATTATATAGGCTTATAATTATTTTATGTAATAAAAATATTTTTAATCTTATTAAATGTCTTTGATTTAATTTCCATACTTTTGCACATACATTCACATGTTGTGAGAGGACAGCGATTTATAAATGTCACTTGCTCTATAGTAAAACATGGTTGTGTAAATAACACAGAACACCCCATTCCTTTCTACCAAATGTAAATCCGTAAAGGGAGGGGTAACCTAGTTTACCTCCAATGGCTACTGACCCTTAGTGCAGCTCCAGCTAAACTCTGAATTGTTAACAACACTAATTACTACTCTAAACTAAACTACAACACTTTAATCTAAACAAAAACAAATATTATTTTAATAATAAAGAACAAAACAAAAAAAAAAACCTTCTCCAAGACCAAAAGCAGATTTTTCAAAAGTAATGTCCTTACGTCATACTGTATGGCAGCAAACACTGGAAACAACAGCCACCAGCAGATGAAGTTGGATCTTACGGCAAGAATATCCAATGTCCAATTTAATTAGACATTAAGTTAATCATTAAAAAAAATTAAAACAGTAATAATAAACCGGGAGTGATCTCCCCTAAACTTTCTCGAATATTTTATATAACTTGGAATATAGACATGATTTTTAATTACCTTAACTTTTAAAAATAGAATAGAATCTCATAGAAAAAAGAATTACGCACCAAGCGAACGCCAAAACAAAATGTGCATAATAGTGCGCAATATTATTAGTACTTTATAAATTTACATGCGTTTTTTGAGAAATCGGAAATAGCGTAAATTAGTACTTCCGGTCAATGGAAATTACTCAAAATTTGATAGAAGGTAGAGAATTAGATCTTTTACTTACATGTGAAATTTCATTTATCTATCTGAAATAGTACTTAAGTTATAGGCTTTTGAAAAATTTAAAGTAGAAAAAGTACCACTTCCGGTTATCGGAAATCGCTCAAAAGTTGATCAGGATCTACGATTTTTATAAAATACTTATATATGAAATTTCATCAACCTAGCTGTAACGGTACTCAAATTATCGTGTTTACACACAGACAGACACACAGACATACGGACAAGATTGCAAAATTATGTTTTTCCGTATCAGTGAGGTGTAAAACGTCGAGATTTGTAAAAATCTCGATTTTTTTTTTGCACGATTACAAGACTTTCTCTATACTTCGTATATACGAGAAAGTAAAAATGTAGTATATTCAATAATAAAAGGGAGATAACAAGTTTAATTCCACGTATCACTGGATGTGTGAGCAGTATTCACAAATGTTTTCACGCCCTAAAGCCGACGCTGGACTAAGAAAATTGTCTTTTAGTCGTTGGGGTAGTGGCGTAGTTAAAAATTGTGCGATTTTAAAGTGTAAATATAGTAATCAGTGTTTTAAAACTTAACCAGCTTATTGAACTGCTATATCTACTATATCTAAACACTAAATGTTAAAAAATTAAATCAACAGTTAAAACTTTTCCATTAATAATCTTTTAAAAAAATAAGAAAATAAAAAGTTTATTTCTTTATGTAACATCGTTGATCAGTAAAACATTTATGTACGAATAAAACATAAGATTAGCAAAATGGGAATGTTAGCAAATCATGTTTAAATTATGGTAATGATCTAATGAATAAATGACCCCTTGACCTGTCAACAAGACGTCTGCTTCTGTTAACAAAAAAAAATGTGTATCTCGAACTACTTCTCAGCCGTTTCTAAAAGACTATGCCCAGTGCTCGTCACGTTCACTGCATTATGTGCGACTTTGCTTGCACGTATTTTATGTAACGTTAGATCCTAAATGTATGTGTTAACCCATATTTCAGGCGTTAAATATTGTCAGCAGCTGACAAAAGCATGCACTCGTTTCTCTTCTGATGGGTTTCAAGTATAAAACGATGCTATAGCACTGAGCTCTACCTAGTTGGTTTCAAGTATAAAACTGTTATATAGCACTGTCCTCTACGACGTTTTAAACATGTCCGCTCTGGTGAACTCAATGCAGGATTTGGACACAATTTCCAAGCGATTGAAATATTTATCGGAAGCCGCGCCAGAAAAAGAACTGTTCGTGTTCTACAGTGAAGACGGTCGACGTGCCTTGACAGCGCTGGAAGTCTATCAGATGTCTGGACGGTTCGCCAACAGACTCAAACAGGAAGGTTTCCAGCGCCATGATGTCGTCTGCAACACACTGCCCAACTCTCCAGAGCGGGTCATCACTGACCTTGGCATTCTGTTTGCTGGGTGTACGCCCATGAACGCTCATGTGAGTAATTTATTAGTAATTAATAATGATAGCTAGTAGATCTTTAAAATATTGAAAGCATTTAGCCTTCTGAACCACATTCGCTTTTTAAATATCTTTTGTACTCAATTAAAATTTTGCGATGGCAAAAAATAAGTCTTGATAAATCCTGCGTGTCACAACGCTGAGGGAAATAACTAAACATTGATATAAGAATTTTCTGATGTGTAATAAAACCACATTTTTTTAATATTCAGTTTTTTTTATGGTTGATAGTGATAACGTTAAAAATTCGTAATACGGAAACTGTCTAATAACGTCATTTCTTAATGGACCATTTTCAATGAGAAACTTTTTTTTAATTTTTAGTATCGGTTGATTATTGTTTACATCAGTATTTAACTACGAGAAAAATGGCCCGTTGAGGAAGGATACACCGGGCGCTAGGCTGATAGTGCTGTCTCTTTTCTCTAAACTAAAACCACCCCAGCCCCCCCCCCCACACACACCACCACCCCCCCCCACACCCCCCCACACACCCCCACACCACACCCCCCCACACCACCCCACCCCCCCCCCCCCCACACCCCGAAAAACATGTATACCGTCCCATTCAACGAAATATAATTATATACTTTTTCCAGTGTCCGCCCCCTCCCCGAAAATTCTACCCCCACCCCCGAAAATTTCAAGTACCCCCACCACTCTCCGGGGAGGAAAAAGTCTAAATTAAAACCACCCCCCCCCCCCCACCACCCCCCCCCCCCCCCTCTAAAAAACATGTCTACCGTCCCATTCAACGAAATATAATTATATACTTTTTCCAGTGTCCGCCCCCTCCCCGAAAATTCTACCCCCGCCCCCGAAAATTTCAAGTACCCCCCACCCCTCTCCGGGGAGGAAAAAGTCTGAAAGAAACACTGGTGTCGCGCTTAGCCACTACGCGAAGAATTGCATTAAAGAAATTGCGAGAAAACCACTTTTTAGATTAGACACATTAATTAGGCGGTAATTTTATTATAGAGTATCGATGAGGAAATTTCTTTTGAGTTGGGGAGGGGGGGGGGGGCTCAGACGTTCTTACGCGGGGGGTGGGGCTTCGCCCCTACTCGAAGAATTCTATGCAAGAAACTCTTCACGCAAACCATTTAGATTAGACAACATTTCCTTTTTTTCAATGTTTCAATGACGTCATTACATTACTGTGTGCACTCTCTGGTTTGAGATTATGTTCTACTCTACGCTAAATGTGTCGACGTCATATTTCGTTTTTCGAATTACTGTGCAGGTTTTTAAATTCCTTGTGTTTTCTCTAGAGCGTTCTTGTCAGACAGATAGATAGATAGATAGATAGATAGATAGATAGAGAGACAGCGAAACTATTATATAGAACGAGAAAAATGGCCCGTTGAGGAAGGATACACCGGGCGCTAGGCTGATAGTGCTGTCTCTTTTCTCTAAACTAAAACCACCCCAGCCCCCCCCCCCCACACACACCACCACCCCCCCCCACACCCCCCATCCACCCCACACCCCCACACCCCCCCCCCCACACCACCCCCACCCCCCCCCCCACACCCCCCACCCCCCGAAAAACATGTATACCGTCCCATTCAACGAAATATAATTATATACTTTTTCCAGTGTCCGCCCCCTCCCCGAACATTCTACCCCCACCCCCGAAAATTTCAAGTACCCCCACCACTCTCCGGGGAGGAAAAAGTCTAAATTAAAACCACCCCCCCCCACTCACCCCCCTACCCCCCCCCCCACCCCCCCCCCCCACCCCCCCCCCCCCCCCCTCTAAAAAAACATGTCTACCGTCCCATTCAACGAAATATAATTATATACTTTTTCCAGTGTCCGCCCCCTCCCCGAAAATTCTACCCCCGCCCCCGAAAATTTCAAGTACCCCCACCCCTCTCCGGGGAGGAAAAAGTCTGAAAGAAACACTGGTGTCGCGCTTAGCCACTACGCGAAGAATTGCATTAAAGAAATTGCGAGAAAACCATTTTTTAGATTAGACACATTAATTAGGCGGTAATTTTATTATAGAGTATCGATGAGGAAATTTCTTTTGAGTTGGGGAGGGGGGGGGGGGCTCAGACGTTCTTACGCGGGGGGTGGGGCTTCGCCCCTACTCGAAGAATTCTATGCAAGAAACTCTTCACGCAAACCATTTAGATTAGACAACATTTCCTTTTTTTCAATGTTTCAATGACGTCATTACATTACTGTGTGCACTCTCTGGTTTGAGATTATGTTCTACTCTACGCTAAATGTGTCGACGTCATATTTCGTTTTTCGAATTACTGTGCAGGTTTTTAAATTCCTTGTGTTTTCTCTAGAGCGTTCTTGTCAGACAGATAGATAGATAGATAGATAGATAGATAGATAGATAGACAGACAGCGAAACTATTATTATAAACTAGATAAATGGCCCGTTGAGGAAGGGTACAACGGGCGCTAGGCTGATAGTGCTGTCTCTTTTCTCTAAACTAAAACCAACCCACCCCCCCCCCCCACACACCCCCACCCCCCCCCCCACCCCACACACACCACCCCCACCCCCACCCCCCACCCCCACACACACCTCCACCCCCCACCCACCCCCACCCCCACCCCCACCACCCCCACCCCCCACACACCTCCCCCCACCCACCCCCCACCCACCCACCCCCACCCCCCAAAAAAACATGTCTACCGTCCCATTCAACGAAATATAATTATATACTTTTTCCAGTGTCCGCCCCCTTCCCGAAAATTCTACCCCCGCCCCCGAAAACCTCAAGTACCCCCTGCCCCTCTCCGGGGAGGAAAAAGTCTGAAAGAAACACTGGTGTCGCGCTTAGCCACTACGCGAAGAATTGCATTAAAGAAATTGCGAGAAAACCACTTTTTAGATTAGACACATTAATTAGGTGGTAATTTTATTATAGAGTATCGATGAGGAAACCACCCCACCCCACCCCCCCACCCCCACACACACACCTCCACACACCACCCACCCCCACCCCCACCCCCACCCCCCACCCCCACCCCCCACACACCACCCGCCACCCCCCCCCCACCCCCCCCCCACCCCCCCCCCCACACACGACCCCCCCCCCCCACCACCCCCCCCCCCCCGCCACCCCCCACCTCCCACCTCCCACCCCCCACCCCCCCACTCCCAAAAAAATCATGTCTACCGTCCCATTCAACGAAATATAATTATATACTTTTTCCAGTGTCCGCCCCCTCCCAGAAAATTCTACCCCCGCCCCCAAAAATTTCAAGTACCCCCACCCCTCTCCGGGGAGGAAAAAGTCTGAAAGAAACACTGAAACCAACCCACCCCCCCCCCACACCACCCCCCACCACCCCCCCACACACCACCCCCCCACCCCCCCCCACACACACACCACCCCCACCCCCCCCCCCCCCCCACACACACCACCACCCCCCCCCCACCCCTCCACCACCCCCACCCCCAAAAAAAACATGTCTACCGTCCCATTCAACGAAATATAATTATATACTTTTTCCAGTGTCCGCCCCCTCCCAGAAAATTATACCCCCGCCCCCGAAAATTTCAAGTACCCCCACCCCTCTCCGGGGAGGAAAAAGTCTGAAAGAAACACTGAAACCAACCCACCCCCCACACACCACCCCCCCACCCCCACACACCACCCCCCCCCCCCACACACACACCCCCCCCCCACCCCTCCACCCCCCCCCCCCCCCCCCCCAAAAAAAAAAAACATGTCTACCGTCCCATTGCAAGAAAACCACTTTTTAGATTAGACACATTAATTAGGCGGTAATTTTATTATAGAGTATCGATGAAGAAATTTCTTTTGAGTTGGGGAGGGGGGGGGGGCTCAGACGTTCTTACGCGGGGGGTGGGGCTTCGCCCCTACCCGAAGAATTGTATGCAAGAAACTCTTCACGCAAACCATTTAGATTAGACAACATTTCCTTTTTTTCAATGTTTACGCGATAATCAATGACGTCATATTACTGTGTGCACTCTCTGGTTTGAGATTATGTTCTACTCTACGCTAAATGTGTCGACGTCATATTTCGTTTTTCGAATTACTGTGCATGTTTTTATTTTGCTTGTGTTTTCTCTAGAGCGTTCTTGTCAGACAGAGCGTTCTTGACAGACAGCGAAACTATTATTATAGACTAGATAAATGGCCCGTTGAGGAAGGGTACAACGGGCGCTAGGCTGATAGTGCTGTCTCTTTTCTCTAAACTAAAACCAACCCACCCCCCACACACCACCCCCACCCCACCCCCCACCCCCACACACCACCCCCACCCCCCACCACACACCACCCCCACCCCAACCCCTCACCCCCAAACACCACCCCCACCCCCACCCCCACCCCCCACCACACACCACCCCCACCCCAACCCCTCACCCCCCACCCCCCACAAAAAAAAACATGTCTACCGTCCCATTCAACGAAATATAATTATATACTTTTTCCAGTGTCCGCCCCCTCCCAGAAAATTCTACCCCCGCCCCCGAAAATTTCAAGTACCCCCACCCCTCTCCGGGGAGGAAAAAGTCTGAAAGAAACACTGAAACCAACCCACCCCCCCCCCACACACCACCCCCACCCCCCCCCCCCACACACACCACCCCCCCACCCCCCCACACACACACCACCCCCCACCCCCACACACACACCACCCCCCACCCCCACCCCCCACACACACCACCCCCCCCACCCCCCACCCCTCCACCACCCCCCACCCCCAAAAAAAACATGTCTACCGTCCCATTCAACGAAATATAATTATATACTTTTTCCAGTGTCCGCCCCCTCCCAGAAAATTCTACCCCCGCCCCCGAAAATTTCAAGTACCCCCACCCCTCTCCGGGGAGGAAAAAGTCTGAAAGAAACACTGAAACCAACCCACACACCACACAGCACCCCCACCCCCACCCCCACACACCACCCCAACCCCCCCCCCCCCCACCCCCCACACCCACCCCTCCACACCCCCCCCCCCCCCCAAAAAAAAAAACATGTCTACCGTCCCATTGCAAGAAAACCACTTTTTAGATTAGACACATTAATTAGGCGGTAATTTTATTATAGAGTATCGATGAGGAAATTTCTTTTGAGTTGTGGAGGGGGGGGGGGGGGGCTCAGACGTTCTTACGCGGGGGGTGGGGCTTCGCCCCTACCCGAAGAATTGTATGCAAGAAACTCTTCACGCAAACCATTTAGATTAGACAACATTTCCTTTTTTTCAATGTTTACGCGATAATCAATGACGTCATTTTACTGTGTGCACTCTCTGGTTTGAGATTATGTTCTACTCTACGCTAAATGTGTCGACGTCATATTTCGTTTTTCGAATTACTGTGCATGTTTTTATTTTGCTTGTGTTTTCTCTAGAGCGTTCTTGTCAGACAGAGCGTTCTTGACAGACAGCGAAACTATTATTATAGATGGCTGTAAAAAAAACATTTTTTCTTATACCATGGTAAAGGAATCGATTTAATTTTTCTTTATTTAGTAAACGCGACCTTGTAAAATAACTCCTTTAAAGGGGTCTATAAAACGTTCGCTGGCATTGGTACTAACGTAAAGCGAAAATATGACTGTAGTAAAGAAGCTTGTCCGCTTCAATAAACGTTTTGAATAGATAAACCTGTTAATTAATGTTAATTAATTAAGTTGTACACCTGATCTGGTTTTATTGGCCGACATTGGTTGTCGGCTTGTGGTTGTCGGCTTGTGTAGGTGGGAGGTTTTAGAGTAAAATGGCGGATATACTTGTAAAACAATGTTTTTGATTTTATTTTGACAGAATATCCAGATAATTTTCATTAAACATAAACTATATATTAAATGTGTTCATGCTACCAGGGGGAAAGAAGTAAAATTTTATACATGTGAAATTTTATTTAAAACTATAATGTAAATCAGTTCACACAAATGAAGATAAAATGGTTTTAAATCCAAGGCCCTGCTTGCCGACGGCTCTGATTTGTTCCATGTCCTGAAAGTGAGCAAATGTCGAGCAGTGATTGTGTCTGACGAGGCCAACTCTAACGCCCACAAAGTCCTGCAGCCTTTCTGCAAGAGCGACTCTCCTCACGTGTTTAATGCCCTTCACCACAAGGATCTGCCTTCTCTGACCTCAACCATTGTCGTGTCTCGGAAATCTGAATGGTAAACTTTCACTTTCTAAATCAGGTTTCGTTTTGAATTAGTCACTATATAGATTAGTGAGTTTCCTTGGTTCTGAAGATAGAGTTGATATTATTCCTCGAACTCCTTGAGTTTACTCAGCGCTAATTGGAACCTAGCATATGTAGTAGAAGGTAAAGTTAGATCGTAATTGAAAAGTGCGAATAGTCGCATTTATTAAAGAAAGTATGTTTGTTTTATTTTTTTTTCAATGTATTTAAAAGCTGATTATGATAGGGTGTTAAAAATCCACTTTTCAGACATTCGTTCAAAATAAATTTTATATGAAAAAAGGCTATAACCCGTTTAGTCGCACGGAATCCGTAAATTATCTGCCTTTCTTGTTATCTCCCATACTGAAGCTAGTAATTTTTCAAATTAAACTATAATGACTAATGTATCTGAAGTTGTAATGAAATAGCTGTATTAGAAAAAGGGTTAAAATGAGTTACACGATTTGCCACAACACACAAAGAGACAAACAAACAGACACTGTGAATTAAATAAAAGCTTAAAATAATTATAAAATTTAACTGCGTCTAAATAGGTCAAGGCCGGCTTTCTTAGACCTTGTGAGATCACCAGACCTCGAGACTTTTGTGGAGACCGTGGGACCGTCAGATCTCGCGATGATCTTTTGTACTTCCGGCAGCACCGGCTACTCTAAACTCGTGGCCCGGACACACACGGAGGTTTTTCAGCTTAACATCGCCTGGTCGCTCAAGATGAACCCTGGTCAATCCGTGTCCCACCCCCTGGAGAATACAGAGAAAAGATTTGATGACCGTCAGTTAGGTAACGTTCCTAGAAAAATATATTTATAGAGAAAGTCTTGTAATCGTGCAAAAAAAAAAAAATCGAGATTTTTGCAAATCTCGACGTTTCACACCTCACTGATACGGAAAAACATAATTTTGCAATCTTATCCGTATGTCTGTGTGTAAACACGATAACTTGAGTACCGTTACAGGTAGGTTGATGAAATTTCATATACAAGTATTATATCAAAATCGTAGATACTGATCAACTTTTGAGCGATTTCCGATAACCGGAAGTGGTACTTTTTCTACTTTGTATTTTTCAAAAGCCTATAACTTGAGTACTATTTCAGATAGATAAATGTAATTTCATACGTAAGTAAAAGATCTAATTCTCTACCTTCTATCAAATTTTGAGTAATTTCCGTTTGACCGGAAGTACTAATTTACGCTATTTCCGATTTCTCAAAAAACGCATGTAAATTTATAAAGTACTAATAATAACCCGCACTTTTATGCACATTTTATTAGGGGACTTGGTGTGGGACGGAGTGGTCTAGCGGTAGAGAGTTGGACTGCTAACCCGTTAGTCTCGAGTTCGAATCCGGGTTCAAGTCATTAGACCGTCCCTGAGTCCACCCAACTCTGATGGGTACCTAACTCCTGTTAGGGAAAGTAAAGGCGGCTGGGGATAGTGCCGACCACACTATCTCTTCATATGCCGAGGTCACAGAAACAAGTGAACTCTACTTCACTTGCCCCATAGACCGTCAGGTTTGAAAGGGAAACGTTTCACTTGGTGTGCAATTCTTTTTTTTTTACGAGATTCTATTCTATTATAAAAAGTTTAAGTAATTAAAATCGATAACATATATTGTCCATGTCCTGAGTTGCCATCCCTAGTAATTTTATATTAGAATATTCGAGAAAGTTTAGGGGAGATCACTCCCGGTTTATTTCCAACACAAATTTAAAAAGAGTTGCAATACACTTTCAAATCCCTCTCCTCTACTACAACCATGAGTATGACGTTGTTCAAGGACGACTCATTATTATTAAACAATACAATTGCAAAAAGAGACTAGCTTCACTTCCATGCCTTATCTTCTAAAACAAACATGAAACCAGCAGTTAATGCCCAGCATCTTGTTGACAGGCTGGATTGGAGGCTACCCCTGGGCCACATTTAGTAACGGCGACTCCCGAGTTCTGCTGGACGTGTTCCAGAAACCATGCAGTGTCAAGGTCAAGTGGGACGCGTGCATCAAAGAGAAGTGCGTGACCTTGTCCTTGTTCTCTAGAGAGGTCGACCCGGTGTTTACTTATGCCTCCAGTCAGGGCACGCTGGGGCAGAAGATGGTCATCATAACTGGAGGGCAGCCTCTGCCTAAGGTGCGTAGGTCTATACACAATTCAGGTAAAAGTAGCCTTAACCGTAAACAAATGGGTTCCATCCATACATAAGTAAACATTAGCTAGTCTTAAGAAGGTGGTAGAATATAATGACATATTCAAATATGTTGTAATTGTGTATACTTTGAGAGGGATATATTGATGGGATTGTGTAAATAGATATGACATATACCAGCACTCCCCCCCCCCACAAATCCATGATACCTGCTGGCTTGCTGCTTGTGGTTTAACCAGATAATCCAGGTGTCACCACAAGAGAGCTATACCTCCCACCTCGTGACCGTGCTGCCTCCCCCACCCCATGATCATGATGCCACCCCTTACCTCATGCTAATGCTGCTTTCCACCACACCCCATGACCATGCCGCCTTCCACATGCTACCTGCTTACTGCTCGTAGTTTTACAACACGGAGATCCCCCACCATCCTTGTTATAGTTTAATATCGCTTTATTAAGCTGACGGTATATTTATTTTTATGGTTTCAGCCACAATTATCAAAGATGTTGAAACTGGCAGATGAAATTTTCTTAGCTTATGGATCAACAGAAGTGATGTTTGTATCAACATTATTTATCAGAGGTAATTTTAATTGGTCAAACATCGAAACCGTATTTTATGTGTGCATCTCACACAAACTATTTTGAACCTCATTACGTCACATTTGAGAAGATAATGTACATCAAATTCATTGATTTAAACATATGTGATTGCTTAACTATCCCAGATTTTTTTTAGAACTCAGAAGAATTTTCAACTTTTTACAAGCTTTTATTTAACTCACTTCCTCGTCAGTCTGTCGTCAGTCTGTCGTCAGTCTGTCTAGACGGAAACGCAGGAGTGAAAATTCGGACAGTTCTACTTGACCGATACGATTCACAGTTGGCACGTGGGTCAAGACATGAAGACAATGCAATCTGAAACTAAATTTGACTTAATTGGATGCCTAATTAATTTTTTATTAATTAATTAAGATTTGGACCGAATTAGTAGGCATGTCTAGCCAACCACACCACACGCGTCATCACCTTCAATAGCTGCGCCATCACGTAATGGCTGCGTTCAAAAACCATTGCGCGCCTACTGAACGTGATGTTCAGTAGGCGCGCAATGGTTTTTAGTCATGTAACTCTATTGGAAATAAAACATGTAAAGTACTGAAAAAAAAATTCATAAAAAACGTTTTAATAACAAGCTTTTATGTAATGATGCACTAAAAAGTAGAAAATAAATTATAGACTACTATTTAAATAACTATAAAGAAAAGCGTGGGTGTCTTCCTTAACATTAGTAAAGGTATCCAATAGATACTAAAGTGACCCACGTTTTTCTTTATAGTTATTTAAATAGTAGTCTATAATTTATTTTCTACTTTTTAGTGCATCATTTCATAAAAGCTTGTTATTAAAACGTTTTTTATGAATTTTTTTTTTACAAGCTTTTATTTAACTCACTTCCTCTGTCTGTCTGTCTAGATAGAAACGCAGGAGTGAAAATTCGGACAGTTCTACTTGACCGATACGATTCACATTTGACACGTGGGTCAAGACATGAAGACAATGCAATCTGAAACTAAATTTGACTTAATTGGATGCCTAATTAATTTTTTATGAATTAATAAAAATTTGGACCGAATTAGTAGGCATGTCTAGCCAACCACACCACACGCGTCATCACCTTCAATAACTGCGCCATCACGTAATGGCTGCGTTCAAAAACCATTGCGCGCCTACTGAACGTGATGTTCAGTAGGCGCGCAATGGTTTTTAGTCATGTAACTCTATTGGAAATAAAACATGTAAAGTACTGAAAAAAAAATTCATAAAAAACGTTTTAATAACAAGCTTTTATGTAACGATGCACTAAAAAGTAGAAAATAAATTATAGACTACTATTTAAATAACTATAAAGAAAAGCGTGGGTGTCTTCCTTAACATTAGTAAAGGTATCCAATAGATACTAAAGTGACCCACGCTTTTCTTTATAGTTATTTAAATAGTAGTCTATAATTTATTTTCTACTTTTTAGTGCATCGTTACATAAAAGCTTGTTATTAAAACGTTTTTTATGAATTTTTTTTCAAGTTTACTGAGGTGTCGTGTATAATAATTGTGCTCTATCGTTCAAACGGAATAGGCCAACAAGAGTGTTTTTGTTAACGGTCCTTTTTTCTTGCTTTATCTAGATTTTTAAAATGCTCAGCTGGGCAAGCGAAAGACATCGCTTACATTTGTAACTCGATCTTAACGACTAGTACAATGGTGGGGACACACTCATCAATTCAGGCCCATATCCAACACGATATACAACAAAATCCATCGATTTTGTCCTTGGTAAATGCCTATACTAACAAACAGTGAGGTACTGACGCCGACCACAGGATAAACGCCTATACTTCTTCATTATTTTAGTTTTTCATTGCTATTATCTTGTATTATTTAATTATTTTATTTTTTCTAAAAAAAGGGGGCCACTATTCTAAAGCTACGTGCATCTGAATATACTTTAAAAATATAAACAGTGTTAAAGAAAATGTCGACAAAGATATTCTATCTGTAATCGGTAATTTATCCCAGACGGTGACTACGAACCGTTCAACTGCGGCAAGACAGGACCGGAATGTGAAGTGAAGGTCGTAAATGCATCAGGAGAGGTTTGCGGCCCCAAGGAGTTTGGAACCATCTACGTCAGGGGTGAGAGTTATTTATAGAACCCAGTCGAGATTAAGAGTTTAACCTCCCTACCAACATTTGTATTTAAACTTCAATGATTTCCATCTGATCTAACTACCCTATTGCCATATGATCTAACTACCCCAGCTATAGTCTTCTACTGCATTAGAAGTAGGTGTAAATTTAATTTAAAAATTTGCCACAAACCAACAAAAAACTAGACATAAAATGATTAAATAAACGCCCATAAAAATTATCCGTTACAGATATAATACATATATACCATCGGCCTTATATTTTGAGAGTTCGTTTATGGCGATGGTTGAAGTTCTTTATTGTCTTACAGGACAGTTTGTACTGAAAAAATATTTCAACCAACTTGACGAGCCTGGCCAGCAGACGACCAAAGCCTTCACGTCTGACGGCTGGTTCAACATGGATGACTACGGCTGTTTGGACGAGGACGGTCGTCTGTTTGTCGTCGGTAGGAATAATGACGTCATCATGTACGGGGCTTTTGTGGTCTATCCTGGGTGGATTGAAAAGAAAATTCTTGAACACCCGGAGATTCATGATGTATTCGTAGTGCCGGTAAGAAAGTTGTCAGGCTCTTTTGACAGTTAACCTACTCATTTTATCAAGATTTATTTAAAGTTTACATTGATTAGTTAATATTTTAACCACTTGTATTGACAGTTACTTGGTTTTCGGACAAATTAACGACTTTTTTCATAGGCCAGTCAGGTAAAAAAAAAAAAACTGATTTCATTTCTTGATTTTCCCAATGTTTCAGGTATCTGATCCTGAGTTGTATCATAGGATCTGCGCATGTGTAAAATTGTCAGCCGGTAGTCAACTTACGACAGAGGATTTGAGGCGATATATTGACAGTTTGTTCTCGACTACACAAAGAGAAATGACACCAGTTCCAGACTTTATAATGGTAATATTTTAACGACATTTACATTTAATGGTAAATATTCTAGTTAGTTACAAGTATGAAAATATTTAGCATTAGCAGTGGCGTAGCGAGGTCGGGTGTCACCCGGTGCGGCACTTAATGGTGTCACCCCCCAGAGGCGCAACGACCCTTCCAGGGGACAAACTTTCAATTTTCGATTTACACACCCCTCAAACTTTCGATTTGCACCCCCCCCCCCCCTCAAACCTTCGATTTGCACCCCACCCCCACCTCTTAAAAGGCTATTTAACACTCTAATTAATCACTCTATTAAGTGGAATTATCATTTTTCTCTTTATATTTTGCTATTTTTTGCCTTGGTGTCACCCCCCTAAATGGTGTCACCCGGTGCGGTCCGCACCCCCCGCACCCCCCTCGCTACGCCCCTGAGCATTAGCATGATAACAATTACAGTTAATTAAAGTTAATTCCTGAAATAAATTTTCAGCTGTTGAAAGATTTACCTGTGACCAACACGGGGAAACCCAGCAGAACAGAGATCAGACAAATGGCTGAGGAGAAATTTGGGAACAAATCTTAGTGCAGCCATAGCTACAATACGTGGGTGGGTGGTACATGGATAATATCAGGACTAAATCATATAACTGAATAGATTTATTACTTTCAATGTAACTAAGACAAAACAAAACACATTTATGTCTGTAATTTAAAGTATGCTTTGGGTAGCTAGGTAATCAATAGTTCAGACGATTAAAAGTTAAAAATACAAGTGTTGTTTTTGTTGTGTAAAAGATTTTACAACGGGTAGCACATCAATACCTACAATCTCAGCTGTAAAGGAAGTTAATATTTTCGAGTTTAACTGTATCGATGACCACGGCATATGAAGAGCAAGTGTGGTCAGCACTATGCCCAGCGGCTTTTACCTTCTCTAACGTGAGGCAAATGTACAACAGCTGGGTGGACACAGCCTACAGACTCGAACCTACATCCGTATCAGAGATATTCTATTGGAGGTCGTGCTTTCCACCACCCCACCACACCGTCCCATAACAATAACAGGTGTTGACATCACATCTTAATTAAATGACAGAAGTTTTTACAGGACACCCACCTAAATCAAATGTCATCGTGTTTCACTAAAGCACTACCAGATGGTTAAACTTGTAGTAACTAGTGCTCATGGTGTTCATTATTATGCTATCAAATGATCAATCTAATCCTAATTTAATGTCAGTTTTCTAAAACCGAAATTCAAAAATAAAATCATGTGAATTAAATCTGTAAAAAGCTGTGAGTACATCATCAGTAGATCTAGTACAATTTTTTTTAATAAACTTTTTTTTGGATAGTGGGCATTAACTTTTTGGCAGGGCTCGTCTGAACAAGATCCTATAAAAGTAATAAGGTATTCTCTTGATTAATAAGTGTAAATTGGAAACTTGGTCGTCTTGTCTATACTATAAAGCTCAATTGACTTCTTTCTGTTATCTTTTTTTTTTGTTTTCTACTGCTTAATTAAATAAATACACAAGTCACAGAAAACGTTTTTCACGAAAGCCAGTGCAGGGCCTGACCTTGATGGTTGTTACATTATATGTATGTGTTAGTACCAAGTCTGCTGTTTTACTAATAAGACAATCAATATTAACGTTTATATGTGGGTGGAACACTTAACATATCGCAAACAAAAGCAGCAACACTAATTAACGCATTTCTATTGTGGTACAAGCATAGCAACATTTATTCAAGTACCCTTATATTCATGTTCAAGCACACAAGGTGTTGCCTGTCTGCAAGTCAGCGTTTAATATATATATTGATTGTAGCAAAATGTCAGCTAGACCTTAGGTAAAACATTTCTTATAGACTCTTCAGTCTGTGGGTCTAGTGGGACAGCCCTTTGGTCTAGGGGGAACTACTGAGGCTGCAGACACTGTGTTCACCAGATTCTTGTGTCCTTTTATAAACATGGAGATGTTTTCTTCGTCAATTTGTTTTGTCCCTTGATGAACATGTAGATGTTGTGTTCGCCAATTGTGTTCCATTTAAAGCTGTATGTGTTTTCTTAGTCAATGTGTTGTGTGTCTCGATGTCAAGCTGTAGATGTTATGTTCGCCAATTGTGTACCATTTAAAGCTGTATGTGTTTTCTTAGTCAATTTGATGTGTCCCTATGTCAAGCTGTAGATGTTGTGTTCTCCAATTGTGTACCATATAAAGCTGTATGTGTTTTCTTAGTCAATTTGATGTGTCCCTATGTCAAGCTGTAGATGTTGTGTTCGCCAATTGTGTACCATATAAAGCTGTATGTGTTTCCTTAGTCAATTTGATGTGTCCCTATGTCAAGCTGTAGATGTTGTGTTCTCCAATTGTGTACCATATAAAGCTGTATGTGTTTTCTTAGTCAATTTGATGTGTCCCTATGTCAAGCTGTAGATGTTGTGTTCTCCAATTGTGTACCATATAAAGCTGTATGTGTTTTCTTAGTCAATTTGATGTGTCCCTATGTCAAGCTGTAGATGTTGTGTTCGCCAATTGTGTACCATATAAAGCTGTATGTGTTTCCTTAGTCAATTTGATGTGTCCCTATGTCAAGCTGTAGATGTTGTGTTCTCCAATTGTGTACCATATAAAGCTGTATGTGTTTTCTTAGTCAATTTGATGTGTCCCTATGTCAAGCTGTAGATGTTGTGTTCTCCAATTGTGTACCATATAAAGCTGTATGTGTTTTCTTAGTCAATGTGATATGTCCCTATGTCAAGCTGTAGATGTTGTGTTCTCCAATTGTGTACCATATAAAGCTGTATGTGTTTTCTTAGTCAATTTGATGTGTCCCTATGTCAAGCTGTAGATGTTGTGTTCTCCAATTGTGTACCATATAAAGCTGTATATGTTTTCTTAGTCAATTTGATGTGTCCCTATGTCAAGCTGTAGATGTTGTGTTCTCCAATTGTGTACCATATAAAGCTGTATGTGTTTTCTTAGTCAATTTGATGTGTCCCTATGTCAAGCTGTAGATGTTGTGTTCTCCAATTGTGTACCATATAAAGCTGTATGTGTTTTCTTAGTCAATTTGATGTGTCCCTATGTCAAGCTGTAGATGTTGTGTTCTCCAATTGTGTACCATATAAAGCTGTATGTGTTTTCTTAGTCAATTTGATGTGTCCCTATGTCAAGCTGTAGATGTTGTGTTCTCCAATTGTGTACCATATAAAGCTGTATATGTTTTCTTAGTCAATGTGATGTGTCCCTATGTCAAGCTGTAGATGTTGTGTTCTCCAATTGTGTACCATATAAAGCTGTATGTGTTTTCTTAGTCAATGTGATGTGTCCCTATGTCAAGCTGTAGATGTTGTGTTCAACAATTGTGTACCATATAAAGCTGTATATGTTTTCTTAGTCAATTTGATGTGTCCCTATGTCAAGCTGTAGATGTTGTGTTCAACAAATGTGTACCATATAAAGTTGTACATGTTTTCTTAGTCTGTATACGTATATAAAAAATAAAAGTCGGATGCAGTTCGACACCGTTCATCCGAGTACCATGAAACTTTGGAAAGTCGATGAGAATACTCTCGAGGAGGTTTCTGCGGGAAAAAAATATTCTTATAGGCGGCGCCAGGGAGGGTACGATTTTTGGGTGGTAGTGTAGGCAAACCCCTGCCCCGAAAAATAGGATCCACGAAATGTAGCGCAGGCTTGTTTACATTTGAGTAACTCAGTTTTAGACAAAAAAGAGGTCTTGCGTCTAAGAATATAGGATTGGTAACGCATTAATAAAACCTTCTCAAAATGTTTGGTCAGACTTCCTTCTAGCCCCGCAGCAGTGCGCGGGGACGGGCACGCTAGCAATTAAATATAATTCCATTTAATTGTTTATGATTCGGACTAATCTAATTACACATTCAAATTAATTGTTACGAGTCGGTCTATGTTTTACATTATTCAAACATTTTTTTGGAGAATTTACTTTCTTAAAGCGGCAGGTAAGTTTCAGTTTCAGAACTAAGTTGACATTGAGTTTAATAAAAGCTTGTAAAAACGTTCTAATAACAAGCTTTTATATAATAATGCACTAAAAAGGAGAAAAATAAATTATACACTTCTATTTAAATAACTATAAAGAAAAGCGTAAGTCACTTTAGTATCTATTGAATACCTTTATTAAAATTTGGGAAGATCCCCACACTTTTCTTTATAGTTATTTAAATATTAGTGTATGATTTATTTTCTACGTTTTAGTGCATTATTACAAAAAGCTTATTGTTAAAACATTTTTAATGAATTTTTTTTCAGTACTTTAATTTTTTTTTAAATTTACAATAGAGTTGCATGTCTAAAAACCATGCGCACCTAATGAACGTGATGACACGTGCATAATTGTGCGGAATAGTTGGATAAGACTGCCTACTTATTTGGACAACATTTTAATCAATTCATAAAAAAATTAATTAGGCTACTAATTACGTCAAATTTGATGTCATGTTGCATTTTCTTCATGTCTTGACCCACGTGCGAACGTTGAAACAAATCAGTCAGTTAGAAGTGCCCGTAATTTCGCTCGGGCGTTTCGATCTCGACCGACGACAGACTGACGACAGAACGACAGAGACAGTGGGTTAAATAAAAGTAAGTAAAAAAATTCATTTAATAATAATCATTAAAAAAGTTTTTAAAAACCCACGTTTTCTGATTGAACTAAAAAGTAGAAAATAAATACTATACATCACAATAATGCAAGCGATCACTCTACTATAAGCGATGAAAAACGTGGGGCGCCGAAGTAAAAGTTATATTACTATTGATTAGATAATACTATTGACTTTTATTAGGGAGCTTGTAGAGAGTCAACAGTATTAGAAACTGTAAGAAAATCACTGCACCCCACGTTTTTCATCGCTTATAGTAGAGTGATCGCTTGCATTATTGTGATGTATAGTATTTATTTTCTACTTTTTAGTTCAATCAGAAAACGTGGGTTTTTTAAAACTTTTTTAATGATTATTATTTTCTACTTTTTAGTCTTTGTCTGTTTGTTTGCATTGAAATCTTGCTATCGATTTTATCTTTTCACTTTTTTTTGGGTAAACGAAGACAACTCGTAAAAAGACAACTCGTAAAAAACGAGAGACCCTTTCTTCTTCGGTCTCAATCGCAAGTGAATGATTGTCAGAGGTTAGTTGATAGCGGTTAGGACGAGGGCTGGTTACTGACTAGAACACATAGATTTGAACCCGTGTCGAGTGGGATAGCAATCGTGTGCCCAACCACTCGACCATATCGTCTCCCCCAAACTGGCCACCAGTGGTAATAGTTACCTCCTGTAAGTTTAAAGTCGGTTCAAACTTAATTATCTGCCCCTAAGCCTGTCGCGACGTGGGATCGTTTCGCGTCACTGCGCGCGGCAAGAGAGAGGTGAGCTACGCGTCGCTCGTTTTTTTTCTAATGGCTCGCAGAGGAGAATTATATATATAGATTATATAGCGGTCTAAAATGCTCAATAAAATATTTCCATGGATCAATTTAGTAATAATAACAATTGAATATTCTATGGTCATCCAAAAGAAAGCTTCCCTGAAAATTTCAGCGCGCTAGCTAACTGGGAAGTGCCAGAAATTTCGATCGCAAGATTTGATTGGAAAAACAAACAAATAAACAGAGAAAGC